GGGGTAGTCTTGATGCACTGATCGGACGCCTAAGAGCTGCTTATGAGGAGCACGGTGGGTCACCGGAGACTAACCCTTTTGGAAATGGAGCAATTCGGGTTTATTTGCGTGAAGTGAAGGATTGTCAAGCTAAGGCCAGAGGGATTCCATATAAGAAGAAAAAGAAGAAGAAGAATCAAATTAATAAACCCAACGTCGACGAGGCTAATTCATCATCCAATCTGCTAGCCTCTTAGCTACCTATAGCTAGTAGCTTGTCTTCTCCAGACCAATGGTAATTTTTGTGATTTAATATAATATATATATGTAAGTTATGATTAATTTTTTCTAGCAGCATAAAGAAAATATAAATTAAAGAGAAATATATACAATTTAGCTTAAATAAATTCAAGAATAAAAAAATTTGATTGTTTGAATTATTACATGAAAATAATTGGAACTGATTAGAGAATTAGTGTATCTTAGAACCTGAAAGAACATAATATTATAAGTGGGGATCTTATTTCATTGATAAAACCCTAAAACCTCCACTGTGAAACCCTAATTCCAATACTCACCTTTGGATCGAGGCCTTTGCAGTGGTGAAGAAGTGTGTGGTATGTAATTTTACCTCAAAACTTTTTACCCATCATCTCTTACTATTGGGTAGGAGAAAGATTACTTCCTTCTTTCTTTCTCTCTCTCTCTCATATCATGAAAAAAAAATACTGTTTTTTTTTTGTACTAATTTCCTAATTAAATATTTCTTACTTCTTTACTTTTCCCCTTGTTTTTTTGGCTCTTTTCTGATTCTGTTCGATTTTGTGCTCCCCATGAATGTCCATGTTCATGTATATATAACATAACTCTCATGTGAATTTTATATATCCTATTTCGATGTGGAAATCCAAATTAAAATTAAAATTTTCATTATAAAAAAAAATATTATATTTAATTACTCTTGAGGATTTCTCGTACAAGGTGATCCAAAATTATTTTATGTACTAATCTTCCTGTGATCAAACCATAATTTATATATGTACTAATTTTCTATAATTGTAATTTACAAATTCAAATAATTTGTTTAATCGTCATCATACTTTACTGAACTCTCTTCTTTGATTGCTTCTCTGTAAATTATTGAAATGCATATGAAAGGATTGCGCTAGAAAGGTGTTACATATAAATTTTTGGGATATTATGATCAAATGTATTTTCAGATTTTACCTAAACTTAATTTCTTTCCTAAGCAAACTTAAGGATACATTTTTTTCGTTTTTACTTGGTGCATTCATAATTTTATTCTCAAAATATTTTCACAAAAATTGAAGCCTAATTGACAATAAATTTTTTTTCTTTTTACCAATTGAGCTAATTCTTTGTAGTTATGTATTAATTTTTAAGTACAAGAATCTTTATTTTGTATGGTCTAGCTTGTCTTAGAGTACTTGACCTTGACAGTAATCACAGCTGTTCATTTAGGTAAGGCTACATTAATCCAAAATATATGAAGTGACATAGTGATTTTGGAAAGCTTATGAGCTGGTTGAAGTATTAGTTACACTTTGGGATGTGGATCTTAACTATGTTTTGGTGTGGGAATCATATACTATTTATTCGCATTTCGAATTCTTAACTAGAACAAAAAAACAGATACACAGTTCTTGATTATTGTAAAGACAAGTGCCTGTGAATGCCAACTAGCTTGACCCTCGAAGTAAGTTGAGTTGAGACCGTACACACACACACATGCATTTGAAAGCCACCAACCCTAAAAACTAAAAAGCTACTGCTATTACTGACGGTGGCTTGAACTGAATCCAATGAGGAATATCAGTGAGAATAGACAGAATAGAATAATAGTACTGCTAGCTAGAGTCCCTAGGAGTAAGGAAAGGAGACAAAATAGGAGGAACCTTACAAAAACCTAGTCCCAGAGATTTTTCCTGCAATTGCGGTCTTAGGCTTTTGGATCATTTCACCCGCTTAAATAAGTGTTTAATAAAAGTTATTGGGATATTCAGGTGGATCATACGCTGTGTCTCCTTTGCCCAGTCAGAATCAGGGTGCAGATCAATATGGAGGAATTACTATGGCAAACACTGTTCTCTTAAATACAATTTTAGTTTTGGGCATTTATTCACATAAATTTTGTCATGAGATTTAAAAAAAAAAAAAAAAGTGGTCTAGCTTATGTTTGAGAAAAAAGGAGAGAGGTAGAGGGGAAGCATGGTGAGAGGCAAAGATTATTCTTCTTTATTTAGATAATTTCCTCCTCAAAAAGAGAAATTAAAATGAAGTGAAATGTTGTATAATATATACAAACGGAAGCATTTTATTTGTACTTCTTTTTATTACAATCCTATAATTATTCAATTATAATAAAAAAATATGTAAAAGTTCATCATTTATAAGTGTAAGTTTTATATAAAATCTTGATAACTCCAATATAATTTTGAATTGTGATTTGTTAATTGTACTATAATAATTGTAAATTATATCCTCTTCATATACAAGAAAGGGATAAACTTACACTAGTATATAACATTTTAGTTTTACACTTTTTTTAATTATTAATTTCAATAATATGAGGTAAGATCCAAAGGATGAAATTAAACTATTTTTTTCTTTTTTTTGATTTGTCTCTCTTATCCCTTTGATATATTAAAATTAATGATTAGAAAAAAGTGTAAAATTAAAAAGTTTTACATTAGTGTAAGTTGATATATATATTTTATAGTTAATATATTGTCAGTGTATAGATTTTATACATTGTAGTGAATAAGATGATGCCACATCATTAATGAATAAATATCAATCTTTAAAATAAATATATAAATTTAATTAAAAAAAACTTACTTATTAATGAGGTGTCATAATTTAATTTACCTCATTAATGAGGTAGTATCATCCAATTCACTAACTGTGTATAAAATTTATACACTAACAGTATATCAAATATATATATATTACCTTTTTTAGTTAAAGACAAAATTGAAAAGAACATGATAAGTTATTAATTATATAAATAATGTCATGACAAATTATTTGATATACTGATAGCAGAATTTTTTAACTTAACAAGTGAAGTTAAAATAGTGAAATATATCCCACATTTTTTTTAAATTAGTTTTTTATTTTTTAAATATATACTAAAAAAACATGTATTATAATTTTAATTTCACTTGTAGAGTTAAAAAATTCCAATGTGTATTTGATCATTTCTTTAATGTAATTTCACTATCTATGCAAAAAAATTCTCTAAATCTTTCAATTTGAAAGGTTTTGAAAGAGTGTCTCTCTCCTTCTCCTCCCCTTTATGAGCTATAATGTGTTAATGCTAAGAAATATTCTTTAGTTTATATTCCAAATATCTCACCACATTCAAGAAATTTTTTGTACTGAATGAGAGAAGGACCTCTAGCTAGTGTTCTACTAATTCATGAGGAGAATGTCAAAGGAATTTCATAAAATTACTATTTGAAGAAAATTTCTATATAGTACATTAAGACTACGTTTGGCACACATAAGATTAGTTGAATGATAGGGTATTAATCATCTTATCACATATTTGTTATGCACTTGAATAAAAAGATTGAATTATTGAAAGGATTTAGATATCCTATGCCAATAGGATAACTCTATCCTTTGAAAAAATAAGGGATTAGTTTTAATCTATGTGATTAAACTTATATGACTTATTATATTTTTAAAAATTACATCAATAATTTAAATTGTATAAACTTTGAGGAAAGATAATTTTGACCAATAAATAAATTATCCTACCTTAATCCTTGTACACATCAAACATAAAATAGGATGATATTATTTAATGTTATCTTATCTTATCCTATTATAATTTTGTGTACCAAACATGACCTAAAAATCTTTATGTTAATCATTGAACAATTGCATTTATTCCCAACCTTTTGAATAATAGTCTTAACAAATGCCCTTGTTAGATTTCAAGGGGTGGTGAGCTTTTTATTCTTAATTAGATTACACTCTTTTGTTATTTCTTAACTCAAGCCCCTCATGATTTACTATGGCATGCATGGATATATATATATATATATATTGTATGTATGTAGATATGACAAGAATTAACAGTAGCCTTTGTATTTTGTGAATATTGGTTGATGCAGGATGGGATGATGAGCATTCACCAAGTTAGCAAGCAAAACTCGAGGGAAGGGAAAAGGGTATACATAAAGGCAAACATTTGAAGTTAATGCAGCACTAGCACTTGTACTACTACTGGTTTAATGTTTAGGGTTTCTCTTGCTTTGCGTATAAAAATTAAGCACTTACAAAGTTTTGTGGTACCTAATATAATGTTGTTGTCATATATAGAGCATGCAAAGCTTGGCTCCACTGTTAATTATCATGTTATCCTTGGCATTTTAATTAATTAATGAATTAATCAGCATGCATCACCTTGTTAGTTATTTAATGTAATTATTTAATAAATTATTACACCTTAGACGTATAAATTAATTAATATGTTACTTCTTTAAAGCAGGATCGGAAGTGGGATTTCTCTTCGGCCTAAATATTTAGTCTGAAAATAATGCGTGTTAGCGTCCTTGGCCCTGGGTTTTGTACGCTATCAAACTATTGTTCCACTGATATCTGCAGGAAGTGAGAAACAGCTGTAGTTTCTTTTAAGTGCCGATTGCTGGCTGGCATATCAAAGTGAGGATTTTAGCCTAATTAAATAGAAATGGGAGACCAAAGATTTAGCTAAGCAAAGCTTTGACAGGGATACTCAACACAAAGAGTTTCTGGATACAACCTAATCTTGTACATTGCAAGAAACACAAAGGCTTAAAAAAGCTAATACGTTAGAGACTCACCAACTAAAACAAATGACATTGGACCAAATGTAGGCCCAGTTCCAACATCCCAAATTAAATTACAACGAGTTCAGTTCTTTTATGGCCCCTAAAATGAAGGGGGAAAGGCAAAAGAAAGAAACTTTAACAACTCTGGCAACCTTATCTGCCAACTGCTGATTGACTTCTGAGTTCTGAGGCCACTATCAGCTAGAACTATACATACTTTCAAGGGATGAGTATAAAAATCAATATTCTTCATGTTTTTCCCGCGCAAAAAACAGTCGAAACTCTTCCCCCATATATGGCTAGCTATAAATGTCTGCAACAAAGAAAAAAGGACCCTTTTTAGAAATCAATTCTATATCAAAAGTGATGTTTAACCATGCAAAGCTGTCAAGGAGATAACACATAGAACATACAATCAAAAGGAGTCTATGAATACAAAATACACTTCATTTCCTTGACCATAAACAATAAGAATGCATACTTCAAATTGAGATTCAATCCTTCTAGTTGAAAGGAACTTTCTGCATATTTTGACATAGAAATAACACACAAGAAAACCTGAACAAATCCATGAGATTTTGAACAATCAATCACTCAAGCCATGGTCCCTGTGTATTAGATGCATACAACAACCATTATGGTAAACAGAGAGAACTGAACGTAGGGCTTTGAAAGAACTCTTGACAATTTTCTTGCAGATAAGTATGTATAAGAGAGGATCTAATACAGATTATCAATCTTGAACTCACATGCACAGCTGAAGAGAAACAGACAGGCAGATAAAAACAGAGAACAGACAATACCTTTATGGTACATCCAACATCTTTCTTAAAACAAATCAAGGACTCCACAAACAGAACATAATTATAATTATGACTATTTGACCAAGTCATGACAGTTCAGCTTCAGTACCATTCATCATGAATCAAATTCAAAACAAACTTATATTGCAAAAGGAAGGCATCAAAATTGGAATTTTTTTTTTCTTTTTTTCTGAACTAGGAAATGCTAACATTTTTAACCACACAGATTTGATAGACAAATCATTAAGGTTGTGCTATGTGCAGCACAGATATGAGGGCAATTTAAACATAAAAAGCATATTTAACTCTTGATGAGTATTATCATGCTTCTTGGCACATGATATTGCGGGTAAAGACAGGCAACAACCTCCGTCAGCAGACCAGCAATGAAGAAACATCCATTTTCTGCTGACATACCATAAAAATAATGTAGAAGGTCAGATAAAAGTTTATCTGATTACAAGCATGAACCTGATCAGTCTGCAAGCAAGTTACACACACCATAAACCCCCACAGGACCCCTAATTTATATATAAATATATTTTAAAATGAAACCTCTCAACTAGATAGTAACCTGCCAAGTGAAAGACACAAGCCTTAACACACCAAGACATTTCAAATAAACATACTTTTATAGAAAAGGCCATCGTAAGAGCACATTTAACAAAATGGAAAAACCCAATAAACCAACAGAACAGGCAATATTCCAAATTGACCACAGGTTTTGAGGGGCATGGAGTGACAAATTACCAAATAAAATCAACCTCCCAACCTAATCTCTGTAGGATAGGAATGTTAGGCAGATATAAGGGGCAAGTCTACTTTTTGATAAACAGCCTGAATTCTTGTTATCCGCTGTATCAATAAAAAGATCAGAAGAGTTTCTTTTGTCACTTCTGCCAAGTCAGTCAATTTCCACATCAAACGTAACTCCAAAACTTAAACCTTAATGCCCCGGCACATTAACTTATCAGGTTACATAGCCACCAGAGCACATTGAAGCATGTTATTTCAAAAGAAACAGTGGAGGTCAAGGTTTCAATTCTTTTCTTTTAGAACACATGTTGGAAGACAAGTCAAACATTAAATCCTAAAGAAGCACACCGAAAGAATTCAGTATATAGATGGTGGAGTTGGACATATCTTGAAAACCCAAAAGCCTAAGTTTAACGCCTTATTCTTTCAACTTGTAAAACATATATACCCCGTTCATACCAAAATGACATGAACATTACATAAAAGTAGGAAAAAACAAATGTCAAACCGAAATCAATATCAATCAATGCAACTTATAAGTAGTGCACCTTGTATCAAATACATGAAGGGAGGGAACCCAGGAATCCATGCAAGGTTCTAAATCAAACACATACAAGACAGTAATAGACTACACACCAGCCACAATCTACAGTCATTTATATTTAAAGAAAGCTTTCACCAGAAAATAATGAACAAGTTCCAAGATCGCACTTCCACAACAGGCATTGAAAAAAAAGGACAACAAGGTCACACTCTTTGAAGAAGAAAAGCATACCAGCAACCTTGTTTATTGTACAAATATGCCACATACTGATCCAAAACACTCATCCATAAATGAATTTTACCCCTTTGTGTTATCAAACCATCAAGTCATTCAAAGATCATCCTAAAAACATTTTAATCAATCAAATAACAAATACAATAATATATAAAGCTAAAGACAGTTTTTTTACGAGGAAGAATAGGCCTCACCACTGGACCCCGAGGATCCTTTGCCGCGCTTGATCCTTTCGAGTTGCACCTGCGTATCCATAAACATCCTCATCCTCTGCACTTCCAAATCTTTAGCAAATTGCATTCTTTGCTTCTCCAATTCCACCATCTGCCTCAGTTTCTCCCCTTCCACTTTTTCATACACATGCCCAAACCTCTCTATCGCTCTCGCCAATCTCTTCATCCCTTCCCTCTCCTCTCCTTCTCCTTCAGTTTCCTGTCCCTCGCTTTCCTCTCCCTCCTCATCACTTTCTGCAGCAGCAGCTGCAGCCGCAACAGCAGAATAATTTCTCCTGAAATTTCCATCGTCCGCCACAGGCCTCTTCTGCGGAAGTGCGGCAACCGTGGCCGACGCCGGAGTCCTTCTGTACGGCAGCGGAAGCGGGAGAGCCATGGGAGGAGACCCCGGGATCCTCGGTGACAACCTTGGCGATGGCTTCGGGGACATCTTAGGCGAAGGAGAAAGCTTTTTAGCGGCGAAATTGGATCCGATGAGAGCATCCAAGCGTTCAAAGAAAGGCCATGACGACGTTAGGGTTCCATTAGAGGAGGTAACACGAGTTTTCTCGATCTTGTACTTTTTCTTGATAGTATCAATCCTGTTCTTGCACTGGACATCTGTACGGTGCGTCTTTTTAGTATGACCGTGAAGAGCGTTAACGGCGTCAGCAACATCTTGCCAATCCTTCTGACGGAGGTTCCCACGGTTAAGCTCGAGATAACGGCGACCCCAAGCGTCGACGAGGGTAGAGGTAGCTTCCTCAGACCAACAATCTTCACGGACAGGTAACGGACGGGAGTGGGGAGTGGTGGAAGGAGGGGTAGGAGTCGTTGACGGCGTGAGGGAATCCATAAGGTCGCCCATGGGAGGGTTGGGGGAAGAGCGAAAAAAGGTGGGGATTGGTTTTTGGTTAGGGGAGATTTAGGTTATTGATTGGGAAAGAAAGGGTTAATAGAAAAAAGAGAGGTTGGGGTCGGTTCGGCGATGACGCGCCGGACACATGAGAGAGGCGTGAGAGTAGGGAAAGAGAATAATAGAAAGAGGGTTAGGATTGGTCGCCGGGATGTGAGAGAGCGCGTGAGGGTGGGGTGAGGTGGGCAGGTGGCTTGGGTCATCATCGGATTCGGCTCGGCTACTAGTCCAGTTGGCATTTTGACGTTTCCTTTGTGCTGCTGCCTTTCCTTGGCCTGCTACTACTACAACTGCAAGGCCGAAAAAGTGCATTACCTTGATCGTTTTCCGGATATTAATGGATAACAAATTTTCTATATTTATTTATTTTATATATTAAACCAAATAAAAATAAACCAGTCACTGGACAAAAATGGATGACATATAGGAAAATTTTGTTTCTCAAAATGGAAAACTTTGAGGCATTTGGGGAGGTATCTCTTTCTGTTTTCTGCATTAGGTTTTGGGGTGCCTACTTTTCGGTCAGGTGGATCTTTCATTATTGTGTAACATATCATTATTAAGGGTGTAATTATTCGATTTACATAAAATTTAATTTTAATTTAGTTATTATTAAATCAAGTTTGAATTCAAACAGTTTAATTTATTAAACAATTTGAATTTAAATATTCAAATATTTAACTCAAATTATTTATGAATTTAATTAAAATTTTAAAATTTTTATTATTTTAATTAAAAATTTATTATTTTATCTTTATATATATATTAATTCAAATTTAAATTTGAACTCAAACATATAATCAAATTTAAAATTAAATATGATAATAGAATTTATTTTTATTAAATAAATTAATTAAATAAATTTAAATAATTTAATTTTACTTTAAGCTTAAATTTTAAAAATTAAATTAAATTCAGTTCGAATTAAATTTTAAATTAAATTCAAATTTGAATTTATCATTTAACTCCATTCAATTACACCATAATCCTGACAAAAGTGAAAGATTGTTTCCGGTGCCGTTATCCAAGGTTTGTCTTCCCAAAGCTTTCTTCATGCTCCTCAAGTGGCTTGTGATGAGATTAAATTTTGCCTTTGTTTCCTCCTTTTCAATGACATTTTATCAAATTCCACAATCCGTTTTGAGCCCCCCATGATGAAACATGTGGTTGGGTTCAAGATCAAGGGCTTCTTAAGCAATGATTTTCACAATGCATCATCCATTCATTCCAAGCAAGTTTCTTTTTTCCTCTAACATTATATATACTCAGTAGTTAATAAATTCAATAACTTATAATTAATAAATTCATAAAAATGAAGATAAAAAAAAAAACTCTGGTATTGCATTTCCATAGGCCTATGAATGGCGCAAAAATAGGGGGGGATGGATCCGGTTGCGTCGATGTTTGGAATGATGTGGATGTGCGGCAGTAATGCGCCGGCTGCCGGCTGGCGCTTGACGTGAGCCGCACGGACTCTAACTTGGGTCTTGGCTCCACTTAGCTCTCGGCGCCGTTAGCTTGCAACTATTGTTACCTCGTTGTTTCCATCGTCTTTCCAATTTTTCTAGTTTGACCGAGAAACAGAATGATGCGGTTAAAACTTGAAAAAGGCCTTGAGGTTGAAGAGTTCCGGTTAGCGCTTTTTTGCTTTTATCTGCCCTTTGCCCTTTTGGGTTTTGCCTTTGTGAGATATTGTTGGGCCTCTTTGATGTAGCCCTTAGGCCTGCTTTTTGACCCAAAAATTTGGGGCCAAAATTGTGGCATTGATTATCATGATTTACTATGACTGTTGATGACTTCCATGATTCAATCATCAAAAGCAATTCACAATTGAAATGGTTAGTTTCTTGTTGTTTAGGGTTTAGCATTACAAAAGTCACTGAACTACTTTGCTATAGCCTATAGGCCTAGTAGAAGCCAAGTTTTAGAAGGAGCCTTAACCCAAATTTTAGTTATAAAAAACATTAGCTTTCAAATTTATGGCCCACCTCATAGATAGGGATGGCAGCTTAATATGTTTTCGATTAATTTCGATTTGATTCGATTTTTGAAGCTTGATTTTAAAGAAAAAAAATTATATTTCGAGTCAAATTGAGTAATAATAATAAAAAATCTAGGTCAAGTCAAGACTTGATTTTAAGTAAATCCGACCTGATCCGATTCGATATATATAAATTATTTTTAATTAATTAATTAATTTTATATTTATATATATATTTATATAATTTTATATTTATTTAAAAATAATATTTTATATTTAAAAATAATATTTTATTAATTTTGGATTAAATCGGATATGATTTATATAATATCGAATCAAATCGAATTTAAATATGAAAAATTAAAAAAAATTGTTCGATCAGATCAGATTTGAGATGAACAAAAATTCGTCCGATCCATTATCATCTTTTCTCATAGACCAAAAATGTTGGCCCTTCAACATCTCATTCAACTGTCATTATCAAAATCCACTCCCCCCCCGCCCTCCTTTCAGGAAAAAGTGTGCTAACCGGGCATTGCTGGTAAAATGAGCACATTGCACAGTAAAACGAATATGCTGCAATGTTGTAAGTGACAATGATCAGTTACGAAAATAAATGATTTTCAACTCTTCGAACCCTATTATTGGTTTAAGGAATTAATCAAATCCAAGAAATTTCAGATTCAATCACTTGCTCTCCCATCAAATTTCAATCTCAACTCTGTAATGCATCCGTAGCATCTGCACCTTCTTTTTAACCATTCCGATGAAGCATGTAAACTGCAGTGAATCCAACTACTTATATATTTATATAGATATATATTGGATGGAACATTACTTTGAGCTGTTGAAAACCCCACCCAGAGCCTACAAATTGTGTGTATGTGTGTCTATAAATAAATAAATATATATATATATATCCACCTGCCGCCGGTTTGTGATAACCTTCCATCGGTAACGTTTTCTAAGAGAATTTTCAACTGAAAAAAGGTTGTATCATATTAATGTATGTGCGATGAACAACGAACCATAGGCAAGCACTTTGCCACTCTTTTTTGTGCGTTACCTGTCAGGAAAAAAAAAATCTTAGTGAAGGTGACTTTTTTTTTTTCTCTTTTGATAAGCTGCATTGATGTTGAGATTGCAAAAAAAATGTACTTGCTCATCTTTCTCTTTTCCAAACTCAACAATGCCTCCACAAAAATCGTTGGGTCGTGGCAATAGTAGCAAGAGCTAAGCCCCTAGAGAAAGAAAACATTAATTTCTAGGGTTAATTCAGCTGTAGCTAGGCAAGTTAAAACTTTCGAAATCATTACTAGCAGTCCCCGTCAACCCTTGAACCCCAAATAGAATTGTTTATTGATGATTTCCAACAGAGTATGTCGAAACCAGTGAATGTTTTATATCAAAATATGCCGATCAATTATTTATGATAGTATGCATACTCTTAGATAAGATCGAATAATTGACCATATATGAATGCATGTCGATCGACCAAAACAGAGCCAGTACCCCCATATTCAAATCTTTCAAACCCTAATCCTCATACCTTAGCAAACCAATGGTAATAAACCATAGGAGGAGGGGTCCAACCCAAGTTTGGAAGAATGGGAAGGTTGTCAAAATAACAGAAAAAAAATAGTACAAGCTTTGTATAGGTTAAAGGCAAATGGCCTCATTTCTTAATATGCCACTTGTAAAGATAGGTGACGACAAGATTGACAATCCATTTTGGAACATTTTATTTTATCTGCCATAAGGATTTTGATCCCCAAAAAAAAAAGATTGGAGATACTCTAAAACATGGGGTGAAGGTATGGTGATATTAAATTGTGGAAGAATGCACGAAGAAAATAAAAAACTAACCATAAAGAATTCAGATTATAAATGAAAAGGTGGAGATAGCGACTCTTTACCCTTTTCACGTCGATAAAAATAACAAAGTGTAAGAGGGAGACGCCCCCCCGCCGCTTGAATTATTGCAGTTTTTTTTATCATTTCCCACTTCTAGTATTCTGCACCAAAAAAGAATAATCAATTTCTTCCTTTATTTTCCATAGACTTTTGAACCGATTGAAGTATGGCTTTAATTTAAGTATTTTTTAAAATATTTCAGTAAATAGATTTTTTTTATTTATATCTAATAAAAACTCAAAAGTTCATCCCTGATCAGAATTTTTTTTATAAAAAAAATTCAAGATAAATAAATTATTCGATTTTTCAAATTAAGATAAAATATGTCGTACATAACAATTTAAAATAAATTACTATAAGTTGTGCTCGTACATTTTAAATAATTTCAATAAGTATCATTGACAAGATTCAAATCTAAAATTTTTTCATCTAAAAGAACAAATCTTAATCAATTAAACTAACTATTTATTGAATTTTTAATTAGTTAATAAAAAATCTCATAATTCAAAACCCTCAATGGCTTTTGAAATTTGTAATCTAAGTTCAATTTTTTGCCCTTCAAGCCCGGCATTTTAACTGGTCAGTCCAATCATGGATCCTCCGTCCCATAATTTGGCATCCTATGTTTGTCGGCAAACAGTGGTTAATTTGAGATTTTGAGAACTCCCCACAGGGAAGAGAAGATGAAATGGAAGAGGAGGGCTGATCTGGTCTGAATAGGAAAATAAAGGAAGGCAAAAAGATCACAAAAATGAAAACTTTGGTCTCGTGATCTCTAGTAGTACAAGTTTAAAAGTATATTAAAACAGTGGAAACTGAAGCAGTTAAGTACCATATAATAGTTACCTTTCATTCACTTTTTTTCTCTAGAAAAACTTTTATGATACTAAAATATAGAAAAAGGTGAAAAAAAAGGGGAAAAAGACAAACAGAATAGTTTACTTGATGAAGCAGATAAAATGAACTGCAATTCTGACATGCAAAGGCATCAATTGAAATAGATTTTATTCCAATGATATCTATCCAACTCCAGTTACCTTTTTGTTGTCCCCAGGTGGTGGGACTGGAGAAAGCAAAAAAAAAAATAAAAATAGCAGATCAGGATTCAGGAACATATATAAGATATAGGGAAAATGGGGTTTTGATTACTACTCCAGGCCCAGGGGGTGATGATGAAGTTAAAGGTGGCTAGCTGAACTGAAATTCCAGCAGCAGCAGTTAATCAAGCCAATGTAGAGGTCAAACTCTACTGTTGATTAGCTTTACAGGATGCTGTTGGCACCATCTAATAAACCATCTTTGTAAGAGAACAAAATTGGTTGAAAGACATATGTCCCTCAAAGCCCACTTTGTTAGTGCAAGCTAGCAAATACAACTGCAATTATAATTATTCTATGGTGGAAAAGTTTATGTGGGGACTATTATTATTTGCACCCTAAAATCAATTTTTTTAATATGGGTTAAGGGTATTTTCAAGTTTTACTTAAGTTTAATTCTTTTTCAAACCAATTTGATGCATTTAAATTAAATTTTACTTTTGAAATGCCTCATACAAAACTGAATTCAGATTGACAAAAAAATAAAATTGCTCTCTTTATCAAATGAGCTAGCCTTGGTGGATCCTCAAAATCACTTTGATTTAATTAATGTTTTTCTTCTTTTTTATTCTAGTAATTTTTCTTTTTCAATTGATGGGATATTTCATTGTGGTTCCTACCTCCATGAATATTTATGGACACTAGCATATTAAAGTATGATCATGTGAATTCTCTCCTTTTGATTTGGATTATGGAACATCGCACATATATTTAGCTTGATCATGTGCTCTGATCCATTGCATATCAATGAAGTGTCACCTTTCATCTATTTGATTTTTCAAATTTTTAAAAAAGATTTATAAAGAAATTAAGAATGGTATAACATGATGATGATGATGATGATCGATTATTAATATTTCACTGCCACCATCATTTCACAATCACCTTAGAATCAAAATCTTATTGAATTCAAACCAAATTTATGCTTAGTAACATCTCTCATTCTCTCTCACCATTCCTTTGGATGATAATTACAACTTCCCCCTCTTCAATACCCCACAAATTAAAAGCAAAAAAAAAAAAAAAAACCCACACAAACCCTCTCTCACTCTCAGCATTTACAAAATTACAACTTTCAAGAGATTTGGCACTCGAAAATTACGCTTAAAAATCAAGTAACGTCTGTGGCAAAACATCCGGACCCAAGATCCCTGAAACAACTGTGTGTTATAACTTATATGTACAAAACTCAAAATAAAACTAATAAAAGGGCAGAAAAGAAATGTAAACAAGAAGAGAAAAAAACAAATACTTAAGGCAGCTGTTCCTTGAACCCTATTATTGGATGGATGTACTTTCTTTTTTCTCCTAAAAATGAATTATATCAAAATATGAAGGAAAATTACAAACCCCATCTTTGTAATTCATAGTAGTAGTAGTAGTAGTAGTAGTAGTAGTAGTAATGGTATAACACAGCGTACTTCATGATCAACAATCATTTGGCGTCTCGGATATGCTCTCTAAGTGTGGCCTCCACACCCCAACTCGGCCTCTTCTTCGATCCCTTTGAGTTGACAACTTCTCTGAAAGTATTTCACTTAAATACTGGTCTGATATCAAAAGATTCGTCACTGAAATAGTGTTGTTGTTCTTGTTGGCGGTGCTCATGCTTCTGCTGTGACGATGCTGGCGGCTGCTGTTGCTGCTGCTGTCAAACTCAAGACTGTCTCTTCTTTTCTTCTTGGTTGTTGAAGAGGATTTTGATCGGGTTTTTTCGGGTGTTGAAGGGTCCGGCATCAGGAAATAAATCTTTCCACGTTGCAGCTCTGCGTCTGGTGGGACGATGACGATTTTTGGGACCATCCCATCATCGGAAGAGGAGGAGGGTTTCTTTAGGACGTGTTTAGGGTGAGCCTTCATGATCTCGCTGGCTGTGATGGAGCCACTGATTTCTTCAACCCGGCCATTGGAGTGTACTATTCGAATCACGTCGAGTGCTCCACATGGAAGAATGCAAGAGATGCAGCACCGGATGGTGTTCTTCATGGCTCTTCTCTCTCTATATATTGGTCTCTCATAGAGAGAAGACGAAGAAGAAGAATGAAAAAAGTGGAGGTAAAAAGAGGGGGAAGAAGGAAGTAATGGAAAGAGAAAAATAAAAGAAGAGAAAGAGAGTATCTCTTTTTCTTTTGCCCTAGCTGACTCAAAGAGAGTCGGAATCAGTCGCATAAAAGAAAAAAAAAATGATGATGTTTTTATTATATACTCTTAGCTTTTTCTATTTGTTTTTTGGGTTCCTTTTTCTCTGCTTTTCAAGGGAATTTTTTCTTCACTTGCTTAGGATGAAATCTATGGCATGATTAATTGGATCTTACTCTGTACTTTACCTTTTGGATCCATCATTTAAGGCCCCCATCTTCCTTCCCTTCACTGAGATCAATAATTTTGGGTTTTTGATACTGTAAGGTTGGAGGGCTTATGGGTGACACATGATGGTGCATGATTGGGACTGCCAAGTAAGCCAGAATAAGACCCTCCTGCCAGGTGGCCTATGACACATTCTTCAATCAGCTTTAGATGATACAGTTCTTTTACTGAATCCCCTTGCTGTAGACTCCATTAGCATTTAGATAAATAATAAAAATTATTATAATTATGATTAAAAGTAATAATAAAATTAATTTTTATTCAATTCTCTTGTTGTTTTAGATTTATTTAAATAAATAATGAGATTAAAAATAATAATTATAATTTTATAATTATAATTTTAAAAAATAATAATAAAAATTTTATATTAAATGAACTTTACACGATAAACTCAATGTCATGAAATCTAAACTAAGGATTAGTTTTCTTTTTGAAATGCTTTGAGTCAATTGATTTGGTAATTGTCTAGCTACTGACCTTTTTTGCTCCTATGAACTGTGGGCAACCCCACTTGCACTTTGCCACATATTGCTTCATCCCAATTCCTAACTTCTCTTAATTACCTTATTTCTTGATTTAACTTTCAAAATCTTCATGCTAGATTGATTATTTTGAGTTCACCTTTCACATACAGTAGTTAAAAGATTATTTTATAAGTAACCTTATGAATTTTTGAAAAACTAGATCATGACACCCAAAAAAAAAAAATTTCTAAGCTAATCCCTTAAAGGAGGATATTAAATGGTTTGATTTGATGTGTGTATAATTTCATTTTCAGTTGGGGGCCCTAATCAAAATTAGTGTGACCACATGGAGATTTTGCCACAAGAAAACAAGGTAGTTAAAAACTGTTAAAAATGGTTTGATTGCCTGTTAATCTTAGTAATGTCCCATCGAAGCTGTGGCCCCCCAATTAAATGGTTCAGATGTAGATGCTAATGGGCAACATGTGATGGTATGGAGAGAGGAGGGTCCATTGAAATTTTGAAGGGTTTTTTTTTTTTTCTTTTTCATATATATTTTATTGAACTCCACCAAAGAATCTTGGGAAAGCTCTCCCCTTCTATTGATTATTGAATTAGCTTACCAAAATTAAGTCACTTTTTTTTTTTTTTTAATGTTTGTGTTTGTTTTTTTCATGATAACTTGTTTGACCCTTTAAGACCCTTTAATCAGTCACTTTTTAAGACCCGTTAATCACCTTTTCTATGATTAAACAAATTACTAATTAAATTTTACAAAATATGGGTCCTGTAAACTACAATTAATCCACATTGACAAAAGGCATTTGCGTATACGTAATTAAAATTTAATTTTTGACAATTTCATACTAAAAAAAAACATGTTTGTTTTAGATTAAATTCTTTTATTTTCACATAAATATATCAATTTTTGATTTGAAGTTTGATTTAATAACATTGTTCATTGTCTTTTTTCTGTTTTATTTTTTATTTTTTAAAATAAAAATAATATTTAAGTATATTACTAATAAAACAATTTTTTTTTCATTAAATGGTTTTAAAAGAGGTATATATAAAAGAAGTTCTAATAAAAATAAACTGTAAATATATGTCATTCATTGTATAAAATTATACATTTGGAGGCATTTCGAATATTAAATCATTTACTAAAAAAGAATCTGGACGACAAATTATAACTATATATCAGGTCTTTGAAACATGAAGATAATAAGGAAATCACTTTGCTCTTTTGTTAGGAATTCATCGATTCTTTCTGCCTTTTCTTTTCTTTTTTTTTTTTTTTTCTAAATTCCAATAAAAACAAAATGGAAATGATAAAAAAATTTATTTAAATACTTTTTTAAAAAATATTTTTATCTACAGAAAAGGCAAGTATTAAAAAATGGGGTCAAATGAAACCAAAACCTTATCAATGAAGTTGATTAGGAAAGCTCCAATTGTGGCCGACTTGACTTCAGCACCTTTTCGAGCTGGACAGTACAAGTTTTCCATACCTAAAACCATCACTGCTTTAAACAGACCAAATTCATTGTTCCTCTAAAGCAGGTTGCATAATTGCTGAAATTTTCATTACTTCTTTCACTCCAAAACTTTTTTATGCTTTGATGGAGTGTCCAAAAATAGAAAAACAAAGAAAATTAAAAGAAAAAAATTTTTTGGACACTTTCAAAAATTAGAAAATAAAAAATTTACAAGAAAATTTTTTCTTTAAAATTTGTATTATGAATATCATCTTCGTTGATAAAATTAATAAATTCATTGATAATATTATATATATTTATATATTATAAGTGGACACTTACGAAAAAAATTCTGAGTTCATCATAATACAATGCTATTTGATCCAATGAAGTAAGAATCCAGATAAGAAATAATTAGAATTGAATAACACAAAAATTAATCAACAATCCTAACATAAATTGATTTGATTTAAAGCTTCATTTAGTAGAGCAGTTGAAAAAGAGTAAAGCTTAAAAAAAAAAATTAGTAATTTAATGATAAAACTACAAAATAAAAAAATATATAAATTTAAACTATTGAATTAATAAATTTTCCGTACTTTTTCACAAACAAAGCCTATGGTTAACAACTTAATCTAAAATGATATAATCCCACATTGAAACCGTGTGAATTTCTTTCCCTCCCGGACCAATCTGCCAAATTATCTCTTTTTCATTTTCTATCTGATTGGACCAGTCCGGCCACCAAAATTAGCCCAATTAGCATTTCCAATTTTACTGGATTTGGCCCATTGTCTGTCAAGAGCCCAGGTTGTTGTGTACTGGATCTGGCCTATTCTCTGGTTCTTCTCCTCCTAAGCCCATACAAAATGCAATCCCGGGTGATAGTGAAGATGCTGCTTTGTTGAAGTCGAAATTGATTTGCAATTCTGAAAATAAACTCAATCAAATCGAAATCATAGAGAGACCAAATCCATACCCTCCAAAAAACTCTATCTTCCGAATACCGAATAACGACGATGCCCGTTTTCAAAACCCCGTTCAACGGCTACTCCGTCCGGTTCTCCCCCTTTTACGAGTCTCGTTTAGCCGTAGCAACCGCCCAAAACTTCGGCATATTAGGCAACGGCCGTGTCCACGTCATTGATCTCTCCCCAACCTCCCCAACCATCAACGAGCTAATCGCCTACGACACCGCCGATGGAGTCTACGACGTAGCGTGGTCCGAATCGCACGACTCCGTCCTCGTTGCTGCCATCGCTGACGGTTCTGTCAAAGTCTACGACACCGCCCTCCCTCCTCAGTCCAACCCTCTTCGCTCCTTCAAAGAACACGCCCGTGAAGTCCATGGTCTCGATTACAACCCCACGCGGCGCGACTCGTTCCTCTCCGCTTCCTGGGACGATTCCGTCAAGCTCTGGACCCTTGACCGCCCCGCTTCCCTCCGCACTTTTCGGGAACACGCGTATTGCGTGTATTCCGTCGCGTGGAACCCCAAACACGCCGACATTTTTGCCTCGGCTTCCGGTGACTGTACGGTAAGAATCTGGGACGTTAGGGAACCCGGTTCAACGATGATAATCCCGGGTCACGAACACGAAATCTTGTCATGTGATTGGAATAAATATGATGATTGTTTGATTGCTAGTGCAAGTGTAGATAAGAGTATTAGAATTTGGGATGTCAGGAATTATAGGGTGCCGTTATCGGTTCTTAACGGTCATGGATATGCTATTAGGAAAATTAAGTTTTCGCCGCATAAAAGGAATTTGATTGTCTCTTGTTCGTATGATATGACGGTTTGTTTGTGGGATTTTATGGTGGAAGATGCTCTTGTTGGAAGGCATGATCATCATACAGAGTTCGTGGTTGGGGTGGATCTCAGTGTGCTTGTTGATGGACTCATGGCCAGTACTGGCTGGGACGAGCTTGTTTACGTTTGGCAGCAGGGGATGGACCCTAGAGCGGTTTAAAAAGGGAAGTCTTTACACTTCTTTTTCTTTTCTGTATGGTTTTTGTATAATTCATTGTTGTAATTTGAATGAATACTGGAATGGTTTTGGCTAGAAACTGATGAATGAATGATATGCTTGGAAGGGGATTGGTAATGGGGGCATGATGCTGTTGTTCTAGTTAATTGTAATTTGGTATAGCTATGGTATGCCTTTGTACAATTGCATTGTGTTCTTGATGAATAAGTAATCCTAATTGTATTTGATATTGATCCCCTGTTTATCAATTCTAATAAAGCAAAGGAGTTACACATTTTTTTGGTTTTTCTTCTCCGTTTACTACTATATGCTTGATATGTACTCCATGTCCAAGGGCTTGCAAGTTGCAATGCTTTCTCTCATTGCATGTATTTCTCACGTATGGTAGAGTGTTTCATATCATGGCTGCAGATGGAGAGTCCTCTGTACAAACTCTACTACCATATCTAAATAAGCATTTGATAACTCTGCTGTTGTGACTGAGTCGTTTATAAGCTAGCTGACTTTGAGACTTAAGAGTGCTGATAGTACATATTTTACACTGAAATTCTTCTTACCTAGAGTCAATTGGGGGAGGGGGTATGTGCATTGAAATTATAGCATAGCTCACCCTTAGAAATTCAATGAAAAGCTATTACTACTAGGGATGACTTGGTGGTACTGGTAAGGGTTTCCAAGATTCCCAGATCAGAGGTTTGTAGTTTTAAGTTTTAAGATCTGTTCTCGTGGATATTAGTTAAGACATCAGGGGGCATTATGTTAAATTCTAATCTTGTTGATTATAATGAAATTAACATAGTGGAGACATTGCGTTATCATGGTTTAACCACCCTCAAAAGCTATTTTCTTTGTTTCCCTTAAATAGTCTGAGGTTTTTGTGGCTAATCAAACTGCAGCATCACATCTTGTATTCAATTGTGTCTATAGTATTTGAAAATTGATTTTGTGTATACTTGCACTATTTAACATTGTTGGAAAATTTTGAGAAGCAAGGACTGGAGTGTTATTCAATTTTCGTCCTTTGTGTATACTTGCGCTAAAGTATGATTGATTCTTTTTCCATTGAAGAATGAATCTTTTTCAGATACTATTTGAGAAGGTTTTGTTACAAGTACCACATAGCACAACGATGGACTGTTCCTGTTTTTAAGAAAGCGATTTTTGGACAATCAATTTGCTATGAAACTATCAGACATATGTCCTAGAAATTGCTTCTCTGATAGAAGGTGTGCGAAAATCTATTACTGAAAAAATCCGAAAGTTAATCGAATTGATTGTGGCAAACATGAAAGTTCGATCTGATTATTGATTAATATTTTATTAACAGATCACTTAGTAATTTTTTAATCTTTTATGCCAACTCCAGGACAATGGCTGTAGTTACTTCAAAATAAAGAAGTGGGGAAAACCTTTGTTAAATTCCTAGTGTTGAAGTACGTTAATTGTTCAATTTCCTATATCAAAATAAAATATTTTATATTTTCAACAGAATTATGTATTTCAAGATTACTTGTGGTACAAAATTACGATAAAATTCGATACGAAATAACTTAAACGAATAAACTTATTAATCGAATAAGCTTTTTTATTTGGTAAATTCATTTATGTAAGTTTGCTTTTGCCTCTCGCGAGTGTTGCTAAGCTGACGCAAACCTTTTATTGTCCTTATGCCTTATTGCAATGTTGGACTGTTCACAACCACAAAATTCAACCATCCAACACATTGCGCACCACCTCCAATTTGGAACAAACTTGGGACAGAATTCAGGGCGTGAGCGTCACATGAGAGAAAAATAAAACATATATGCAGACAATTAATGCTAAAACAAACTTAAACGACATAATCCGATAAAAGCCAAGGTTTCTAAAAGAAAATATCTCCAACCCTTCAAAGTTTACTAAATTTAGAAATTAGCAATACATTCTTCGATCAACCCATATCCTTTTTTATTAGATCAGCAATTCAGAAAGCTGTGCTTTGAAATGCTATATAATGGAAGAAGAAGAGTATTTCGACGCCACCCCAAGCCAGAAGCAATGAAAATCCAATACCATACCCTTAACCTATCACCAAACCAATGTGTTTCAAGCCTAACTCAAACCATCGATGCACCACTTCCTCTATTATGGTCCATAATCCGCCGCTTCGACAACCCACAAGCCTACAAGCAATTCGTGAAGAGTTGCACTTTGAGTGTCGGCAACGGTGGCATCGGTAGCATACGTGAAGTGATGGTTGTGTCAGGGTTGCCGGCGGCCACGAGCAGGAAGAGGCTAGCTGAATTTGATGATGACTTGCATGTTATGATAGTTAGCATTATCGGAGGTGATCATCGGCTTGTTAATTACCGTTCTACTACTACTTTGCATGAAATAAGTGAAGAAGGAAATGATGGGAAAACGGTGGTTGTAGAGTCGTACGTGGTGGATGTTCCAGCGGGGAATAGCAAGGAGGATACCTGCTCTTTTGCTGATATGATAATCGGGTGCAACCTTAGATCATTAGCTAGGGCAACGGAAAAGATGGCCAAGGTTTAGCAATTTACCTATGCTATTTCAAATTTATGCCCCCCCTCCATTTAAGTATATATATATATATATATATATTGTAGGAGATAAAGATCACAAACCAGTATCCCAAAACGGGTTTTTGTTCACCCCAAACTTGATCTAATTTTATATAATAAATATTTGAAGTCGAACTTAACTTAATATTAAAATTTTATTTTTATATCCAATTTAACTCAGACATATGCATAAAACCGTAACTTAGGATCATTCTAATAAATTTTTAGTGGCAATAGATTTTTATGATTGGCCATTTAAGAGTCCAATAGGCCTCATTGGGCCAAATTGGAGAAGTCCCAATGCGACTTAAGGGCCCACTTTGATACTATGATAAGATTGTTTTGATTGTCCTTTTTGTCATCTCCACCTCTCTCAACGAGCCAGTTTCATAAAAGTGTCCAAATAGAGGCCTAGTTGTGGAGACATTGGGCTTGCTCATAGCACCCAATTGACAAACAAAATACCCACCCCAACAACTGTAAGACGTGTTTAAAAACAAGTGGTTGGAAAGGCAGAGAGAGCAACAATAACAAATTACAGCTCAAACCTAACCTTCTTTGCAAGGCAAAAGACTAGTAGGTAGCAGATGATCAAACAATTAAGAGCTTATGCACATATCAATCTATATTATATATTGAAAAAATCATTGGAACAAAAGATTTAATAGATACAAGAAACTGCTAACAAAACCCCATGTGATTAATGGATGAATAATCTATTATTTTTAGAAATATCTTCATTGTTAATAATTGTCACCTTCTTGATTTAGTAAGATCAGTGTTAACGTGGGGCTGATTGCGATGAGGTAGTTCCAACACACCGCTCCACGCACCCAAAACAGCACTTGAATTAGCTTCTTGATAATATCTTTTGGGATCGTCTCGTTTTGTAGGGTTGTCCATCATTTCTTCTTTATCATTAAATGCATTGATGTACACAATATCAAAGGGATGACAAATATCGGTGACCCTGGTGAGCTCTTCAAGCATTCATGTCCCCAATATTAATGTGATAAGAGACAGATTAAATGGTAAATATAGTCCATCCACACCCAGTTTTTCGTAAAAAGTTGACCGTTAGGTTTACCTCCAGCTACTACCATTACTGACAAGTCAAGAGTTCTGAGACGGTAGCCAACCACCAAAATAATTTGGTATAACACAAGAAAAAGCCTACATGAAACTAACTACTACAACAAATTATTCAACACAACAGTCCCTCTGTTTCTTCAAAATATTTTCCACATGCCCTAATTTTTTTTTTTTTCTAATCCTTTGGACACGTCAAATGTTATTTCGGCCTCTTTGAAACAAGAGCAATGTTCTTGAGCTGACTGGTAGGCATGGCATATGTTTAGCAAGTATTTATTGCACCTTACATACAATACAATGTAGATTTGGATTAGACATCACTAGGCAACCCAGTAGAGAAAATGGGTTTCCAGAGAAGCGTATTGGCTTTCGTTATCTTAATTTTGGCTTCACTAAAATGCCTCTCTTCTAGCCCTCCTAGTGAATACTCCATGGTGGAACATGAACTTAATGCATTTCTTTCCGAGGAACGGGTGGTGGAGATGTTTCAACAATGGAAAGAAAAGCATGGGAAAATATACCAGCATGCTGAGGAGGCGGAAAAAAGGTTTGAAAATTTTAAGAGGAATTTGAAGTATATACTCGAGAGGAATGAAAAGAGAAAATCAGCCAAGGGGGAACATCGTGTGGGATTGAACAAGTTTGCTGATATGAGCAATGAGGAGTTCAGAAAAGCTTACTTGTCAAATGTGAAAAGGCCCTTCAACAAGAGGAGCACTCTCTCAAGGAACATAGGGAGAAAGGTGAAGTCTTGCGATCCACCATCATCCTTAGATTGGAGGAACTATGGCATTGTGACTGGCGTCAAGGACCAGGGATCCTGTGGTAAGTTTTCTTTTATTTGGTTCATAATCGAGTAACGCTTTAGATTCAGGGTTTTGTTTTCAATATATACAGAGTATGCCTATCATTGTCTTTGTTTGTGACACTTTCTGGCTAGTTGGTGCCTGTTAGGCCACTTTGACAAAAACATGTCATGATTAACAAGCGAAGCAATACACAGATTTTTTTATACCCAATTCGTTAATTTGGATATTAGTCATCAATAAGAAAGGTGATATTGAAAAAGATGGTCAGACGCTAGGGACCAGGACAAAGTTTTATTTTATGCCTGTCTTCGGTATACCATAGGAGCTGCTTTTCCTAGACTTGCCTCTTTACTCATTGGTGAATCGACGAGACTGTTATCACTAGAGGCATGAGCCTAGCATTTAAATTCAACATTTATTTAATGTGATAAAGAAACCATGTTGAGAAATTTACCTGGGAAGAAAACTGGCCCATGATACTCTGTGTATATATATCTTCTGTTAAGTTCCCATCTTCCTTAGTGATAAGAAACCATGTTGAGAAATTTACCTGGGAAGAAAACTGGCCCGTTGACTTCTAGTCTCTAGACCGCTCTTTGCTTGCAATTCCAAAGTTTTCTGCAGTACTGAATATCTATAAATGAATGCCAGGAAAGAACTAGAGAAGTTAAGTTTTTAGCTGATTATCACCCTATGACATGTATTCATATTAGAAAATCCAAATACTCAAGTATATAATAGGTCCCTGGAAGAGCCAAATCCTTTCAAGGCTTTGCAGAAAACTAATCCGAGCAGGTTTGAAGATAATAATCGGGTCAAATAGGTCTTTGAACATTTTTTTAGGTGGTCACTGCCAGATTATACTAGAAATTTCTTCTAAAGCATAACCATGTTTGCTCACAATAGCAGAGGAAAAGCTATGATGGTATTAAAAGATAATATCTTAACTGTACCTGTGTCCTATTTTTACAGGAAGTTGTTGGGCATTCTCTTCAACCGGAGCCATGGAAGGAATAAATGCCTTAGTTACTGGAGACCTTGTCAGCCTTTCAGAACAAGAACTTGTGGATTGTGATAGCACTAACTATGGTTGTGACGGAGGATACATGGACTATGCTTTCGAATGGGTTATAAACAATGGTGGTATCGATACAGAAACTGACTATCCCTACAAAGGCGTGGATGGAACATGCAACATCACCAAGGTCTGGTTCCTCTCACATACTAACACTCCTGGATCATATTTCATTTGAATTGCAATTAATTGTTTAACAAGTTCTTCCTTTCTGTCTCCTATGACTGATTCAATGTACTCGTCTTTGATCAGGAGGAAACCAAAGTCGTATCTATTGATGGCTATCAAGATGTAGAGGAATCAGACAGTGCTCTCTTATGTGCTGTTGCTCAGCAACCAGTTAGTGTGGGAATTGATGCTTCCTCAATTGCTTTTCAACTTTACACTGGAGTAAGCATTTTTTTTTGTTCAGTAATTAAACGAAGAATGTGGAAAATGATATTCTGACTAATGAAATTTGTGACATGCATATCAGGGAATTTACAATGGTAGCTGCTCGGATAATCCAGATGACATTGATCATGCCGTTTTAATAGTTGGTTATGGCTCAGAAGACGATGAAGATTATTGGATAGTGAAGAATTCATGGGGAACAAGTTGGGGAATGGATGGATATTTCTATCTAAAAAGAAACACTGATTTACCATATGGTGTTTGCGCTGTCAATGCCATGGCCTCGTATCCAACTAAAGAATCCTCTTCACCATCGCCCTATCCATCACCAAGTGCTCCTCCACCACCACCGCCACCACCTTCAACTCCACCACCCCCACCTCCATCTCCTTCACCAAGTGATTGTGGAGACTTTTCCTATTGTCCAAGTGATGAGACATGCTGTTGCCTTTCTGAATTCTATGATTATTGCCTAGTATACGGCTGCTGTGCATATGAAAATGCCGTTTGCTGCACTGGAACCGAATACTGCTGCCCTAGTGATTACCCCATTTGTGATGTCCAAGAAGGACTCTGCCTCAAGGTACGAAAAACTATGCCCAAATATCTAAATAGGACATGCATTTGGCATAAACTTAAAATTTATTAGTTTTAGTCTAATAAGTTGCGGGACATTGGTCCTATGTCTGGTGAATCTTTTAACTTTATTAGCCTTTGTAGCCAAATACTTCTATGGTTCCATTCAATTCATTGTAAGCAACTCTTTTCTGCATTTATTTTCAGAACGCTGGAGACTATCTTGGAGTAGCAGCTAGGAAGCGAAAGATGGCTAAGCACAAGTTGCCATGGACTAAAATAGAGCAAACAGAGAAGGCATACCAATCTCTGCTGTGGAAAAGGAACCCTTTTGCTGCAATGCGCTGAAAAAAAAAAAATACTTATCATCTATCAGAAGTTGAAGTTTGTTTTTACTTGTCATTTTTATTGGGAGCTGAACATATGCCAGCAAGCAAATCCGGGAATAGAAGATAAAAAGGGGAAATTTTGTTTGCTTTAAATACCTGATAATTATTAAATCAAATTGCTATGCAACTTATGAATTAGTAATAAGCAATTCTGATGCATGATTTTATGTATTTTTTGTTCAAGTAGTGAATTTGAAACCCTTGCCTCAAAATAAAAAGAAAAAAATAATCCTAATATATGTGAAAAAAATAAACCATCAAGTTTGGCTAACTTTTTTAAAAAATTTTGTAAGTCAATGGACCTTAATGTCCATCCTCTCCGTAGTTTAATCTGCATAGTCCTGGATTCAGACAAGCCCAAAGATGGGCAGATTATCAAACCATGTATCATTGAGTTTTCAGGCATTCAATTTTGGGCTTTACCTTTCTCTTCCCTTGTTATCATTATCAACACGAAATAATAGTTGTAGGAGGGAGACAGGACAAGCAAAAGTGCGGTTCAGAGTCCAAAATGCAACCCCCCCCCCCCCCATGTGCAGCTGGTGCAGCATGGATGGGCTTTACTGGCCTGGCGTGCGACTAAGGGTATTGGGTGTTGGTGGTGGGGGCACGATTTCTCATCCTTTTACCAGATAAAGTTTTAGGTAAGAGCATTCCCCGTGGACCATGTTCCATGGAAAATGATTTTTAGTTAGGTTTTGAGTTTTGACTAAAGTTTAATGACCAAACTATAATATAAGAGCATTTTTCTCTCTTTTTTGCTAACAAAATTTACTAGAAAATTAGAATATCTAAGTTATCTAACAGCTTCTTCTAACTACCTCTCTTGCACAAAAACCTAAGTTACATGACTTGATATCACTGTAAAGTAAGACAAGACCCAAGTCTTGAATCTTGATATATAAATGCGGACCAGCAATAAAAGTGTTAAACCCTCTTCAAAACCATTTAAAATTTGGCTTTATCTGTTGATGGAAGTGGGACAAGAAACTCACGAGATCATTTCAAAAATTTTTAAAATACCCCATGTGTGAGCAGAAATTCCCACTGATAAATTCTCTCAACACATGATTTGGGCTATGGAATATGGATTCGTCTCTTATAGCATATACAGATACTGTCAAGATTGGCAGACACCAAATCTTAAGAGAGTGATCTCTGATAGACAATATAATGGGTTAAAGAATGAGCAGCACATGTTTTGGAGCCGCCGATTAAGGAAAATTATAGAATATATTGAGACAAAGCCACTAAAAGCTCAGCCATTTTTCTATACCTTAATCATCTGAAAAACTTGAAGACAAAGTGCTTTGCCAGAGTGTATATATATATATTTGTGTTATAGCATATCTTATCCATTACCAACCATATGGTTGAAAAAAAGAAAGAGAACAAGCTAGTGCTTAGTGGGGGAACCAATCACGTTATTGAAGAAAAAAGGTCATTATGATGAGACAGGGACTTGAAAATATATAGGTATAACACTTTGTTGGAGTTGTGTGTGTGTCTATCTTTACATGAATGGTGAAGAAGGCAGCGAAACCTGGCTTGAAATCATAATACCAGTCTTGGAAATTAAATTATGGACAATGACTGATTAATGCTGCGTCGACAGAGATTGAGTCTCACAGCTCTAAACTCCAATCCCCACATCAAAATAACCCAATTGGACTACTAGTCGCAGTAGATTAATAGTATTAAAAAGGATCATTGGCTTAACAACCATGACATTTCCTCCCCCAACTGTATGCTCGTGACCTCCGGTCGCACCTCCTTCACTCTTCAATTATGACAAATCCCAATCAGAGAGCCTTTACCTTTGCTTTTGCTTTTTGCCTTTCTTTCTCTTTTGTCTTAGTAGTTAGTTAGTGAGTACCCCTCACAACAAGTTTTCATCATCGTTTTCTTCCCTTAAATTCTAGCATACAGCCACTTTGATCATTTAACTCTTTTCCCAAATGTTTCTATTGTTGAATGGATTTTTCGAAATTTATAACTCCTTTTCTTTTACCCGGCTTGATAGTCATGATTCGTGCTAAAGGCTATACCTATATGTAATAACAAAATATTGTAAAAAATAATGAAAAAAAAAAACAAGGCGCGTGATTCAAACGCGACATGCAGTTATAGGCCAAAGCCAGAAGTCTTTAGCTGTGTCTAACACTACTCGATCTCTGTCTTTGAAGTCTCAAATTCATATTACATGGAAGGGAAGCTAATGAAAAGAAAAGCGTAACAGTGTCCAACCTCTCTCTTTCTCTCTCCCTTCTTAGCTTTTCTTAATACTCACTCATTCTCTAAACTCTTACCATCATTTTAGGACACCCCAAAGCCCTAAACATCAAAGAACTCACCCATTTCTCCCTTACTCAGCAGGTGTGTCTTCTGTTCTTTTGTTTCAGATAATGTTCTTTTTGATGCAAAAACTACTTCTTCAAGAAATGTTTATGTTGTTTATAGGTTGAAAGGAACACTGGGTTTATGCTAAAGTTAAAGATTCTTTGTTTATTTTTTCTTTTACTTTTTGTCCTAACAATCTTGAAAAAGAGATGAATTTTGGGCCCTGGTGTTAGTTTAGAGATGTAGTGCACTATGTATTGGCTGTTGGTAAGATCCAACAATTTATGACTATCTTTAAGGTTTTACCATTTCTTCATCAGGTTTGTTATCTTTTTTAACTAGAACTTACTTCTTTTGGTGATGCCAATAATCAGTATGGCAGAGTAGATAAAATTTAGATGATGTAATCAACGCGGTTTTCATTTCATTTTTCATAGCCTGAATTTAATGTCGGTGTCCACCTATCTTAAATGGAATTCAACACAAATCTTTGCCTGGTTGCTGGGGAGATATATAAGAATTCTGTATGTACTTCTAGTTTTGATTTACTATAGGGTGGTTGACTGAGATTTTTTTTTGATTGTCAGATCACAGATAATGTCAAATTTGGTACTTCCAAAATTTAAATGTTCAATTACATTTATGTGGCACTGAGGGGAGCATCAATGTTTGTATTTTTTTTTTTCTTTCTTCTTTTCCATAATCTATTATCTGAGAGCACTGAAGGTTTTCAAGCTCAAGTATTTTTATATAATTACTCAATATTTGGTCACAGAGCTTAAACATTTTGAAATTCATGCGTTTTGCTGTATTTTGTCATGTTTAGCTTGTTTAAGCTGAGATTAGGGAGATATAAAGTATATTGGGTGCTCATTGCAGTTAGTATAGGTTCTTCAAATAAATAGTCTCAGCATATTTTCAGGTGTTTTGCCAGAATTTTCACATGGAGTCTTTACCATGGTGTTCTCATGCAACATCTATCATCAGCTATGTCATGTTTTGAATTTCTGAATTATATCAAGAAGGAAAGTTGCAGAACTTCTTAATTGTAAAGCGTGATGGAGGAAAGGAAATTAAATTTCAGTGCACCACTGTTATCTGTGAGGCGGTTTTCTGAAACATCTGCCTTTTCAGATAGAGATAAGCAGAAGATAATTGAGAATTCTCCTCCCACTACACGACAAAGTCTCCCCTTCTGTAACTCGGATGTGAGTTTGGATCAGGTGACAGAACCTGTTGCAGTTCCTTTTGTATGGGAGCAGATCCCTGGGAAAGTGAAAGGTGGCATTGAGAATGAGTTTCAGGCTAATAAGGGAGCTTCTGGTACTCCTAGGCTTCCGCCAGGGAGTTTGGATGTCATAACATATCCTGTGGGGAAATACTTTGACTATCAGAATGTGGTTAGGCTCCAAACTGAAACAAATTCTATGGAAGATCATGTGACTAAATTAGACAGTTCAAACGAGGGAATGAATGAGAAATGCATCTCAGAGTCTGAGAATGATGATGATGTTTATTCTGATGCACTTGATACCTTGTCCCCAACTGATTCAATCTCCATGAATTGTAGTATAAGTAGTGGCACTGGTGCAAAACCATCAGGAACCTTCTCTACAGATCCACTAACTCGGGATTTCATGATGAGTCGCTTTTTGCCTGCTGCCAAGGCAATGACTCTGGCGATACCTCAGTATGCTTCAAGGAAGCAATCTATGGCACCTGAACAACCTAGAGAGGTTAAGAAAGTGGTTGATGGGGACAGGAAACCTCCTGTTAATCAATATGAGTCAATTGTCATTCCACATTATAACCAGGATGTAGATGAAGAAGAAACAGAAGATGAATATGAGGACTATGACGATTCTGGCAATTTATCAAGAAAAGCATGTGGCTTGTTGCCTCGATTATGCTTTAAGAACACTCTGCGCCTCGTAAATCCTGTGCCAGGATTAAAAGTTAGGACCCACTCTTCAATGTATTCTGCTCAGGAGGTTGTAAAACCTGGCAAAGATACCTACATGAAGTCTCGCAGCCAAATTGTTGAGAAGGTTGATTTTTATATTTTCCTTAAAATCACTATTCAATGCTCTTGCTATAAGCATTAGAGATTCTAATATATTGCTTATGAATTTACTATTTTGTATCTTTGCAGCATGCTTGGGATGTTGTTCACAAGAACAAATCAGTTATTGGAGTTCAATCCCCCAGGCTCCCAGAGAACAAATTGGATAGTGCAGTTCAATCACCCAGGCTCCCAGAGGACAAATTTGATATTGGTGTTCAATTTCCTAGGCTCCCTGAGATTGGGAAAAAGCTGACGTGTCAATCAAATCGGTTTACCAGCTCAAATGACCAGCAGATAGTGAATAGGTCACCTCCCAAAAAGCTTCCAGATGGTGCTCACATTTCTCCCTATCGGAGAGCGAGACCTCAATCTCCCTTCCGTGGAGGGGGGTTTCTTGGCATGCCCAAAGAAGCTGAGAAATTCAAAGCCAATATGTTGGTTAAGTGTACCAGAAGCAATAACAACTCGCAGGAAGTAGTACCCTACCAAAGCACCAGAAAAGGGTTAGGTTCTCTGAGGCCTGCAGTTGAGAAAACATTGCATGTAGATACCGTAAATTTTGCGGAAATTGCAAGTTCAATTTCCAATTCCTCAGATACCAACGTACAAACGGACTCCACAGGAAAGCATTCTGATACCTCACGAGCGAACAGAATGCCGGAAGAACCTGCTATGGTAGAATCTTCTCTTCAAGATATAAAAGGTCTCAATCTTTTGGATGGAAAGGAAATATCAGAATATGAAATTACAGGGTCAGTGAATTCCAGTCGATCTTCTTTCTGTGACAAACCTTATCTCAAAGTTCAAGCAGAAATTATAGATTGCTTCAGACAGAATGGAGGACTGGATCAAAAATCTAAGTCCTTAGAGCGTATAAAAGTTAGAGCTGATGCAAATCTAACTGTTAATGATGATGATGATTTGAGAGCAGCTGATCAAGAAGCTAAGGCTGGTTCTTATTACTCTCCCCTTCCGCCTCCTTTACCAAAAACACCATCTGAGTCTTGGCTTTGGCGTGCGCTGCCTTCAGCTACGTCAAGAAATTCATTTTCACAGTCTTATAATGGCACTCGATTTAATCCTAAAAAACATGAACCTAAGATACCTGCTACTGATGATACCAAGTGGGAAACAATTGTCAAAACTTCTTACTTGCATCATAATCACGTCCGCTATTCTGAGGTAATTTTATCATTCTTTAACAATGATACTGTCTTCTGATGGGAGTTTCATTTTCTAAATACTAATTCTTATGTCTTTAACAGGAATTAGTAACTCACTTTTCTCAGCAATCCAAAACTTAACAATAGAGGGGGCACCATTGAATTCCTTGCATTCACTGCCTTTGTTTCAGCAGTTTTGGTTCAAAATGGTCAGAGCTGGTTAAGATTTTGCAGCAGCCTACCATTTTTTTCTATTTTTCTTCCTGGAGTTTCTCCTTCCATTTTCCTTGTATCTTATGCTAGGCAAGTGGATTTGTTAGCTCTTGATGTACAAGCTTGTAAGTTGTTCGTTTCTTTTCCCTACATCAGCCATCAGTGCAGAAGCTGAGGCAATTGTTACATCAAATTCAGATTCAATCTTGTATCGGCCAAAAATATAAAAATTATTGGATATAGAAGGCTTCTTTGATATATAACATACTTGTTATGGGCTTCCAGCAGTATAGAACATTATCATCGCCAATAGGCTAGAGCATAGGGAACTCGGAATAGAAATGGTTCAAGTATATCTGTATCGTTTATTTTCTTGGTCTGCCATCTCGTTAATGAATTGGAATTTGAAACTTTACAAAGTAGTGTGCCGTTAGGGAGCCCATGACCTCTAGAGCTTCAATTCAATCCTCATCTTGAGCCCATAATTCTTTTGTGCCTTAAGCCCATAGCTTTATCTTATGCTTCCAGGATTACAACCAGGAAGATCCTCGATCCTATTAGTCTAAACAGTAAAATGACAAAGTCCAAATGTCTGTGGATTAATGATTGCGGCCTGCAGGAACTTAATAGCAGAGCTCACCTAGCTCTCTAACCGAAGAAAGAAAAGAAAAAATGACAGACAATGGGCCCATAGAATCACAGTTGGTCTAGACTCTACAGAGCGAAGCATCCATTTATGGGCCTGTTAAGCTTGCCAAGTTAGTTCTTACAGTCGATGTATATTCATAATTTATGTAAACCAGGCACGTTGTAGCTAAATCATTGTTTCGAGAACAGAAAAGTTGAATCTAAACAAGGTTCATCATATTAAGTAACCTATAATTTCTTTTTCAGTGTACGTAGATTCTAACTAAATGATCTTAATTATTACCATCCAATACAAGCCAAAAACATGCATGAACATGACTCCCAATAACAACTAATTTAAAATATGAGTTAATATTACAAGTAGTCTTTGATGTATTATATAAAATATTTATTAGATATTTGGATTTGAAATTTTTTTAATATAATACTTATAGATTTATTAATTAATATGATATTCATAATTAACATAATTAGCTTTAAATAATAATATGTAATAAATAAATAATCTTTTAAATATTATATTAATTAATATATTTATAGTTCAGACATTAAAAATTTTTAAAATTTAGATATCACATTTAATATTTCAATATAATTTAAAAGTTATTTGTGATATTATTCATTAAAAATATTAATGTTCATGCATGAATGATATAGGAGAAGATATGTACGAAACACTTAACAAATTGTGTCAATCACAAACCTTCCAATTTCCTAAGATTGAGTACTCTTATCTCATTCAAAACTGATTTAACAACAAAAATATTCAAATGAAGAACAACAACAGTATGCTCACAATGGCTCTAGGACAAGTACTTGAAAGATCTCACTTCCTGTGGGTTTCTTTTTACATGGTCAGACCCTTAAGCACTCAGCCTCATTCGGCCTCGTTGCAACATATAATTAATTTGTGTATGTAGACCAAGATCTTCATTTTGGACAATTCTTCTGAATCTTTTTGCTTAGTTGTGGATTTTATCCTGGATAAATATATTGAAGGCTAGCTAGGAAAGTGAAAGCTGGGTGCTAATTTCTTGCCTGCCTTTACAATGGATCTTCTCATCATCAGTTCCAAATCTTTGGCTTAGTCTTAACTGCAAATCAGGCAACCATTCCCTGTCCTTCGGCAGTTTATCTTGGTTCAGCTGCATTTCAAATAAAGAAAGAAAAACATTTGAAAAACAACTTTTTTTAATTATATTTATATATAGTCAAACTTCTGCAGCAGTTATTCTACCTCCTCAAACTCTGTTCCACAGCTCTTGAAGTTGATCAAGGAATCGTGCTTGTCTGAAACAAATTGCCCCAGCATCTTCTTGTTTCGAAGGTTCCCTTCGGTTGGCCTTATGGAGTAGCCTCCCCCATCTGAGCTTGGTCTTTTGCAAAAATAATGTAACTGAGATTGCGAGCAGGTATTGGCAAATGTGTCCTTGGTCATATTTCCATTAACGTTCCATCTATTACTAATCATTTCAAAAGGATGCCACCTTTTCTCTTCAAGAAATCGACCTGACCTGATGGGCCCAAGTCCCATGGTTGTAACCATTCCACGAGTTTGGTTTGACTGTCCTTGGTTGTAAAAGGCAGCTGATTTTGGGAAACCATTTTCTTGTCCACGAGCTTTGCTTATGAAAGGATTTTGTAATAATGGGCTCCTATAAAAAGAGAATTAATATAAGCATACAAATTAAGTGCCTTAATTGCTATTCAAGTTTCAGCATTAGAGACTTGAGAAATTCCTCGATTCCATGGCTATCTATTAATGTTACCTTGGAAAGCTAGCTTTGAAATCTAATGGTCGTTGGAAGAGGGGAGATTGGAAACGAGTTCGAGTGATGTTGTTTTCAAAAGATTCTCTGGCTAAGACAATTCCACCATTTTCCATTCTGAAATGTTGATGAGGATAGGAGGTAACAGCTTGATGGTGCAACATGCTCCGGAATTCATCCCTTCCTTGAATTGCTCTATTAGTTTGACATAGAACTGCATTAACAAATACAAAGTTAATTTTATGAAATTAATATAATAATAATAAGTAAGTTTTTATTTAATATATTAGTTCTTATAAATTTTTATGACTTACTTTTTTTAATTAAAACTAGTGAAATAATTAAAATTAAAAGAATTAATTTTTATAAATAAATAAATAATGCACTTTTAAAGTAAATACTAATTATCTTTGAATTAATTAATTTTTGTTACATTTTAACCATCTTATTGCTTGTGGTATACACTATTTGGTATCTTTTTAATAAACTGTGCCCAGTATACAATGAAATGACAGTAGTAAATCATTTAATGAGTACAAGCAAAAGGAATTTCACCTTGTCCAGACTCATCAAGCTTCTTACTTCTGTACATCTGAAACAGGATTATAGAGATATGATGTTAAAAAATGGATTGAAAAATTGAAAATTAGGGCAAGGAAATATCAAATCAAAATGTTTTTTTTTTTTCATCATTTTTGCACCTGCAAGTGACTTTTTACATGGGCAATGTTAAGTCCCCTCACATTCATCAATTGAAGAACTAACTTAGGAGTTGCTCCTGCAACAAAACCCAAAGAAATTAAGTTTTAGAGTAAAATAAACTTGAAAACCTTTTTCGTTTTGTTTATCTTTCTTAAATCAAATGACAACAAAGTTAAAAAGCAATAAACAATGATGCAATATTTGAACTTACTCTCTTGCCCACCAAGCCTTTCAACTGCATGCACGAAAGAGAGATGGAGATCAGGAGTCCACCGAAGCCGAGGCAATTTTGACCTAACATATTGCCTTACTGTTCTTCTATCATTGCCTTCCTCTCCCCCATTGTTATTGCTGGAAGTCCCTTCAGTTCTCTTCTCATCCTCTTCAACACTAACTTCACCTTCCTTGCCAATACTATTATTATTATTATTATAAGAATAATATTCCTCTTCGCTTCTAGCTTCTTCATTCAAGTCGAAGGATGAGCACTTCAGGGAAGAAACAGCAGACAAGTTTTCGGCCTGTTCTTCACTATCGACCCTCTTTTCTTCATCATACACCTTTGTCATGCCTTCGATCATTGCTTTTTGCTGATAGAAATGAAAAGAATGGAAAAGAAGAGAAAGGATATTTAAAGACACATACAAGCTGCAAAATGATACTATTGTTATGACCCAAACTCCTTGACAATCATCGGGGAAAACAACATCACCATGGATTTTATTGATTAATGCCCTTATTGCCTAACTGTCGAACCTGTTTATTCTATACGTGCAAATTGTTCAAGTTGCAGCTGAATCCACTCGTTTTTTTTTTTTTTTTTTTCACATTTAATCATCTTTTATGAATAATAAAACACATATACTTCTATGCAACCTACCAATTCCAACATTAATATAAAACTTGGACCATGCAATAAAATAAAAATTATGAAAATGAGTTTCTCAAAATTCTTCTGATTGTTGGTTTGGAGCAACTATACACTGACTAAAAGTAAAAAAAAAAAATCGAAGAAAATATTGAAAGATGTCAATATTTCTATTAAATATTTAAACATATTCCCAAAGTGCATTTAAAATCTTTATACTACCATGAAAGCTTCCATTTGTCAAAAAAAAAAAAAAAACTTTATACTACCATTTATTTCCCAAAGATAGTTCTCTTCTTATAATCATAGATATAGCACAACATATAGAGCTCCCATTTGCTGAAGTAGAAATGTTGGATTTAGTTGCCTTTTAGACCTTGCCATTATATATGCAATGACTTCATAAATGAAAATTAAGACAATAAACCTAATTAATGCAGCACTAATCATCTAATATGATATTTCTTACCAGACCCCATCACTTGGAGACTTTAAATTTGTTTAGATGAAGTTATAAAAAGTAGCAATAAGTAGCAATCCCCAACATTAGCTGTGGTTTAAAACATTTCAACGGTCGATCTTGTGGATGTGAGGATATTTTTTAGGTGATAGGTTTAACTGCACAAACTTATTGCGGGCTGCAAAGCATTTTGTCATCACATTTATGGGTGGAGCCATTTGTATAAACAGCATCATCCACCTTTTTAAATGGAAGTAGTTTCAAATTAATGAGTTTTTGGCTATGAAGAATGTGGTGTTTTATGCAAGTAAATTAAACGTAGACGAATTACAACATTCGACTGGCTCTCTCTCATACAAATACACAAATTTCATCCAATAACTTACTTTAACTATTATAAATATATATATATATATATATAAGAGATCAATTTATATAATATAAAATTTTTTTATTTTATATTTTTTAACTTTTGATTTTAATAGATCTAAAGGATAAAAATAAATAAAAATAAAAAAAATGTTTGATCTCATTTTTTTAGATTTATTAAAATCAATGGTTAAAAAAATTATAAAACTAAAAAAATTTTACACTATGTAAATTGATTCTTCCCATATATATTAATGCATGACAGAAAAAAAAACTGAGGGTCATATGTCACACTTACATATGGATCTAAATTCTTGCTCGATTGATACAGTGAAGCCAACCTCATAGATTTTTGTAACTTCTAGGCATCCGATTTCTGCAGAAGTGGTGGAGTTGTCAAAGTAAGTAAAAAAAAAAAATTGCAGCTATATTATGTTGATCTAATAAAAGTTAAATCTGAACAACTTCGTACGAAGATATATATTGGGTTATAACATTAATTAGCAAATAGTAAGAGTGTAATTCATAATCCGTATTTTGTGTAGGAAAAATTTAGTAGTGACTTTGGATTCTGATCTATGCTTATAGAATACGAGTACTTCATTGAAAAACAAATGAGAAAACCCCAACTGCACTGCTGTTTGTTATTAGAGCTGAAGGGGGAAGAGATCAGATAGCTATAAAGAAGGAAGATTAATTTGTCATCTGTAAATATTGTTGATATTTTATTAGAATCAAAGCAGTGATGTACTTGAGTTTAAGTTTAATTATTATAGGAACCTTATAAGAAATAATAAATAAGTATGGAATCCAATGAAACCAGTACCTAAATCCAATGAAGTATACATTTTTTCTTTTAATGTAAATTTAGGTGAAGATACAGTGGGAAAAGAATCAACGTTATGATAAAATAAAAGTTTATTTCAGAAATGATAGACTTCTGAAGAACTGGAAGGCATGCAGTTCATCTCTAGGATACTGGTAAAACATCATCTTTCATTTATTCATGAAAACCCTTTCATTTCCTTCCAGAATACTTGTAAAAAATCTCTTCTATAAACCTGGCTTTAAAATTTGAAAGGCAAAAATCAACCCATAGATTCAGAAAAGAACAACACAATTAACTGGCCTAAAAGATTTTCAAAATTTGAGTTAAACATGGTGGAAAATAGAAAGTGGAAACCAAAAGAAAATTAAGAAATCAATTACCACAAAGAAATCATGTCTTTTCTTTCCTTTCCCCTCAAAGATACAAACCATATATATATATGCTGAAGATTCCTGATGCAGACTCTATTCCTTCCTTCCAAGTTGTTGATCATCAGATAACCCTTTCAACTTTGGAGAATAGAAGAGGAGGATACCTAGAGAGAGATTGGAACCAACTTGGTAGTCCTTTTAAACAAATGATCAAGAGAGAGAAAGAAGAAGAAGAAGAAGAAAAAAGAAGCTGGGTAAGGTTTTTCAATTGGTTTTCATTGAACCGTGGAATTGAAGTCATCAAAATTTATAGTATTTTATATAAGACTTCATCGTCATGGTTTTTAAACCAAAAACAAACAAAACAAAACAAAACAAATCAACGATATTTTGACACTCCACTTGTTCTCTTTATATGATAAAATCATAGTCTCTCATCACATTATAGATACAGATCCGACTGTTGCATATATCATGTGACCATTTCACCTTTTTTTTTTTTTTCCATGAACAATGAATTCTCCATTGACAGTTATCTCCTTGTAAAAACCTATAAAAACTCTTTTCCTAATATCTTTTTCTTTGGTGATTAAAGTAATTGTTTGACCTTTGTTGATAAGGTCTTGATTTGGAGACTCCTCTCGTTGTTAATATTATGATTAACAAAAAAAAAGATTTTTATAAGATAATTAAACATGGGTTTTTGTAAGAAAATGTGGGGGCCATTTCTTCATCAACCCATCAATTTCTTCCTACCTAAACAAAGACTTTTTGTTTTTTGTTTCTTAAATCATGGTAGCATATACTTTTGTCTTGTCCCCATGTTCTTATTGTTTTGGAGTCCACATCTTTAATTTTCTGTGCAAATATACGTTGTTATATATGAATTTGATAATATATAGTTCATAGGGTTTTCAACTAGGAAAAAAAGGATCCTCCTCATAACACTAGAATTATTGTGGGGTCGCAATTGGCTAGCATGAGCTAGAAAACTTAGTCAATTTTGGTGGGTCTCGTGTATTCAAACGAGTCGCGCTCGATCACGTTCCAAACATTTTTCAATTTGCAAACAGCAAAGCAAATGAATAATGAAGAATATTGATACATACATATATATTATTAAAATAAATTATCTTACATCTAATTAAATTTTAATAATTTATAATTTTATATTCAAGTTAAGTCTTTTATTTATTACCAATTATAATAAATTAAATATTTAATAAAATATCAAAATTAAGAATTTTTTTTATTATCTTTTTTTAATTTATCACATGAAAGACTTCTTTTATTTTTACTTTCACGTGATGTAACTCTATTAAAGTGGATTATAACATATATATATATATATAAGAATTTGTGAAAAAATATAAAAATATAAAAAATTTGTTTGATTGAATGAACTTGATTCAGAAGATAAGAGTTCAACATCCTAAGGTGGTTTTTAGCTCTACCATCTGACAACCCCAAGTGCATTATTAATTAAATTTGTTCTATATATATGGATCTAGAAATCTGAATGGGAAATGGAAATTAATGAGGATGGTGGATATAGTTTGCAAGCAAAAGGACATAAACCAATTTCCTATATGACGATAATATATACTATATATTAAGAAATAATATTTGTTTAATCTTTTTCGTCTACATCAAAAGGGTTTACTTTCCAAGGCTGAGCAGATAGAATTTGGACTGTTTTGTCTTCACTCTTTCATAGTCTGAAAGAAGAGGAATAACTTAGAGGATTAGGTTTGGCTAAATGACATCCAAAAAGTAGCTCGTTATGCGTGACATGTGCATTATTTTTGTTCCAAAACAGAGATGACAGATATTCTATATAAGGATTAAATTAAAAGTTTTAGCACAGAAAACAACTTGGAACGGAGAACAAAACCCAACCCTACGTTCCTAGAAGACACTTGTTTCTTGTCTTCTCCTTTGCATGGGGAGTTGACATTTTTGATTTGTTTAAACCTTTCGAATCTTTTAAAGAATTGTTTCACGGATGAAGACATCCAACCTAGCATCACTGCTTGTCTTCATGGATCTTAAAAAAATTGGTCTCGAGGAACTTATATTTTTTTAAAGTGACTGTGGAGAAAGAATCACGCTGATAAATCCACAAATCAACTTTAATATCAATAATCTATTCTTATTATTCTGTTCGTTTCTTATGATTTTAGTCTTCCTTTTCTTCCTGTTTGGACTTTTTATAGCGTTTCAGAATTGGGATTCCACTGGCATTACTATAAACGCATGAACCGGCTCACCAAATTGCTTCATCTTTGGGCGCCTGCTTCCCCACCTTAACTGATAATATATAGAGGACGGTCTCAATTTGATAGACATGAAAGACACAAGTATATATGAATAATTAAAATAAACCCTAACAGCTTACAAGATTCAGTGAGCGCTGGAGAGGAGCCCTGGCCCCCATTCAAATGAACCCTTACAATTTACAAGGCAGATTACCAGTGTAATTATATAGCAGCTATAGCACAGAAATTTTTTTACTTAAAGAAAGCTGATATAAAAAGGATACGGCCTTACCGGCTTAGATGGTCCTAAGAGGTTCATTTATGTCAGAATCATTTTGCCATGTTTCCCGTCATTCGATCGATCGAATCATCATAAAGCACGAAAAGGGAGATAGCGAGGGTCAATAAAGTGCATATATAAGTGCAGATGTGACCTTTTTGAAGAGTTAGGAAACAATCATTAGGCCATCGTCATGGCAAAGATTAAAATATATCGGTCATATAAGTAGTTGTAACAAATTAGACTTGATTAGCTAAAACTACTCATGAGAGAGTAAACCATCCACAAGATTTATTTATTTATTTTTAAATTTTAGTGTTACTTTTAGATTCTAAGGTAAAAGTCCGATAATTCCGAATTTTATCTTTTTTTTTTTAATTTTTTTATAAAAGTTTATAGTCTCGAAATAAGAAAATAAATTTTAAGTGTTGAGATTCGAATTTTTATATTGTTAAATGTTATATTTTAAGTATAATTGTATAAATTAATTAAATTAAACATAAAGATTTACCTATTTTTTAACATTTGCTTTATACAATTTTTTTATATGTGAAGCATCATTTCTTCTCTGCAAGAAGGAATGCATGATAATGAAATATGGAAAATAAAGGAAAATGTAACTTAATTATCCAGAAACAAGTGTCATCTTATAACTTTTGTATAATTCACACGAGAGTTTCAATTTAATGTAGTCTGATATACTGCTACATCGCAAATTTAAAGGCTATTAAAACAATGAGATCCTCATCAAAATTAGATCTATTTTAAATGTTGACAAAGCAGTTGAAGCAAAAAAGAAGCACTTGACAAGCATGTGCCCTTGAAGAGTGGGGGGGGGGGGGGGGGAGAGGACCAGATGGGAAATAGACATAGACTTAAACAAGTTCATTCCTTTTCTTTTCATTTGGTATATGCAGCCTTACCAACCTCGTCTTGTGGCATTATTGGTTTACTTGCAATTAATTAATGGTAGAGAAGTTGCTGGTGTATATGGGATCTTCATTTAGAAAAAAAAAAAAAGCATTACCATATATAATTTGTATTCTCAATTCAAATGAAATGGACTAAAATTCATTGCAAGCTGATAAACCTAAATATTTCTGTCAACATCATTTGATGAAATTCAAATGGTGGTAGCTAGATTGAACTTTAATTTACTTTCATAAATATTAATCCAATCCAGGGCATGAGAATTTTTCTTTTCTCAAATCAGTAGGAAAAGACTCGTCTGGTGAAAAAGGTCCTGACATGAAACCCTTCAGATGAAAACAACATTTCTTATTCCTCTATCTGCTGCTTAGTTACTATACAAATAAGGTGGGGAGAGCTTTTTCATGTTGACACTGGATATTATTTTGCTAAAAACCTAACCACCCACCCACCCTCCTCCATGCATTCCCTTTTTCTTTTGCTTTTTTTCTGTTTCATCATCATCATCTCGGTTTTCCACTTTTTGAAGAAAAGTATAGTAGTAATAGAAAATTACAGGCCATTTTCAATTGATTTCACCATGTGCCTTGCTGGCCCATTGCAAAATAAACTCTCGCAATTCAATATATGCAACTACATAGAGCAGGCTTGCACATGGGGGAAGTTAAAGAGAGATTAATAGGGAGGAAAGTAACAATATATGGACTCACTTATATAAAATTCCATACGCTACTTGAAATAAATCTTCTTTATATTAACTACCAAAATATGTGAAGAAATGAAGAAAACAGTGAAGTTTCAGCCATTATTCTAGGGAATTGAATGGTATGTATAAGTTGGAGAAATGCATTGAAGAAGAAGGTCGATATACCCATGTGGGATAGAGGAGGAAAGTTAATGGGGAACATTCTCACTTGTCTTTTTCTCATTTGTATAAACAAATTCATTATTTGTAAAAACAGGGTCCTGGTTGATTGCTCAGAAATGTTTTTCCCAGCATGGGGTTTATAAAGCACAAGCCACCAAGGGCCACATTTTCAATACTGCTCGTACCTACACATAGAACCAAACTCTGAAAGTGGACTGGCCTCTGAAATTTTCAATGCCTGCCAATCCGCACTGTTCAATTTTGCTCACGGCCTATTAACAGCAACAACAGTACATGTAGGTCGAACCGTGCAGCACCACATAAAATTTCTACTGTTTTCCTGTTTTAAGGACTTAAGAAAATTTTCCACTTTTGTGAAACTTATCATCTTCAACTACTTTCATAGGGCCTCCCTTCCCTGGTATTAATTTTGTTTTATGAGTGTAACTTGCAGGTCGTACAATCAACTAGAAGTAAAAATTAATAGATAAAACACTGATGATTTCCCAGGATAGCAATGATTACCAAACATGATTTTCAAATGTAGAAAACCTTGAAAAAAAAGGTTGGTTTCTGCACTTTTTAACATGTGGTTTGGCTTCAGCCTTGTCCAGAGACAGTACTGTCATGGGTGCTTGATTTGGAAAATAATTTCAGGCATCTACTTCAACAGAGTGAAAAGTGTAAACCAAACATTTAACTGCATCGTAGTCAGGTTGTTGGATTTAGTAATCATTGATTAGGACGTCAGAGGGTTCATAAAGCAACTGCCCATCTGGTCTCAACCATTTCCTCAGCTGATGTTATCAGAAGGAATTCAACTCCAGCAACCCATTAGGTTCCAGCTAGTGGGGCGTACTTCTTGTGCAGTTTCTCTTTACACTAGTCTTTCTCTACATTTACTATGAAAAGGAATAGCAGTAGCAGAGTAGCAGTAGTAGTAGTTTTTCCTTTATTTCTTTTCTTGACACCTACTCACATAACAACCCTCCATGCCTATACCATAAAATGTAAGATAAAGAAGAGGAAAAACAATCCAACCAGAAAGTAAAGCTATGAGAAAATTTCATAAAGCAAAGATAAAATAATATGCATTGTTTAGCAATAAATTCTCGACAACAACTCTGATATTAGGAAGAACATGTTCTTTCTATCGACATTCACCATTAAGCAGGCATATAAAACACTTGTATAATACATACAAACAGATTCCTCAATTAGCTAATGACAAGATTTATTGCCACCAGAATTGACAGTTAACATTCCAACAATGTGTGAAATGGTTCTTATTTTATAGAGCCAATATGACTAATGGTATGGTCCTCTCCAAAATCACTTTATTGTCTAATAATGGGGCCTCTATACTGTCCCCTGCGGACCACAAAGCTTTCAGGTGGTTGAATCTCTTCCAACCAAGCCACTTTAGAGGGATTAATACCACACAACTGATCAACACCTTTTGGAGAAGAAAAATGGAGAAAACTGGTTAATCAGAATTAAACAAATTTATTTAGTATGAGTAGATGAAAATTTAGTACCTTCCACATTTCTCTGATGGATTCTCCTAAAATAAGAGCAGTGACGCCCATCTTCTGAAGAGTAAGGGGGTGAAAGAACATCAAACAGTGCACATGGAGTTAAAGCTTTGAAGCTATGAATGTTGCCACCAGTAGTCGGATGAAGAATTGTTGTTCCAGAGGGAGCAGTCACTTCACAATCTCTAACAAGTTTTGCAGGTCTTGCTGTAATTTTCACCAATCAAGAGTTAATTCTTGAAGAAAATTGGGAAAGAATTTTTTTTTCAAATGAAGTTATAACTTTCATGCATTTGTTGTTTCTCAAATCAATATATAGGCCAAAAAATTAGTTAATACAACTACAAAACAAAATGCAATATCAACCCATTTTGTCTTGCAAAAGCTGAGGACTAAACAAGGTTTTCTAGAGAAAATGGGGAGCTCATTTGGCCATGCAACCATATGGGCAGATTAAAAAAATGTACAGCTAAATGGTGGCCCGTATATAGAACCAAGTCAACCAACAGAGAATTAAAAGTCTTTAATATAAAAAAACTCAAGTATATATAAATATAGTGGTTGAAAATTTATTTGATTCTTTCAAATTTTCACAGCTCAAATATCCAAGTACAAAGGAAATTTATAAAATCGAAAACCTACACAGAAGGAGATGAGTGTTAAAATATTAAAGCAGCATTCCTCGAAATTAAAGTGTACAGCTACTAAAGGATACAATTTTATCCTAATCAACCGAATTTATTGAGAAAGATTCCTTTTTTTGGGCCAAGGGGTTGAGAGTCAGATGTCAGTAAGCATATTATGTGTTTCAGATCATGTTCATGCTGTTGCATAATATCCCCTTGGAACAAGAAAACACCCTGTGATCTTGTCGAACTGTTGAAAGAAATTAAGCATTCATGGGTTAAATGTCTACACTATCCAAATTTCATATAGATAGCCTCTGTATCAGATTTACATGCTTCCAGGGTTTTTTGCACCCTCAAGGAGGCCCAGTCAATCAACTAACCAACATCATCAGCAAAACAGCCAATTCCCAACTATCTAGTGTGTGCATAATCTTGAGAGCAACAAAAAGGCCAATGGCCACCACAAAGCATTGATAATAATCCATGCTTTATTGCCAAAAGCTTTGGGTTAAGGGAAGCTTGGAGATAAAAACCATGTGGAGTAAGCAGAAGTGGTTGCATCAGTAGAAAAGTAAGAAAGTTTCAGGGCAGTTGAGGTGGTTGTAATGGTCTTAAGGTAAACACTTTTTTCTCTTAAAAGTTTCCTGCCTAGCACAAAACAGCACCCACAAATAACCATGAGTCATCCTAAACAGAACTCTAAAACATTGGGGGTCTGATATACTTTCAATTACCAAGACCACCAGTTACAACTAATACCAAGGATACTATATATTCTTGGCTTAAGCTACTGGAAAATGCATGCATGTCAGAATTGATCAGTATTCATTATCACAAGGAGCCATGAATTGTTCAATCTTAACATCTAGGTGGCTCTTCCAAATCATAGTTCTTGCAGAATAGCAATATGACTTTTAAGCTTAATCTGACAACCAAACGTACTTCACAATAGATACCAAATGCTGGAAAGTATCAATTTGAAGAGCTCTGACTGAACTATATCTTAACATTGCAAATAGTAATAGATAGTAATGAATGAATGAAAGATGCATAATCTATTAAAGCAGAGACGTTATTCTGCTTTCAGAAATTCATATAAGCAACTACCTCTTCAAAGCACTTCTCTATTCCATGATTAAAATAAAGTCTTAAAAACATAACCCAGGTGAGGAAATGATAAATTAGGTTATTTGCTTTAATAATGGTAGGAAATGATGGCTGTAAAAACTAAAAATTTGTCTCATACAAGATCCTATTTGAGAAACACCCCCCCCCCCCCCCCCCCCCCCAGATGCATATTGAAATGAAGCAGCAATAATAATCAGTTCAATTTGAAACAAAGTTATGGTTTTGAATAATTTCAATTACATTACAGCTGTCAGAATTTTGATTGTCTAAAAAGGATAATCATTGCAAATGTTGTGAGCATAAGGAAGCAGGATATGCTCTACTGGCACATGTATCTTATCTTTGCTCAGACAAAGTCAAAGGATCAACTATTTTCTACCAATTAAAAGTTCAAAACAATCTTAAGAAACCTGCAACAGCTCAAAGAGCAATACATTTGAATGGGTTTGAAGTGGTTTTAATCATAATATAAATTACAAATTAATTATATATTTTTTAGTATGTTTGGAGTGGTCGGCTATAGAATTACAGTTCATTGACAGCTCTAAAGTTCTGATCCAACATGACATTTTTCCTTCAATATGTAGGCGCACACAAAAGCATGCAGGCATCAAGCAGGAGGAAGCAAGCACGAAGGACATACAACGATTCCATATTGAAGAAATATAAAAGTAAAGGAGCATAAACACGTTTGGAGAAAATAAGATGAAATACAGTGATTGAGTTTATCCCAAACTAACCATGCACCATGAGGCAGAGAGTAACACAGATCAAGGAAGATGATATGGACGTTGGACTATAACAAACTATGTAAGTAATACAACTTTTAATACTAGAATAGTCTTCTACATAGTTATTTGAATGTAATCAGTACAGCATAGATATCAACATATTGCATTGAAACAGAAAAAAATAAGTGTAGACCAGCATATTATTTACCATTGTTTACTTTTTTATTTTCATGCAGCCATGAGGTTTCAAGGTTTTATGTCTAAGCTTACTTTTTAACTTTGAGAATGTTTCTCTTCTAATACATCAACTCTTCGACACCAATATCCACACACTACTATTCCAGAAACCAGAGGACAATACTTTAATTTCATCTTGATCTCTGCTATTTGCTAGCAAAACAAGCCATAACATTCTCAACCTTCTAAAAATTATTAGAATTCAACAACAACAAATGATCACGTTAAGTTGAACGAAGGAAAATCCTATTTTAAAACATCATGCGATTGCCACTATTTTAATCAAAAAAACCATGTAGAAACTCAACAGATAGAAAGGGCACCTTGAGAAAAATCAGCTTGACCAGGCAAATCAAGCCAATCATATGATTTCACATGAAGCGAACCATACAGAACCTTGCTCAGAACAGTCATTCCAGGATGATTATGAAGTGGTATGACAGAGGAAGGTGACATACAGAAGATCCCTATCTGCGGCAAAGCACCAAAATGCACAAAGCATGAGTCATTGATGAAGGAAATCAAATTTTAGTCACAACCCCACCCCCCCCCCGAAATGAGAAGAAAGAAAAGCTCCTTCCTAGTGAAGATCATTTTAAGAAGTTCAGATGCACAAATACAATAGCAGTTATAGCATGCAACTATTAGATTGCTTACAGAAAACCTGTCACACTCATGCAAGTGTAAATATTTTACTGCAGGTGGATACTGATGATTTCTATTTTGCCCTTTTCTCCCGTTGCTTCCATTTATCAAAACATTCCATCCACGTGATAGTTTTGCCTCCTGTTCGAGACCCACATTGGAAGGTTTCAATTCATCTGGAATGGCATAAGTGAAAGTGTTAAAAGAATATGCATATACTAGCTAGATGACCCTAAAATTATTTCAATGAAATGGAAGTTTACAGCCTTCATAAGGAAACTTTCAATTAAAGTAACATAAAAGTAACTTTCTCACCTAAAATAGCACAAACACTATCCAGAGCTTCTTCTGATATAGGACCATTGGTTGAGAAGGATTCTTTGCAAGTGTCATACAGTTTCTGAACCACTGGCATGATTAGATCAGAGGAACAAAACTCTGAATCAACCAGCCAATAGATTACCAGATTGAAAGATTAAAGAATTCAATTTCTAGACAACTAAAAACTTTGACATGAAATCAAACAACCAACTCCTAAGAACAGTCCAGGTTACTCAATTTTATGATAGAGCATTCAAAAACAACTTCCTGTCCTGCACCAATTACAAAATCCAGTCCTACGAGAACCCAAAGGGCAGCTATATATATATGCAAGGCACTGGTAGTTAATTAATCCTTTCCTCTCCAAGCTCAAGAAATTGCACCTATCACAAACAAAACATAAATGAAAGACTACAAATTAAACAAAACAACATCATCCTAAATCCTCAAAAATAAGAATAAGAAGAAAAACAATAAAGTAAAGCGGTTCCTTGGTGTATTCAGATTTCACATCCTTAACAATCAAACGGGTTTCAAACAGAATTTCTTGTTTCCTTAGGATTTAATTAAATTAAAGTACTAAACCACAGAAATTAAAAACTAAATATGGGCTTATGCATAATAAATATAAACTTTTTGATCCTTCTGGGTTTTCCCTGGAAACAAACAGAAAACAATGCTCACTAATGTCATGTGATTGCATAACAGATTAGAGTCAAAACCAATCCCAGTTAAAACTGAAACAGAGGAAGAATAAGAAGAACTAAAGCATGTGAAAATAGCAATAAAATGAACCAATCATACCAGAATCTTATAAACTGTCTTTGTTGATATCAAAATTTAAAAGGTAAAAAGAAAAGCATAAATTTTAGTGTAATTTAAGATAAAGAATAAAAAAAAATAGAGACAGAGACTTGGGGGGAGTACCTTCACCAGGGCCTGGGGGTTCGGGTTTGGGTTTAGCATGAGAAAGTGAAAGAGAGAAGAAGGCAGCAGTTAAGAACAAACCAAGCCGTCAATGTTTGTTTTGAAGTTGTTCTTGTGTACTTGAGTACTGTTGTTGTTGCAGCTGTGTTTTTGCCTAGAATGTTTGATTCTTTTGAGTGTACGATGTTTTTGTGCCATTTGGCCGCAAATGTCAGAAATTTTGCTCACGAGCTCTAATTCAATGTATCTTCCTTCCTTTTCAATTTTGAGGTGATAGCACCACATCATTAGCAGCCACTGTTTTTTATTCTTTTTGTCCTTTTCGTTCTTTTTTTTTTTCTGGTTTTGTATTCTCTTTAAATAGCAATGAGGAAAGGCAATCTCACCGAACCTATCTAATTAAATATACTAATGTATGTCCTTTTAATGCAAAAAAAAAAAAAAAAAGAATATTCCTTAAGAATTCGAGTTGAATTTCAATTTATGTTATGTTTTTAACTTATGGGTTTTTTTTTTTAATTTTTATTTTCCTTCATTGAATCTGGTTATTGTTGAATATAAAACATTGACTAATATGGATAGATTTATTTATTTTTTATAAAATAAGTTAATATTTTAAAAAATAAAAATAATCATCGATTATATCTTCAATCAATTAATATATCATTAAAATTAATATTTAAAAATTATAAATTTAATATAATTTAAGCGTATAATATTTTTTTAATCAAATATATTTTAAAATAAGAGAAATTTAATGATAAATTAAAAACTTAAAAAAACAATAATTATAAGAACTGAATCTTGCTTTATTAAAATCATATTTCTTAAAAATGATGAATGAATTATTTGAATAAAACCCTAATTTTCTTTTAATTATATCTTTATTTTGATGAAACCATAAAGAACTTTAATTATGAATTTAGTAATTGAAAATGCATAAAAGTGTTAGTGATGTCTTTTCTAGTAATATAATTGTTTTTCGTGGTAATACTATGATTGGACATTTTACTAATTCATTGAATGTCTTAATTTTTCTCCCAAATTCAATAGAATTGTAAAAAAAAAAAAAAAAAAGTGAAATGTGCTAAGCCACTATTTAAATTTAAAATCTCGTTAATACTGACAAGTAACAGTAATTAAGAGTGTAATCAAATAGAGTCGAGTAGATAAATAAAAAATTCAAGCTTGAGCTCGACTCTCAACTCACGATTCAATACTCAACTTAAACTCGATCGAATTTCATTTTCTTAACTCTATTCTATTCGTGATTGAAATCGAACTGTTTAAGTTCGTTCGATTAAGCTCGTTTAATATATAAAAATAAGCTCGATTCATATACTCGATAAGCGTTTAATTATTTGTGCTCGAGCTCAAATTCAAATTTGAGATATTTTATTAATTAAAATAATAAAAATATATTTAAATATAAAAAACTCGATTAAGCTCGTGAGCTACTAGAGTCGGGTATAAAAATACTCGAACTCGACTCGATCGATGAATCGAGCTACTCGAGCTCAAGCTTAACTCAATAATAATCAAACCGAATTCAAATTTTATTCGAATAAAATCTAAATAATTTATGTGTATTAATATATCATTTATACTCGTAATAATAATAATAATAGTGAAACTCACAATTCATTTGATCCTTCTTGAAACTACTTCTTTTTTCAGATACGAGTCCTTTTAGGGATGGCATCGGGTCAGGTTCGGGGCGGATTTTGTTCGCCCTAAACCCGACCCGACTTTATGTTTTAGCATACCCGAACTCGACTCTACCCGATTTTTTTTATACCCAAACCCGACCTCGACCCCGACCCCGATATTATGTAAATCGAACCCGACCCGACACAACCCGAAATTAATAAAATATTATTTTTTAAATATAAATATTTAAAAATATTATTATATAAATATATATATAAATAATTAAATAATTAATTAAAAAATAATTTTTTATATAATGTCGGATTTTTGGCATACCCGAACACGATCCGACCCCGATTATTCTCTAATAGGCTCAGTGGCCTGTTTAAATTTGCAAGCCCCTTTTGAATCCGGGCTTGTCTTTTTTTTTTTTTTTTCCATATTCGGGCTAAGTTGGATTTTCTTTACTTCTTTCCCTTGGATATGGGCTTCGTTCATTTTTTTTTTTTTTCATCTTGACATGGGTCATGACTTTTCTATATTTATTTATTTTATATTAAATATGTATAAAATATAAAATTAGTATATTATAATTTGTGTTAACATATTAAATATAAATTTTTTATTTTTTATTTTTTTTAAATTTATGATAATTTTTATTAAAATTTTAAATTATATTATTTTCATGTATTTTTTTATATTTTTAATATGATATTTATAATTATTATATCTAGGCATACAATTGTAATTATGTTATAATAATAATAAAATAATAATAATAAGAAGTTATGTTAATCTCTTACAATTCATTTAAATAGATGATAAGATTGAAAATAGTTGTGAAGGTAAAATTACTTATTATAATAATAAAATTAAAATTAATGATGGGATATAAGTTTAAATATAAAAGCAAATACAATGATTAGATAAAATTATATAAAAATAAAAATGATAATTAAAGATATTATATTAAAATTTACATATAATATAAATTTTAAATTATTTAATATTTATAAAATTAATAAATTATTTTAAAAAATTATTAAAGTAATTTTATATCAAATAATTATTTATTAATAAATAAATAAAAATTATTTACTAATTTTATTAAATAATAATAAAATTTATTTATTAATTTATTATATAATAGTAAATTTTAATTTTATATTAAATTAACACAACTACTTTGTAATTTTTAAATAAAAATCAGGTAAAAAAATAAAAATAAAAAGTGGTTAACAAAGTATGGATTTAAGAAGAAAATATATATATATTTGGATTACAGTCGTGGGTGACCCAAGTTTTCATGGTAATCTTACCGCACCGGGGGCTGTTGAAATCCAAACGCACCGCTAATCATGTTAGAAAGAGGAAAGCACGCAAATTGTGGGTCCAGTCAAAAGGGAAAAGTAATAATAATAATAATAATAATAATAAAATAGAAAAAGCGCGTCCGAGTGCAACGGAAGTGGGGGCCCTCACCACCATTCTTCATTTACGTGGGGCCAGGGTTGACAGTTTGTCCTCCCCTTAATCTTCCCGCCAATACTCATCAAACACTAATTAGTAATTAATTAATTAATTATACTTTTTTGTGGACCCCTCCCAAACCCCCGAATTAAACACCTCAAAAAATGGCAAATTTTATTATGACCCTTAAAATAAAACAAAGAAAGAAAAAAAGAAAAAAAAAATTTTGCGGAACAGAAAGTAAAAACAGAAACACAGTTCGCGGGGGTGGCTGGTGGGGGCTTCACGCTCCAGCAACGGTAAAAAAAAAAAAAAAGAGAAAGGAAAGGGGAGAAAAACAAGAAAATCTCTGGAAAATTTTGTAAGAAAATAAAACAAAACTTGAAGCTCCCCATTGCAGAGAGCGAGAGAGAGACCAAAGATGGTCGAAGAGAAGGAATTACCGCTCTGAGATCATCCTGTGAAAAAGGGCAGCAATAGAAAAAAATTTATGGGATTTTTTATTTCAGTTTTGTTATTTCAAATTCCAAATTTTTACATATTTTTTTCTTTGCTGCCTTTTTGAGTCTCTATCAGAAGCCTCCTCTCCACCACCACCCCCACCAGTCAACAAACAATCCTACTTTTTTGTACTTTTCATTCGTTCAGACAAAATCCCAATATTACCATTGCAACAATAGCGTCAAAGAAACGAAAAAGTTTTGATTTTGTGCACCCTTGATGGTAATTTCAACTTGCCCTTTATTGTTTTGGAGACGCTTTTGCTTTTCTTGTATTGCTTTCTCTCGAGGTCATTCTGTTGCTAACATTTCTTTATTTTCGTTTTGTATGTTTCTTTTTTTTTTTTTTTGTCAGATTCTTTGGAGATTGAAAGGAGAAGTTAAGTTCCAGCTGTTGATAATTCACATGCACTTGTCAAAAAGGGTGTTGTAAGATCAAATAGAAAAACAGAAAAAATGAGAGAACCTGATGTGATCATCACCAAAGGCGGTGAATTTACGTTTCTTTGTAATATAGTTTTGTAGTAAAAAGAAAAAAAAAAAAAAATCATTGTTCCACGTTTTCTTGTAAAACAAAGCGAACGTAGAGATTGTTTTGTTATTGTTGTTGGCGGTGTTGTTTCGTGTTGTAGAGTGAGTTTGAAAGAGGGGGTGCTTTTGTATTAGGAAAACCTGGCGATTTTGTGTAGCGCCCTGGCTGTTGGCGGATATCTTTGCTACCTCCACCACTGCAGCATTTAGCTTATCAAGCAATGGGGGGTAGATGGAATGCAATTGGATTTCATTTGTTAAGCTTCTTGTTCTCGATCCCAAGTTTCATGATTCGAGAGTCTTTGGCTATTAACTCTGATGGTAATTCCTTCTTCTGGTATTTCTGTTTTATTCTTTGGTTTTTTTTTTTTTTTACAATGCTGTTTGATTTAATTATTTGTTTTCTTTTTTTAACTTGTTTCTCTGATTTTAAACGGATTTGGAGATGCAGGTTTAGCTTTGTTAGAATTGCGAGCGAGAATTGAATCTGATCCTTATGGTGCGTTGGCAAATTGGAATTCCAACGACAGCACACCATGTATGTGGTTGGGAGTTCATTGTGTCGACAGTAAAGTGCAAATGCTGTGAGTCCTGCTATGTTCCTGTATACTCATTAATGAAAATACATTTGTTTAGGAGAAGAATCCTTGCTATGTTCCTCATTTGATAGGTAATTGAAATTTAGTTTCTGAATGGTCTCACAAAGAGAGTGTTGATCTTTAATTGAAGATTTCTTTTTTTTTTTTTTTAGAAGTTCTTTATGGTGTAAACTGTGAAGGATGAATCCTCTGATGTCTTTTTTGTTGTTTGCTTTTAGGGATTTGAGTGCCCTTTCTTTGAAAGGAACATTGGCGCCTGAGCTGGGGAAATTAAGTGACTTAAGATCACTGTAAGCACTCACAATTTGCTGCGAAATGAGTGGATTTTAAAAATTTTCCCCCTGAGACTCTTCATCTGCTTTAGCTTGTATTTCTTCTTGCAAGGCCAAAAATCCTGATAAAAATCAGCAATATCTGATATTGTGATTATCAATTACTACTAGGTCCCAATATATTATCTGAAACAAAGATCTGCCATATCTTTCACATTTTACTTCTTGTTTATTGGTTGTATTCATCATCATTCTCGGATAAACCCTGGTTTTTATACATTGCAACAGATTAACTTACTGTTTGAATTCAAGGAATCCTGTAAATGAGAGGCACTATCTGTAGGTCTTAATATGCAGCATCATATTTGGTAATATTTTTAGTGCTTGCTTAACCTAACTGAACTTTCTGGATCTTTTTCTTGCTGTCTATGTTAACAGTGAGCTCTATAAAAACCATTTCTCTGGTGCCATTCCAAAGGAGTTCGGAGAGCTTACAAAGCTCGAGCTATTGGATTTGAGGGAAAATAACTTGGGTGGAACAATTCCAGCTGAGATAGGCAAAATGCTGTCTCTAAAACGCTTGTAAGTTCACTTTTGTAAATTTATGCTGTGCATAATGCTTTTTTCTCTGTGTTACTTTTAACTAAATTACCTTCCACCTTAGGTTAATTTGTGACAACAAATTTGAGGGCAGCATTCCTTCAGATCTTGGCAGGCTAAACATGCTCTCTGAACTGCGGTTTGATGAAAATCTTAAATTGATATTGGCTACTGGAATTTGCCATGTAAATAGAAAGTTTGGACTATGGTAAGAGCATACTCATTGCAGCGGAATTGATATTACTATGTTTTGGTCAAACCCCTTCCCTTATTCTGTAACCTATACTTATCCACCCTCATCGCAAGGATGCATTCTAAAGAACCATCAGAACTCTTAGCCCATTAGCTCTTTGTTGACCTTATGAATATGGCATAACTTCATAATTGCCTGGGCTAGGGTTAAGTTAGGAGAGGATATATGTTTCATAAAGCAGATTGATTTTTGAGGTTCATTTGCTTAAATTTCTTTAAATTCCTAGTTTTTAAAGTCTAATTGCAACATGAAATCAAGGGCGGGCATCAGTTTCCTTTAAAACCATTTAATATGCCTCTCGAATCACTGAGAGCACAAATCCTCTGATAATCAAAAGAGTGCTTCAAATGACTTGCTTGACTTTTAGCCTTATGGATGATAAAGAATCTATTCAATTAATTAGATACTCTACATCTTTGGCTCATATTCACAACTGAACTGTTAATTCTAGTGCTTATATCTATTCTGGGATTCATGGAGTCACTCATTTCTCTGCCTCATTCTAGTGTTGAAACTATGGAGTCAGGATGGACCAAAAAATAAATTTCATGTGAGAAATCAGTTTGTAAACATAGACAGATAACAATTGTTTGATATTTCTATGAAGCAATTTGAATTAGTAAGTTTTGCTAGGATAAGCTTCAGCATAAGGTCATAGCAAACTATGCAGAATGATGGTCCCAACATATTCTCTGAATTAGGTTCTGCTAGCTTAGAATTATTACAAAGTCCTATTTTCTTCTAAAATACATTGAACTTGATTGTACAAAAAGTTATTCAAAATTTTGCTTCGAATATGTGGCATTTTGGAGCTTAATATGCTTCATTTTATAGCACGGTTTCTTTTTTACTCATTAATTAGACTTATCAAGAGTTCTAGCCCTCTAGTATCCTAATTACTTATTACTTAAGTTGACAGCATATGGCAGAGTGGTTTGAAACAACTGAACAGAACAGGATCATTGTTCATCCCAATTAAAGGAGCTCTTATACGTTACCACAATGCCTTGCCATTACCATGGTATGAACTTATCATATATCTTTTCACTGTCCTATTTTTATTGTTGGTTATGTTATTTTGGTTTTTAAAATCATCTTGTTCTCTTTGTTTACATGATTTACCTTCTTATTAGGTTCAAGTTGCAAAAAGATTCTCTGGCTGAGCATAATGATAGCTTCAGCGGTGATGTGCCTGGTGAGTAGAACAATGACAAAATCTCAGTCCATTGGACTACAAAGTATGGCTTGTGGGAAACAATGACATTATTTTTCTTAAGTAGGTTCATCTGAGCAACAAATGGCCCATAACATAGGGAATCTTGTCCCTTTTGCACGTCGTAGGCTGCTTGAGCAGTTGAAAAACCTCCCAGCTGCATCTGCTGCTGCTGTGTCTTCAACTGAACAGATCATTTCTATCCCAACTACCAGAAGTAGTGGGACCTTCCCCGCTGTGCCACAAGGAGCAAAGAAACAGTCTCCTGCACCACCACCATTGATTGATCCTCCTCTTCCAGCGACTAATTCAAAGCCTGCTGACCAGTCATCCCAAACGTCTAATGCAGATTCAACTGCTCAACAACCTTCTGCTTCTGGGGATTTATGGAAATATCTTATCTCCATTCCCTGTGTGGTCCTCTTGCTTGCAGTTGTGGCCACGGTTATGATGTGTAGGAAACGAGCAGCAAAATCCATAGGTCCCTGGAAAACTGGACTAAGTGGACAGCTGCAGAAAGCTTTTGTTACAGGTAATTGTCAAATATTTTGTTTGATTATGTTTCAACAACCAAATGATTTGTCTAGATGAACTGTTGGTTGGTAGACATGATTAATTTTGCTAGATGATCAAGTTACTCTTCACTGTGACACTACATTGTGTATGCTGATAAGATAATTCAAATGTATTATTCCTTGGAAATTGCATATTTTTAAACATTCAGATTTTTATTACATAAAGCAGGGTTTGAAATGGTAGGAATTAGCATGCTAAAACAAAAGATTCTTAAAATATTCTGTCAATTGACAGAAACTTAAATGTTCATATTCGGTACATTTGATGATGGCCCCAGTTATATTACTTTCTGAATTTGGCAAATGGAGACTTCACTTTCTGCTCTGTGAAACATATGGCAGGGTAATTGGATTTTCATTACTTGTCCAGTGTCTAATATCCCTGCTACATATCAGTTGATGTTGCAAATTTTAATTTACTTAGCATTAGGTGGCTTGATGTGAGATAATTTCCAGACCAGTTCGAATTTATTGGCATGACTCTTGTATTATTTTTGTTTAATGCAGAAAAGCCTTAATTTTCAGTTTTTTCAAAATGCAGGGGTGCCTAAGCTAAACCGATCAGAACTGGAAACAGCCTGTGAGGAATTTAGCAATATAATTGACACAATTGACGGTTGTAAAATGTATAAAGGGACACTTTCCAGTGGGGTTGAGATTGCTGTGGCATCAGTCAGCGTTTCATCTTTAAAAGAGTGGTCAAAGAACTCAGAGATGGCCTATCGAAGAAAGGTTTAATGTTTTCACAGTCACGACATATAAACGTGACAATTGGTGCCCATAACAGAAATCAATTTTATTCTTTTATATCTCTTGATTTTTACCCATTTTTTAATCTATTGTTATATTGGAACTCACTGTAGATTGATAAATTGTCACGAATTAACCATAAGAACTTTGTCAACCTTATTGGCTACTGCGAGGAGGGTGAACCTTTCAGCAGGATGATGGTCTTTGAATATGCTCCGAATGGAACCATTTTTGAGCATCTGCATGGTAATATTATCACTTGCATGCGTATTTCCTGGTAAATATTTTATTCAATGTTGACTCTTTGAGAGCTTAGATATTTACTTTTGTTCTCAGTTAAAGAAATGGAACATCTTGATTGGAATGCAAGGTTGAGAATCATCATGGGTGTAGCATACTGTCTTCAGTATATGCACCATGATCTGAATCCTCCTGTAGCTCATCCAAATTTATGTTCAACTGCTATCTTTCTAACAGATGATTATGCTGCAAAGGTACGCCAATTTCTGTATAATTTGGCTTCATTAAGTTCTTATCATTATAAAACTCACATTCTCTTTCCTCATCTTTTACTTTTGCAGGTTGCGGAAATTGATAGTATACGGGCTGCACCTAAGTCAAAAACCTCAGGTGATGATGAATCTCAGCATTCTGAATTGCCACCTTTTGTTGATCCAGAAGTGAATGTCTACAGTTTTGGCATATTGTTACTTGAAATCATTTCTGGAAAGCTTCCTTACTCGGATGAGCAAGGGCCTCTTGAGAAATGGGTATGTTTAGGATGATACCTAATGACCTAATATTTTCATAGTGCGCCCTTATCTCTTCCTTTTCTAGACTTGTTCTCAAGGCAAAAGCTAACACTCGCCTTGCTTTACAATAGTTTTTGCATTTTGGTAAACTAATAATCATGACCGTGGCAGGCCGCTCAATATTTGAGTGATAGACGGAGTATCAGCTACATGATTGATCCAACCCTCAAATCTTTCAAAAATGATGAGCTTGATGTAATCTGCGAGGTTATACAAGAGTGCATCCAAACAGATCCAAGACAAAGACCAACAATGAAGGATGTCACTTCCAAATTGAGGCAAGTGATTAATATCCCACCTGAGCAAGCTACCCCAAGACTTTCCCCCTTGTGGTGGGCGGAACTTGAGATTTTATCAATGGAGGCAATCTAATTTTTTTGCTACTCTCTTCTCTGTGTTGTTAGTCAAGTCTCTCTCTTTCTCTTACTTTGTATCAAAATGGAAAGGAATAGCTTTTTCCTCCTTGCCCCCCCCCCCCCCCCCCCAAAAAAAAAAAAAAAGAAATTGATTCCTTGCACTCGGTATCCAAATCACTTCCTTTTTGGTCACATTGTTTTCATATATACACATTCATCTTATTATCCATTTGTTTAATATTCTTCCCCCATTCATCCTCAGCACTTCATTGCAATAAGAGTGTGTTATACTCATTAATGGGGATTGTGTACCCAACTGTAATACATGTATATATTTTGTGATGATAAAGTCTGTGATGTGAACAACTAACATAACAACATATTAATTTGTTAACATTCTTTTTCCTCTTAAATATAATTAGATGGTTGAGAATTTTTAGAACTTCTGTCACAGTATTTGACATATGTTAGTCAAGTAAAATTTTGGGTTTTTTTTTTTTTTTTTTTATATATATTAGTACCCTGATTATTTCTTGGTTTCAGTTTGTTTGTTGTTGGTGAAACCCCCATGCTCTGTTTGAGCTTGTTTCAACCCTCAGACCCTTAAAATGTTCAATTTATTCAATCAGTTTAAATGGGTAGTCGAGATTTTCATAACTAAAACTGAAGCAGTGACTGTGTAACCGACAGACGAACATTTCAAACTGAATGCAATGTGTATTTTGACTAAATATGAACCTATAACATTGCTGAGCATTTAAGCACTCAAAGATGTAAACATCCCAGCGGAGATTAACCACTTTCTAGACATAGCACTTATCAGAATCCAGATGACATGATTTTCTTTTCATTTTTTTTAATTGATGGAAAAAGTTGGGGTACAATAATTCAACGGCTTTCAAAGAGCAAGCTAAAGATACACTAGACATTACGTATGCAACAGATTCTGGCTCCTCCGCTGCAAGTTGATACTTATTCTAATTGGCCCCAAAGGGCCAAACCCCTGAACATGAACTCATGTTGTGAGAGTTACTGGAAGCTGACCAACGGCCTAATTGAATAAGTCTGCTAACGTTTTTAGGCCAGACAAGGATTTGAAGTTGTTAAACTAAAGTATCAACACCAGTCCAGAGTTCATCCTGATTTAAGGCCCACATGCCACAGAATGATATGTGCATGTTCTTAATTACCATACGGGCGAAATAGCCAAAAAAAAAAAAAATCTTTGGTTTTTCAGATATGTTAGTTTAAATTCTGATATCAAAATGAGATAGCTAATCTTATCTCCCATGTATCTTGTATATATGCATTGATGTTTAATGAAAAAAGTTTAGCTTGGCAGTAGAGCTGAATCCTCAGACAGGCTTTTATTATTAGGGCATTAATCTTCTGCAGCAAGCATGGACAGATGAGTTGCAAATTCAGGACCAAGTTTGGCAACCTATTCAAACCAAGAATATCCCCTGCTTCAAGCTCATGAATTCCTACTTTTGAAGAAAGAAACCTCTTCAATTTTGGCAAGTGATTTGAATTGTCACTAACAATAAAGGAATTTATCCAATCCATGAGAAAACCTCACAAACAAAAACACGAAGGCCAGGGATGCAGCTCTTCTTTTTCCCCAGTAGGCCCGAAAGAGCACAACTGGAAATCATATCTGCATCAGTTGGTATTTAGTAGCGCTTTCAGATGTCACGAATTCTCCTTTCAATTGCAAGACTGTAGTCGCCAGCACAAGCCAAGTGGTCAAACTTTGGCTACATTGCTCTCTGTAAGCCCCAAGGACTCATTGTCTTATTGAGAAGACCATGAACTCACCCATACCTTGCTGAATCCTGCCTGCTTCCACCAAAACTCCAATCGCAGCTATCAATCCTTTTTCTCTAATCTCATGAACTAAGTTGAGTTACCGAGAAATCAAATTTACGGGACAGGCAACTTGATCAAGCATGCAAAGGGGAGCAACTATGAAGGGGTGTCCCGCTCACATTGCAAGAAAAACAAATCTAACGCTATCTGAAAAAGACAAATTAAATGGAAAATCTAGACTTAAAGATTTTTTATTGAGATGGCAAAAAGCACCAAAAGTGACATTTTTGTTAAGTTCAATCCTTCATGGGTTTTGGCTGAGAAAAAAACCGAAATGCAAAAAAAATGATTAACAAAGTCAATATTTTCATTAGAAAAATGTTAACAAAAGATGTGTCCAGAATTCAAACCAAAAAAGGTTAAAAATTCCAATGAATTTTCAAACCAGGATGCTGACTTTCACTCATTTCTGATCCACCTGTCTCTCTTTCATTCAACGTTGTCCATTAAAAAGAAAAAATGACTCTGTACTAAGAAAATAACACAGGGGAAAAGCTGCTTTCAAGTGGGCCGATGTGTGTCATTTCTAGTGTAGATGGCCCATTAATATTTAGCTGTGCTAATAAATACTGATAGCTACAGCATCCTATACGTAGAAAAAATGCATTTGACCCAGAAAATTGTCACACCTAAATATCCTTCCCAAGTACCTGGCTACTCACGTTGACGAAATTACTAGCGTGAGGGACTGAAGAAAAGTAGATGGAGATGGAAGTATAACACTATCTGTCAAGACATTAAAAGAAAAGATCGGAAAGTAAATGTTTTTTACTACAAATAAGCACATGCTGTCTACATTGTTCAGGACTTTAGGCTTCTCTCGGAATGAATCTTCGTTGACACATGAATCTCTATGATTGTCATATAATGGAAGCCATCAGCCATTGCCATATTGGGTGAGCAAAACATAGGCCATTGGCCTGGGTACGGCTATTTTTGTATTTTCGGCCATTGGCCAATTTTCAATCCAACACGTAAAAATCGTTTCAAAATTCATTCTCAGGGTTGTTCAAATTGAATTGACATCAATGAATTGATAATTAAATGTTAAAGTAAATTTGTTTCAGTCCTTTTGCAGTCGTTTTCTATGTTTTCCTTTCAGGCTTGCAGCCATCCTGTCTTGTAAAAAAGCAACAGGTTATCAGACAATAAGTTCGAACTCTACTCTCACATTTGAGTAATTTGGAATGAAATTAAATAGCTGAAATTGGATGAGATGTTACCTGTGCATGGACAGAGAAGAGACATGAGATTCAATTCTTGCAAGAGACTATAACCATTTAAGTGCATGCCGTCAGATTTTGACATGTAATTGTCTTCATGCCAACATAGTTTCCTTCCTTGCACACATTTTTCCATCATACTTTAGATTATCAAGACTCTTCTGCTTCACTTATTGAAGGGTCAATAGTGTGTCCAGATTGAGCCTGCATACTTATCTGGCCAAACTCTTGAACAATCACAAGAAACTCATAAAAGCACAACTCAACTAGATTGTATTGTATTTAACATTACTCAAAAGTGGAAAGACGGGTACAAATTACTACCAGAAGGCGAAAACTGTTGTGCATTCATATAAAAAACCTCAAAATCACCGTTCCTACAAAACAGCTGCTTCGCATTTTACGTGATTTCAAATGAGGTTTTAATTCTTCTAGTTAAAACTATCAAGCACTATATAAACTTGCAGTTATCAGCAGCAGATACTAAAATCAGATGGTTTAGAATTTTTATTTTTCTTTTTTTTTTCTTCTAAAAAATGATTATTCCAAATCCTCGACTAGTTTCAGATTTAAGGCTTTTGAATAATGGAGTGGTGCTTATGATTCAGGTCATACTCGCCATAAAAGCAATTGCTATTGCATCAAAAAGCAAACAGGCCAAAGTTGCATGTAGAAATTTGGCAACAGAGATGAAGCAAAAGTTCCATACTAGATGCTAATGCAAAGTAATGAACTTCTATCATACTAACCAGTCAATTAAATAAAAAGACTAAATTAATGAAATGTTTCATTGATTCATTTCTCAATAACATTGATGGGAATATACAAGCCAGAAATCCAATTGCCAAGATGAATAGAAATTTGTATTCAATTCTCTGTAACCTAACCTGAACTTCTCGATACAAAATAAGATCATACAAATATATCAAGTAATCTAAACCTTCGCCCAAGTAGCACAACAAAAAGAAAGAAAAAAAAAACATTTTTTATGATACAAAAAAAAAAAAAAAGATTAGAGAGAGAGAAAAGCTTACCCTTTTCCCTTCCTCCTCTCTCTCTCTCTCTCTCTCTCTCTACTCCGTATCAGAAGGTAAATATGAAGTAGCGGCAGCAACTGCAGCAGTAGATCGTGATTCCTCCAGCATCAAATTCTCTAACCCAGGTTTCAATTCCCTGTTACAAAACTCCTCATACTCTCCTCGGTCACCTCCTTTCTTCTTAACTTCCAAAACAACCAAAGAAGGCGTCAACTCGAATATCTCAGCAGCAATGGTCAGTGGCCCTTTTACCCCTTCTCTAGAACCCTCCAAGCTCACCCGACAATCCTTTTTCCTCACTGTAAAACTAACCACCTTCGCTATCTCCTCTAATTTCGATATAATTTTCGAAACCGGCGCCCCTGACACAAACCTTGTCCCTTCCCCTCCTTCCTCAAACAACCCAGATAAATTAAACCCCGGGGAAAACGAAATAAGATCAAACGCATTCAAACTAGCTGGCCTCGGCAATGAAGTAACTTTCCTCCTAGTTTCAGACTCAGCTTCTGATTCAGAATACGATGACTGGTCCGAACACGATCCCACGTCATCGTCGTCCTCCTCAACACTGCAAAATTTATCATCTTCAATGTAAAATTTAATATGTTTAAACCCCTTTTTAAACCAACAGTTCTCCATGATTTCCGGAATCGTTATTCTCGTTTCCGGATTCGTCTGCAGAAGCTTCGTAAGTAACCGAATTAACTCAGGTGAAAACCATCTCGGACACCTAAACTCACCTTTGTAAATCTTCTTATACATAGCCATAATGTTTCGATCGTGAAACGGTAAATACCCCGCCATTAAAACAAACAAAATTACACCGCAAGACCAGATATCTACCTTTGCCGCATCGTATCCTTTCCTCGCCAAAACTTCCGGTGCCACGTAAGCAGGGGTCCCGCAAAACGTATGAAACAAGCCGTCTTGTCGGATCTGATCCGAAACCGCGCTCAACCCGAAATCTGAGACTTTCAAATCCCCGTTTTCGTCTAGGAGTAGATTCTCGGGCTTCAAGTCGCGGTGGTAAACGCCGCGGGCGTGACAGAAATTGACAGCTGAGATCAATTGCTGGAAGTATTTTCTGGCAACGTCTTCTTTTAATCGGCCTTTAGCAACTTTGTTGAAGAGTTCACCACCACGTACGTATTCCATGACGAAATAGATCTTAGATTTGGTAGCCATAATTTCGAAGAGTTGTACGATGTTCGGATGGCGCACGCGGCGGAGGATGGCGATTTCGCGTTTGATGTGAGCGATTAAGCCACCTTTGAGGATTTTTTCCTTGTCGAGTACTTTGATGGCAACGCTGTCACCGGATTTGACGTTGCGTGCGTGGTAAACTTTAGCGAAAGTACCATGCCCGAGGAGTTTCCCGACCTCGTAGCGTCCTAAGAGAAGAGCTTGGCCACCGTTTGCATCTCTCTTTGCGGTGGCGGTGGCGGCGACTGAGGTGAAATCCATTGTCGTGGAGGTTAGGGTTTCGCTATTTTAGAAAAAAGAAATTTGAATGATTAATGATTGGCCTTTTCAAGTAGGAAATTTGAATGGTTTTGTGTATGTATGTTTTTGGTTGAGAGGTTGAGTGAGTGGTTTTCAAGTAATTGAATTCGTTACGGGGTCGGAGAAAATAGATGCTTTTAAATAGAAAGCGAATATTCTCTCTGTTTGTTTTCTTTTTATTATTATTTGATTTGATTTTTTTTTTTTGTATGCTAACAACTCTAGGTTTTATTTTAATAAAATAAATGCTTCAATTAAAAATGCATCGTACGGGAATATAATTCTTTGTTTTTTTTTAAAAATTATTTAATTACCACAATTTGAATGATTAAAAATCAATAATCATTGCGGAAATTGTCTACATTAACAAAGGCTTTGAGGAATAGCTAGCCTTATTTTTTTATATTACAAAATAATATAAATAATTTAAAGAAATTTTTATCAAAATATTCTTGTAAAATTTTATAAAGAGAGTAGAGCGGGAGGAATCTACGTGGGAATTAACGACGAGAGGGACACGGTGACCTTTTTCCGTGAAAGCTCAACACACTCGAGAAAGAGAGAGAGCGATTCAAGTACGTGCAAACGTAACCTTGTCAAGCGTGTATGGGCCACAGAAATAGAGGAAAGGAAACAGCCCGCACTTCCTTTTCGCTACCTCCTTCCTTAATGGTGCTCACGTTCACCACACGTCGGCATCCCGCATCATCCTTATGAGCTCAGCGTTTTAATCACCCTTGGATTTGAGATGGTTCGTGGGGTGCCACCGTCAACTTGATAGTCAGTGATGATTTAAAAGCGTACCCAATAAGATAGCTTTGACTGAATTTTTTTAAAACAAAGAGGTTGTAAACTTGTAATTAAATGAGTAAAATAAAAAAAATTTTCCGTCCTCTTATTTTTTCCCTTTCTCTCTTAAATCTAATTGTTTGATGTTATAAATATAATTTTTTGAAAAAAAAAATCATTTTTATCAGATCTTTTGAAAAAGTTGGCTAATTCTTTTCAATGATTTCTTAGAAATTACACTGTCAACACTTGTGATTTCGTCATAATCCATCAAATACGTCAAAATCTTGTCAGCTTTTCAGAACAAAATCAATATATGTTCACTAAGGTTTATATGATAAGACAATTACACTCCACAAAAACATTTGTGTAACCGTACTTATTAACACCACAAATGTTGAAATATCATTGTGCCATGTATCGATCATTGTGCCAGGAGATGGTCGCCAAAGTTCTAATATAAAACAAACAGACATGGTTCATAGGAGTAGAGTTGGTGGGTAAAAAAAAAAATTTGTATGATTGTAAGTGCAAAACTTTTCTTGATACAGAATAATAATGGATCGAAATATAACTGTATAATTACTTCCAGTTCCAGTACTACTTAAAAATTGGAAAACTCCTCCCTTGTTTTGGATCTTGGATTATATTATTAACCTGATAATAACCATTATGCAAAATCAAGCACTCATCATCAGTCCACCAAAATTTTTTTCACTAATTTCAACAGAAATTAAAAAATTAAGTATCAGTTCACCAAAACTTTTTCACTAACTTCAACAAAATTCGGAAAATGAATTAAGTAAAATACATGCACTAATAAAAAATTGGGTTAAGTAAAATACATGCATTAATCAAATTGCATGGCTTCAAAAAACAACATATGTTGAGAGTGGGATTGGAACCCACGCCCTTTTGGATCAAAACCTTAATCTGACGTCTTAGACCAACTCAGCTTTGTTCACTTCTTTCTAAGCAAAAGTGATAACAAACTTCTGACACAAGGTGGACCCAGGTTGCCATATTATCGTTTGACTTCTCCGGATATTACACAAAGCCAAAACAAGCGGCAACGAGGTGGTTTCTCAAAAGCGGCGTTACTGTTGTTTTAATGTATAAGATCATCATCCACTCTTTTTTTTTTAATTGAAACTGAAAAAAAAAATAAAAAAATTAAAGAAACTGCCTTACCTTTTTAATTTTTTCTTTTTCTCTCTTTCAAGCAAAAAAAAAAAAATTTAATATTGAAATAAATCTATAAATAAATGCAACCAAAAAAAAAAAAAAAGACAGAAAAACTGAAAACAAAACTCTCTACAGTAAACAAAGAGAGTGAAGGCTGGGAGACGAAATAAGGCCAGCAAAGTGCCTAATTTTCATCTCTCTCGCTTCTTTTGTAGTCTTTCTACAAACTTTTTCTTACTTTCTCTTCTTTTTCTAAAGCATTTATGTATTCTTTATCCTTAACTCAGTTTCTTTCTATTTCTTTTCCTTATTGATTCATTGCATTCATGCTAAAGTTTTGAGTTGATATTTTACTTGTTTTTCTCTGGTTTGACCTTACCTCATGTTCTTAGTCGTGATATTGGGGATCCTTTTGGATGGATTATTTGGAACACTGACTGGTTCAACATTCTCTTTGTAGGTATTGATGCTTCTTGCTCTGAAAATTCTCTCTTTATGCAACTATACTATTTCCAGGAAAAAAACAACAGAGAAAATGTAGGGCTTCTTGGAAGCACTCGTGTTAGAAGCCGTAGAGCCATTCAAATCTCAGCTGGCTTTATGATATTCTTCTCGATATTAGGTGAGTGACAATTTCAAATCTTTCCATCATAAATCATCATGAACAAAGAGAGGCAAGGAAAGAGCAAGCCTTCCGGAAAGAAATATGTGATGATGATCATAGACTATAGTGATGAAGAATGAAATGGAGTTTCATTGCTGCGAAAGCATGGCTACCTCTCCCGTCATCGATCATAGGTATATTTGACTTGGGTTATTCAGGTTTAATCCAATATCAATTCATTTGTCCTTCCCATTTAGTAAGAAATAGTTAATAAATTAAAGAATTTGTTTGGTGTAATGTTAAAAAAGGGCTTGCAGCTTTGAACAGTGTTTGCAAAAGTAAGTTTGCAAAGAACTATGAAAATCAGATGTAGCAATGATCTTTGAAGAATGACAATATCTAAAATCAAATATAATTCTTCTCTCGGAAGGATTAAACGTGTTGCTAATGGGAAAAATTCATTAAAATAGTCGGACAAAACGAATACGTAAGGCATTTTTATTTGCAATCTAATAAAATTACACTGATGAAATATTATTGAATAATCATAAACATAAAAATTGGAAAGAACAACCCACCCTTTTGACCTAGTGAACGAGATTCAGGTTGACCAAAAGAAAGAATATTAACACTTGGGAGTCAAACGAATGAAGCAATAATGAACATAATAAAAGAATAAAAAAAAGGAATGAAGTGATGCCGATACCATACTGTTCCAGGGTTTTGTTTGAATAAAATGGCATTTCTGGCCTTTGATTTTCACATGGCCTGGTAATCCTGTAAAAGGTCGAACTCAGCCATCCTACTGATATCTGCACATGCATTCTGGGCACCTAGGCTGTCGATAAATACTTCGACCAGGACCCCTCACCCGCACTCTTTGACCTTCCTTGATCATCTTTCTTACTCTATCTTCAAAACTATTCCATCCTATGGTGCTATTCTCTAACAAAATTGCGGCTAACCTCTTCTTGTTAGGCCGCAAGGTTGGAGCATGTCCATTACCATAGTAAGTTCGGAATCCAGATACCAGGGATGACAGTTGGCTTCCAGAGTCTGTCATGGCAAAGACATCTGAAGTTGCACAAGCAATAAAGTCTAACGCTGCTAGCTGCATTCAAGGCATTTTTTTTTGCCATGTTATTGAATAGGAGGATCAAATACTGCTTAGAGAAGCTTTCTTTTTGCATTTCTAAGTTAAAAATCTTCCCCCAAAAAAATGTTGTTTAAAACACGTAGAATTCTGGCTGAAAAAATGTTACAATTATTAAAAGAAATTGTCTAATCCTAAAATACCTGAGAAGAGAAATTTCTGAAGGGAGCAAGTTCACTGGATGTGAGCAGTGTTTCCTTGGTGACCAAATTGGGGTACAAACTGGTAAAGGGATGCATCCTGGAACTTCCCCCATATATCTGAGATCCTGCAAGATAGATATAGGTTTCACGCTTAAAACCAAAAGCAGCAAGAACAAGTGCTGCTTCTTCAGGTGTCAATGGGCATCTTCCCAACTTCTTCAACTCCACTGGGGAAACAGGCCTACATGCATCAATGGTAGAAAGAACAGATCAACCAAAGTCAAATATGTGCTTGAAAACAGCATCGAGTAAAACTACAATGCCAGAAGGCAGGTAAGGCCATACTTCGTGTTCTTTAAGCGTTCGATGAGCAGAGGAAAATGGACCTCTCTGTAGGCTTCAAGTTCGTTTTTCTCGTATGCTCCACCTCCAAAATCGCATAGGGAGTATGCCACCATATCCTCTTCAAATCTCAAGTGTAAGGCAAGATATCTGGATGGGCCTCTTCTGGCAGTGTGCTCTTTGGAGGAAATACTAGGTGTGAAATCTCCAAGCAGGTGTTTATCCAACTGACTCTGAGCAGCATAATATTTCCTTATCCTTTTGATTAATAGTGAACCAACTTGTCGAATTTTTGGCACAAATTTTAATGCATGGAAGTTACATTTACACCTCAATCTCTGCAATGGAGCAAAGCATGTAAATATAACTTCTTGAAAATGATTATCAGTGAGTTCTTTTCCAGATTATCAATTCTAATATTGCATGCTCATTAGTGGAGAATGGTATATAAAGTGATGCTTTAATGGCTCCAACAAATTTCAATGCCGTAATTCACTTGTTTGAAAATTTGAAAAATTGAGGGATAATAATAATATGATCAATTGAGTTTTGCTCTTGGTTTCTTTACTTGTTTATTCTTTGGAACATAGACGAGAATGAAAGGTAATGGACACTCAAGAAGTATGCCTGTGGAGAAAAGGGTGGGGGGTATATAGAAGATTCTGAAGGTTTTATGCATGGGAGATACCCCCTGAGATGGAAGTCCTATCGTACGATTATCTATCCTACAATGGTTAAATGTGCAAGGGATGTCACAGACCTGGAGGTCAGGAGGCAAAGGATCAAAGCCAAGTCGATTTCCAAATCCAAGGAAGTGAACAACTCTGTTCTGCACAAGGAGGGGAAGCACACTGCTGATATAATCATTCGGCTTTGCTTCCTTCTCGATATCTGCATCAGTAATCTGTTTTTGAGGTCAACAGAAAAAGAAAAACAAGGTTAGAGGTTTCAGATTTTAGATTTTAGATTTTCCTTGAGAAATGAAGACCAGCTTTCAATGCAATGTAGATAGAAGACAACATACTAGGCTACCAATGGCTTCAATATCTAAGGACTTCAAATGAGGAGGAATTTCCTTCACAATATCTACATCGTCCTTCAAGATGCGCTTAAAATAGTCCTCTTGGTAGATGTCACCAAATTGGCTGCATTTCCATTGAAAATCACTATAAGTAATATTGTTCATTACAAAATATCAGTATATGGCAGAAGAAAATTTGATTGGCCAAGTTTTATCTTCAAGATACAAATATCATAGTGTTTTTTTGGAGAGACAACATCATAGTTGACAAACATTCCCACAAAAACAAAATGGGATGACAAAATTAAAAATTCACAGAACCAGAAGATAACTTATACTGAATGAGACTTGATTTCAGACCTAGGATCCTTCCATACATTGCTGTAAAGAAATTTAGGAAGAACCAGAGTCGCATTAAGTAGAGATGCCACGGCAACTGCATTGCAAATCTGCGGACAACAACATCAACAACCATTTACAATGGAAGTAAAAGCAATAATAATGAAGCTGAAGAAGGAAGATCAAAAAGAGATTGTTTCCATAAACATGTTGCAAAGTGCTTGTAAACAACTGGAGTCTTGCAAAATGAAAGCAGAATGCCTTTGTTCATATAAAGCCTTAGTTTTGGTATCATCATAGCCATGTGGTCCGAAAAGCTATTGGCGATTTGCTGGGGATTCCACTTATTGACAGATAATTCTATCTTTGGAGAACTGACTGTTGAGTTTATTCACTGAAATCAACATTGAACTTTCCTATTGAATAATGAAAAGAAGATCAAAAGGCAAATTGGACACTTACAGCTACTCGTTGTTGATTCAGGCCACCATTTGCACTGACCATTATGTAGCCGTTACTTTTTTCTGGCTTCCCTGTCTCAACGACGAAAGTGATAGGACTTAATCATAACAACTTGTTATTATTCAGCTTCACATTATTGGCCAAAGACTATATTACACTGTCATTATTAGTTACCAGACACTATATTTTGCTATATTGATAAAGTCCAAAGCAAGGAAAAACCTGGGCTTGTTGGATATTTTATATCTGCACAAGGTTTCCATTTGGATGCTTGCCGATATGGTTCCTCCCAAAAATTCAAAGGGTCTTGCTTAAACTCCTTCTGAATTCAACGAAGATTTTCAAAATTTAGTGAAAAATGAACTCATCTAGTTTCTTTTTTTTTTTCCTGGTGCTGTAAAAATGTTAATGTGCCTAATGTACAAGTTAAGAAGCATACCTCTGCAAGAGCACTGGAAGCCAAATTTAGAAGCCTGCCATACATCTGAACCGTTGGTCTTTCTTCATGAATATAGGCAACATTATCCTCCTTCATACATGCAGTGAAGGCCATACCAACTAATTGGTGTCAATTCAGCATTCATCCCGTAAATTTGAAACAATAATTAATAACAATTTGAATGTATTTTAGCTTTCAATCGATGTTTCAATACAAACAAACCACCTACTTCAGAAATACATTTTAAAACAAGGAAGAAAAAAAATAAAATTAATGGTAAATCAAATTGATTGAAGCAAGATATAGAGTTGGAACTTGGAAGCCTTTCTAGCTGAATTACAGAGAATTTTTCCATCTGAAATGGAATTGGATTACACTCCATGTCCATCCCAGATCCCAGAAAGTAAATCAAATAGATTCACTGAGACCAGAACATTGATTCTTAACAACATAATTCTAAACCTGATGATACTAATTCATCAGTCTCTTTAACTTCCAAATTACAACTCCGGCATAGAAATGATAAGAACTAATTAAAGGAAAACACATGATTCTATGATTACAAATTAATTCTAAATTATAATCATACCTCACGACGAGTGGAGTTTCTTGTAGTTGAACTGCCCTGAATGTTTATTGAACCAAAAATTGACACCACCAGAGAATCAAGCAAGAATAGGTAAGCTATCAACAAAAGCATAAAAGCAATGGACTTCACATTCCGGCGAAACCATGTATGCCTTGTCCCAACATAAGCACCCTTGCAAGGATTAAACTTTCCGGAGTCATCTTTCAAACTATGAAGCAATACTACTTCGGAATTCCAATAATTATCTCCCCCTAATATTCTCCTTCCAATAGAAGGAACACTGGCCTCCGAAGAATCTGAACTTCTAATATGATAATCTTTCATCCTGAAAAGTGAGTTTGTATTCTTCGACATGGGACGTGGGCTTCTTGGGGATCCTTGCTTTCCCATCGTATAACCACAACTTAACTCTCTCTCAACTGTGCTTCATGGACTATAATTTTTGGAACAGAAGCACCGCCCTTCAGTTCTTATCTTTGACATGACTAAAAAACCTGGATTTGAAACTAATTTTCAGACGAAAAAAACGGGGAAACTCTTACAATCCTGTACTATTTTTCATGTGTCTTTCTCTAACAGAGACTCGCCAACAAATATGACCTTGTTTTGTCATCAACTAATTCAGTTTCAGGTGTTGGTGAAAGAAGAACTAACATAAAAAAATGGGAAAAAAGTTGGTGTATACTGTATAGTAGATAAAATAAGAACGTCGGAGAAGATGAAAGAATTCAAAGAAACGTCAATAAGTAGGTGATAGTGCGTTATAAGCGTAGCAAGAGTGAAACGCAAGGCAGATTGGTCGACGAAATCGAACTCAACTTAACTGCACTTTTAAAACATCTGCCTTGCAATGCAAGAATCAAATCGTAACAGCTACTTCCCACCAAACATAAGACAAGACAACTGTGGGTTTTTTTTTTTGCTTTCTTTGTGCTTTCATACGTTGAAGGTCGAGATGCTAGAAAAAATAGCACAACAAAAACAAAAAAACGCTGAAGAAAAAACCACGTTGGGGTTCTATTTGGTGCTTGAGTTTGGCGGGCCATCTTAACGAACAAAAACCGCTGGAATTATACAGGTAGTAGTGAGATTCCATTGACTTAGGCTTACAATAGGCCCAACCTTTCATTGATCTTGATGGCTAGATCCAAATGCCATGTTTATCAAGATCTTGGGTTCAACTGTTCAAGGGCTATCAGAAACATCGTAAGAAAAGAAGAAGAAGAATCGATGAAAGCCCAAGAAACGGAAAAGTTACGATAGGCCCAAAGCATAAAATTTATGGAAGGCTTAAAGATAGGTTTATGCTACGTAAAGCTTAGCCCAACAGGGCGTTCAGTACCAAAGGCCAAGGGACAATATAAAAGTAAGGAAAATGATAGAAATCCAGTAACAGAAACTGCCAAATGCCATCAAATCATACACCAATAAAGTGAGATGAAAATTATATATAAAAAATAGCTGTCCATCTTTGGTCGGTTTGAAACTTTGAATTGAATGGGAGAGCTAATCTCTGCCTCATAATAGCTGAACCATTCTTCTTAATTCGAGTCAATTTGGCGCTTGCAGCTCTCTATCGAACCACAAAGCCTGGCCTTGATCGCAAATTGTTGGTTCTTGATAATATATTAATAAGTTGTTGGTTAAATTAATAAAAAATTATTTTTTCGTTTAAAAATTTTAAATTTAAATTTAATCGATAATTATTTATTAATGATATTTTAAATCCACGATTTTCAATCTAATTATTTATCTTAAACGATGGATATGATATATATATTATTATAATTTAAAAAATTAAATAATTTATTTATCTTAAATTTATTTTTTATAAAAAAAATCATAATGATTGCAATGATAATAATATTTCTTTTTTTATTCAATAATTTATTTATCAATAAAATCCAAGATTTATTAAAAAAAAAAAACATTAATAAGTTTTCGTCAATGACAAGACCAATAGTTCGACAAGCTTTCGTCGTTCATGTTTTGTGTCTCAAAAAGGATAAGGTTAAAACCTATCAATCCCACTTTATTTCAAGAAAAAAAACAAAAGAAAAAACAACAGGAAAAAAAAAATCCCTCCAATAGTAACGGTAACGGTAATGAATACGAAACCCGAGGGACGAATCACGGAACGTTAAAGCTCAAAATAATTTATTTATTATAATTAGATAAGAATTCAAAGGGCAGATTGGGAAGTCTACAAACAAAAAGAGGAGCGAAGAAAACGGAAAGTAAAGAGAGATAGAAGAAAAAAAAACAGAGAAAGGGGAAAAAAGAGGAAGAGAAAAAAAAAAAAAAGGAAAAGGGAAAACAAGGGGAGGGGTGGAATCACATGGGCATTAGTTTGTTGTCTCTCCCCTGGGTCCTCTCTCCTCTTCTCTTCTAATTATTCTTCTTCTTGTTCATCATCATCTTCGCTTTTCTTTTTTTTTTTGTTCTTCTATCGCCATGATCTACCGTTACTCTTTCTCCAATTAGATCTTTGTTTTTGATTTTTTGTTTTGTTTTTCTTTTGCTCGACATGGCTGACGATAAGGTAAGCTTTATTTTTTTTTGTTCTTTCAAAATTTTTTTCTGACATCATAATTTGGAAGTGAATCTTCGATTTTTTTAGTTTAATTTTGGTGAAACTTTTGTTCATGAATATTATTAACTAATTTTTTTTTGTTATTCTGTTTATTTTTGGGTGTCGATGGGATTTATGAGATTTGTGGATTTTATTTTTATTTTTGTTTTCCAATGGTTATGAAACGCGAATTTTTTTTTAATGTATATTCTTTTCTTTTTGCTTTTTTACGGCGATCTTGGTGGTTGAGCTAATCGGGGAACCCTAGATGATGAAATTTTGCTCTGTATTTGATTCGATCTGTGATCTCTTGTCTGCATTTTTCAGTTCTGAGTTTTTTTTTTAAATTTTTTTAAGAGAACGAAATCTTATCAATATATATTTTTTTGCTTTTAGTCGCTTGATTTGGCTTTTTAGCTTAGGTGAAAATTTCTTTGGATCAGAGTGAACCGTTTAGCTTAAATTATTGAATGGGTTCGATTATAATTTTGATTTCTTTTCGAACCTGATTTATAATTTTTTTGAGGGAAGGGCTGGGTTTTTTGGATCTCCAATTTTTGTGCTCCTTCGAAGTCTCACTCTCTCTTATCTTGTTTCTTACCAGGAAATGTCTGCCCCTGTTGTTGATGGGAACGATCCGGTCACCGGTCACATCATTTCTACAACGATTGGAGGTAAAAATGGAGAACCTAAACAGGTATGTGTTTTCTTGGGTTATCCTGTTTCATAGCTGTTCAAATTCTGGTTTAGCTATCAATTAACATGTGGTTACGAACAAGACAACTAGTTTCTTTTACTTTGGAATTTCATGTTTTTGGTTTTTTATTATTGTAGACCATCAGCTATATGGCAGAGCGTGTAGTAGGGACAGGATCATTCGGGATTGTTTTCCAGGTATTAAGCCATAGTTAGACTGTAGCCAATGTTACCTTGTTCACGTTTCGCATGCTGATGCATCTTTTCTTTCAGGCAAAATGCTTGGAAACAGGAGAGACTGTGGCTATAAAGAAGGTTTTGCAAGATAGAAGATATAAGAATCGTGAACTGCAATTGATGCGTGTCCTGGATCATCCGAATGTGATTTCCTTGAAGCATTGTTTCTTTTCCACGACAACAAAAAATGAGCTTTTCCTTAACTTGGTTATGGAATATGTACCGGAGAGCATGTATAGGGTTTTGAAACATTACAGCAGTGCTAATCAAAGAATGCCACTTATCTATGTGAAACTTTACACATACCAGGTATGCATGGTAGTCTTTTCCATGCTTGATCTCTTCTGTAAAGTTCTTCTTTTTGCTAATTAGAGGAGGTTTTACAGATATTCAGGGGTCTTGCATACCTCCATAGTGTTGTTGGAGTTTGCCATAGGGATTTGAAGCCTCAAAATCTTTTGGTATGCTTTTTTTATTGATGATTTTTGTGGAATGTCTTGACAATGTTTCTGAGATGATTGTTTGCTCTGTACAGGTTGATCCTCTGACTCACCAGGTTAAGATTTGTGATTTTGGAAGCGCAAAAGTGCTTGTAAGTTGGTCCCCTTTATATTAATTTTCGAAGTGCTCTTCCTTTCAAATTTATGACTTAGATTTTAGTTGATCAATTACTTTTGCTCCAAGTGAAGCATTGTTATAGGGTCCATAAGTTTCTAAAACTAAAAAAAAAGGATTTTAGCTCCGTGTTATTTGCATGTTTGATTCTGATTGTAACTTCTAAAATGATTGTAACTTTTATTTAGCTGTCCTTTATGGCCTCTTTGTAGGGGTGAACTGCTGAAGAAGAAAAGGATTGAATTAGATCTAAGAGTAGTATTAACATGTTTATGATCCTCTTTTGCATGTCTTTTTCTCTGTAAATGCTTCATACTTACTAGTAATTTACATGTGATCAGGTCAAAGGTGAAGCTAACATTTCATATATATGTTCTCGTTTCTATCGGGCTCCAGAACTTATATTTGGTGCCACTGAATACACAACCTCAATCGATATCTGGTCAGCTGGTTGTGTTCTTGCTGAACTTTTGCTGGGCCAGGTTAGCTTTTTCCTTTTTTCCTGATTTTGATCCTTCTGAAAATTTCTAGCAATAATTTAGTGTCTCTGCTCATTGATACCTATTTTTTTTTTTTTCGTGTAGCCATTGTTTCCTGGAGAGAATGCTGTGGACCAGCTTGTAGAGATTATCAAGGTATGATTTGCTTAGTGATGCTTGAAGTTATACATTTCTTTGTATCATGAGTCTGCTTCTTACATCTTTTCCTACAGGTCCTTGGTACACCCACTAGGGAAGAAATTCGCTGCATGAATCCCAGTTACACGGATTTTAGGTTTCCACAGATTAAAGCGCATCCATGGCATAAGGTTTGCCTTTTATTGTCGATATATAAATTTATAAATTGCTCACTGAAATGAGTGGTGTAGAGACGCATTTTTCGTAATACCTTCTGGATATTTTGCTCATGAAATATTAGCTGATTTTTGTTTTTCAAAGTTCTTGAATATTTATAGTAGTTTTCAATGTTTCTTTGCCAATGTCTCTAAGGGCAGAAATATTTGATTGATTTTGAGTAATGCACTGCGTTGTTGTTGTAATATAAATGTAGTGGTCGATTACCTTGAACTTGACTCTTATATGTTTTTTAGGTTTTTCATAAAAGGATGCCTCCTGAAGCAATTGATCTCGCATCACGACTGCTGCAATACTCACCAAGTCTTCGCTGTACAGCTGTGAGTTGCTGGTGTCTCCATCTTTTGATTGGTGACATTTCTATTTTAGACTTGGAAAATATGTACAATTCTTCAATTATCGATTTGTCTCCCCCATATATTTGTGTGTTAGTGATAACCGCCCCAATCTCATGTTGTTGATCTGCTCTTTGCTATGACAGCTTGAAGCATGTGCACATCCCTTCTTTGATGAGCTTCGAGAACCTAATGCTCGCCTACCAAATGGGCGACCATTACCACCACTTTTCGACTTTAAACAGGAAGTATGTTTCTGAAGTAAACTTCATTCCCATTTGCTTTCCATTTATATACAGATATATCTTCATTGAATATTTTAGATGGGATTATTTTCTGGCTAAGCTTTGTTAGTCATTTGCAATTTTTTGGTTACAGTTATGTGGGGCTTCACCGGAGCTTATTAATAAGTTGATTCCTGAACATGTGAAACGGCAAATAGGGCTACAACATTTCATGCATCCGGCTGGTACATAAAACTTTAAAAGTGATATATAAGATTTGGTATCTACTAGTTGATGCGTGACACAAAGGAAGTACTATCTTTGGATAACCACCATAGATTGAGGCCTGTCCAGCATCATTCTCTACTCTTCCATGGCGCATACAGTATCTGGCAGCTGGATGGCTGCCTTCTCTTGATCTTTCTACTTTAATTCTGCCTCGCTTGCTCCTTTATTCTATATGAGTTTTTGTCAAAATGCCTTTTTTTGTTATGTACATGTAACATGTTTGATAGTAAAAGATAGGCTAAGGTGGACAGACCAGAAAGCTGCTAATGGAGGAAAAGTAGGGAAGTGTATTTGTTGCTAGAAAGAAAGTCCCTGTTAGAATGGCCCGAATATAAGGGGTGGGCTAGTTGGTTTTTGGGTTTGGTTAAATGCACTTTTTCTTTGTTTTCAGTTATTGTGGTGGTTTCTGGTGGGCTGACTTCAAATTGCAGTCAATTGTTATTACTGTTTGTGCAAAGTAATGTTATTACTCTCTTTCTACTACTACTGCTGCTGCTTTTATTTGCTTGATATTAAAAATCAAGTTCTCAGTCTATTCTGGTTCAACAATCTCATACAAGTGATAATGCAAAGCTGATGCTTGGAGTTCTTTTTTGCCTTAGATGGAATGTGATGGCAATCCCACATCTTTTTCTCAAGAAAAGCCGACATGATGAACAAGTTGGAATGCTGGAATGCATGTCAATTTTCTCTTGGGAAATAAGAGAGGAACATGACTCATTGGCCATTGCCTGTAAGTGAGCCGGAGGGAAAAAAAAAGTACAAAGGTAGAACAGATATAAACCTGATTGTCGGTGCCGTTTGGTCTTTTGTTGGGACATGATTGGATTACGAATATAGGCATAGTAGAAAAGATCTAATGATATTTTTGGGTGCATGATTTTGTCAAAAAGAAGATGCTCTTAGCCTTAAGGTCCCATGCGTCAATAATTACGATCATTTTGGTCGTCAAAAGAAACTGAGCTGGCTCCCTGCTTCAGTGTTTCCTACTTAATTGATTTTGATTGAGGCCCTTGTGCCCATGCCATGCCCCCCACTGTCAACATTTTGTTCTCTTGTTTCCTCCCATCTCTTTTCTTATCACCCCTTTCTTTATTATCCCTTCGCTTTAGACTCAAGTAAAACGTCTAATCTCATGATTGCCAAAAATAATCTTCCTATTATAGCCTTGTAAACAAACGGTGCCGTTTATGCTTAGGACTACTGTGTACAGAGAAGAAATCCTAAATTCCCGGCGACATGAAATGTCGCGGTAGTGTCGACCACTTCAAGTTACAGGTATGTGGAATCATATCGATGTTGTCTACTCAAGACATTTCAGCCCCTTATGAGCCGTCCGTTACTGACAGCAATCCAATGGTAAGATCTGAACGGCCAAAAACTCAATAAAATCAGACAAATCCAAACATCGTAACCATACAAAAATACACTTCAAATCAAGACAAAGCGACAATCTCTGTCACTGCACATATCTCGAGAACTTACGCGATTTCAAAAGCCATTCTTCTGGTCTTTCGATCCCACCCAAGAAAAACACTTAACAATTTGATCTTTTTTTTTTTTTTTTTTTCCATTTTGTTCTCATTCTATTAATTTGTTTATCCAAGACTAAAAAAATAGGTAGAATCCAAAAGAAAAGAGTTGCAAATAATGAAATTTGACAGAAAAAACCAAACGTTAGCCGAATCAAGTCTTCATCTTTTTTTTGGTATGTAGATTCGGGCCTTACTTTTTGTGTCAAAACCTACTGAAAAAGAATTAAAAGCTTTCCTTTTTAACTTTGGCTCTTCTTTTTGTCATTGCTTTTGTTTAACTTCCAATGGAGCAGCACGTAATGTGGGTGGTTTTGTTGCTCTTTTGTTGGTTTTGTTGGGTCCATTCTGTTTCAGATGGTGATAATCTCCTCTCTCCAAAAGGAGTTAACTATGAAGGTGGAGTCGGGTTCTTAATTTCTTATCTTAAAAAGAAGGAAAAAAGGAAAAAGAATGCTACCCCATTGATTAAGACTGTTGAAATTTTGGGTTAATGTATTTTTGTTTTGGTTGTTGATTTTGGGTGGTATTGAAATAACAGTGGCTGCTTTGATGTCGGTGAAGAGAGAGATGAGAGATGATAGGGACGTAATGGACGGCTGGGATATTAACTCGGTTGATCCTTGTACTTGGAACATGGTCGCTTGTTCTGCTGAAGGTTTCGTTATCTCACTGTAAGGAACTGTGCTCGTTTTCTCTTCATTGTAAACTTCTCTTTTGTTTTTAATCATTTCTTCTTTTTTTTTTGAATTATTAATATTTTGATAAAAGAAGTAAAATGAGAGCTTGGTTTTGGGAACATTGTTGTTGATAGGGAAATGGCCAGCACTGGGTTATCAGGAGTGCTTTCACCGAGCATTGGGAATTTGAGTCACCTAAGGACAATGTAAGTCCACTGCCTTATTTAATTCTTTTACGTAATCCCACTGCTAATTCTTTCAGTATGGGAATCTATTTTGTTGTTATATGGCTAACACCCTTTGTGGGAAATTGATGTTTTAGTGGTGATTAGGATTGCCCAAGAAATTCCCTTTTGGGGGTGTTTTAAATGCTGGTAGCATTGAGTTTGGAAAGCTATTGTCTAAAGGATAGTGTTTCTGAATATACATCTGGTAAAATGTGTTCGGTGAGAAAGTAGGTTTTTCTTAAGATAGTGTTGTTTTAGAAGTTGATTCGCTTATGCAAAATGTGCTTTATAGTGTGCACTGGGGAACACATTCTTGCTGGAAGAGATGCCAGAGTTGGTTCTCAGAATTTAGTTTTATTCTCTTGAATTCATTTCAAAATTTACAAGGTTATTATTTGTCTCCACCTACTTGTGATTTTTGGAAGGAACTTATTGTATCAAATAAACCTTCTTTGTAATTGAACGTGAAAATTCTTGTGAATCTTTTTCACATTCATTGAGATGCTTTCTGTTTCTGTTTTTGTAGGTTGTTGCAAAACAATCAGTTGTCAGGTCCCATCCCAGATGAGATAGGGAAGCTTTCAGAGCTTCAAACTCTGGATCTTTCTGGTAACCAATTTGTTGGAGTAATTCCAAGTTCTTTGGGTGCTCTAACTCATCTAAGTTACCTGTGAGTGTGGTCTGACATTTGTTTAGTGCATTCTTATAACTATTGCTGTCCTGTGTGTTTTCTGAATGTTTGCCTTCTAAAATTTTTGCCATGGCTTTTTCAGGCGGCTTAGCAAGAACAATTTATCTGGTCCTATTCCTAGACTCGTTGCAAATCTCACTGGTCTTTCATTCTTGTACATGTCCCATCATGTCACTAAATTTCTAGTTCAGACTGCTGAGAAGTGATGATTTTTATTAACTTCAATGATCTTGTGCAGGGACTTATCGTTTAATAATCTTAGTGGTCCTACTCCAAAAATACTAGCAAAAGGTTATAGGTAAGCTTCTTTGCAGAAAAGAGCTTTTATTCTATATCAATAAAGCGTAAATATTCACTTTAAGCTCCATGTAATTTTTTCGTTGTGTAGCATTATAGGGAATAACTTTCTTTGCACTTCTTCACCTGAACAAATTTGCACAGATGTTGCAAAACCATTAAATGGTATGTTGATGAAATCTATCAAAGTGCTTTTGCCATGATGCCCTTTAATGATGCCAATGTAACATGTTCAATCATTCAGTTGCAGGCTCAGTTTCATCGTATAGAGTCAATGGATACCATCGTTGGGTGTTGTCTGTTGCCATAGGAATCATTTCCACATTTGTGGTTTCCGTAATGTTGCTTGTTTGTTGGGTGCATTGGTACAGATCTCGAATTTTGCTAACATCATATGGTACTTTCAAATTCGCAATGTATGCTTTTTTGGTACTGAATTTGTATAATAATTGAAATTTGAGAATTTGTTTAAACTTGAATTGCAGTGCAGCAAGATTATGATTTTGAAATTGGTCATTTAAAGAGGTTCTCATTTCGTGAACTGCAAATTGCGACAGGCAATTTTAATCCCAAAAACATTCTAGGGCAAGGAGGATATGGAGTTGTTTATAAAGGATGTCTTCCAAATAGGTCGGTGGTGGCTGTTAAAAGGCTAAAAGATCCAAATTTCACAGGAGAAGTGCAATTTCAAACTGAAGTAGAGATGATTGGTTTAGCTCTTCACCGTAACCTCTTACGTTTATATGGCTTTTGCATGACACCTGATGAGAGGTTGCTTGTTTATCCTTATATGCCAAATGGGAGTGTTGCTGATCGCTTAAGAGGTTTGTTTCTTTTTGCTGACCTTTTGTGCTTCTATCCTCATTACACCATTATTCTATCTCTCACTCTTCGATTGATTTATCAGATGAATAGAGCTTAGGTTAATTTGTGGTCTCATGCAGGCATTGCCATTTTTGAGGCTGTACATCTTAAATTTGAGCTTACATCGGTTTGCAACTAGCCTAGCTTTCTGCATCCTTTTGTTTTTTCTCTTTCTTGTGGCTTAAATGGAATAGAGTCATAAACTATTCATCAAGCCTATGATGCACTTACAGATTTTTACCGTTTGCCCTCTTTTGGCCTTGCTGTTACCTTATAATTTGATTGTCTTTAGCAGATGCTTTTCATGAAAAGCCTTCTCTGGATTGGAATAGACGAATGCATATTGCCCTTGGAGCTGCCCGTGGACTTCTATATTTACATGAGCAGTGTAATCCAAAAATAATTCACAGGGATGTGAAAGCTGCAAATATTTTGCTTGACGAAAGTTTTGAAGCTGTTGTAGGTGATTTTGGTCTTGCTAAGCTCTTGGATAAAAGGGATTCACATGTTACTACTGCTGTGCGGGGTACTGTAGGACACATTGCCCCGGAGTATCTTTCAACCGGACAGTCTTCCGAAAAAACTGATGTCTTTGGATTTGGGATACTACTCTTGGAACTCATCACAGGACAAAAGACATTAGATGCTGTTAATGGACAGATTCAAAAGGGAATGATTCTTGACTGGGTAAGTAATCATCAATGACTCTATATATGCATCTTTGTTGCTGCCAGTTCAAGTGCATGGTGCTTTACTTAGATAAAGCTCTGGATGCCTGCCAAACATTATAAATCATACTTCGGGTTTTTAAATAATTCATGTGATTGTTGTTTTCAGTGAAGTTCCAACAATACACCATGATTGCCACATATGTTTGGTGTATATTTATTCTGCTGGATTGGTTTTGTTTTAAGATTTATCCCAGTTCCTTAGCCCTAACCGGGCATTATCATCTTGGATGATACCCATCCTGTCATATAACAAAATCCAGATCACTCAACGTAATGGATGTTTGCTTTGTGGTAACAACATCCAGCATAAACTTAAGCCTTTTTTCTTATGATATTATTTTTGCCTTTATTTATTTGTCCACTTTTTCCCCACTTAAAATTTGTTAGAACTAACTTTTGTACCCTTTGTTCCTTACTAATCATCCATATCTAATTTGAAGATATTTTGTGATTGATACAGGTTAGAACATTGCATGAGGAGAAGAGGCTTGAAGTGCTAGTGGATAAGGATTTGAAGGGATGTTTTGATGCAACAGAGTTGGAAAAAACAGCAGAACTGGCTCTGCAGTGTACTCAGTCACAACCGCAGCTTCGCCCAAAGATGTCAGAAGTTTTGAAGGTCCTGGAAGGTCTTGTGCAGTCAGGAATGGAAGAATCACAAGGTGGAACAAACCTTAGTGACACTAGGGCATACAGCTTCTCTAGGAATTACAGTGATGTTCGTGAAGAGTCATCCTTCATCGTTGAAGCAATGGAGCTTTCTGGACCCCGGTAATAGAAAGTATAATTTGCCCTTCGCCGTCCATTTGTACAAGATTTTGGCACTTAAGATCTCAGATTATAGGTAATTCATTTTTCCCCTTTTCCCTGTGGGGGATTGCATTAACTACATCTAGACTATAGTTAGGAGTGTAATGTAGTACTAACTACATGTAGACTATAGTTAGGCGTGTAACGTTGGTTTAAACAAAAGCATTAAGATTTGTTGCGAGCTCAAGATTCAAACTTGCCAGATATTCATCTGCGAAATAGATGATCCTATCACGATTTGGTAATATGTACTGATCGTACATGATCAACCATGACCAGTTTGATTTGACTCTGGCAAAAACAATATCAAATGCCATCTAAAACTATCAAACAAGCAGCCAGCCATCCACGACAGCTTGCTTCATGAATAATTCATCAAAAACAAAACATTAATTAAGAATTAAGTAAAGCAATAGGAATGATACCTATTTGTAAAACATGTTCTGGTCGAACTTAAAGTCCAACTTTAGAAGCAAAGAACAAGTTCAATTATACTATATAAAGAAGACTCCCCTGGAATTTATTAATTGGAATGAATGACACTCCAAGAAAAAATAGAAAATTGTTGGACATAGTCAACTGGTTACTTGCATAGCATTTGGCAAAGTGGAATTGAGAAAAAAAAATTATTTTGATAAAAATAGGATGAAAAGCCTGGATGTGACTGATACATGCATAGGCCATTATCCAGTCGGCATCCTTTTTCTCTATTGAGTACATTAGCCGTCTGCTTCTGTATATCTCCGTCTGCCTCAATCAAAATCGATCAAATAGGAGAGAATCAGCCGCCTGAATTGCATTCCTCATCCGTAATTCTAAGAAGGCCAAAGTTAGACACATTCAATTTTAATTTAACGAATGCCATAGTCAAAAGCAGCAGCCTTGAATCGACAGGGACTCCTTGTTAGCCATAGTAATCCGTTTTGTTTTACATTACCTAACCCTTTTATTTATGCCAATAAACCACCATCACCTACTACAGCCATTAATCTCCATTGTTTGACATATTCTTTTAGTTTCCTAGTAATGAAGAAATCAGAATGTTATGTCATTTATATGCGAGACCTGTTATAATTGAGGTCTACCTCCTTATCTTCAAGCAAAGTTCCCCGAACAGGCCAAACCTGCATCATCTTTTCATGGAGTTTTGCTTAGAGTAGACCTCGTTTTTGTCGTTTCCTTTATTCAGGTTCACCAGAAAAATGGAATGGTGACCCAAGAGTACTGATGGCGCCATGAAATGCAAACCAAGAGACTTGAAAATCTCCCTTTGGTGAACATGTTACATGCGGAATTGATGATGGTTGGGATCCTATCATCATACCATAAAATCAGACGTAATGGGTTGGCAGGCCACATGCCACTTAACATTTTTTGCCCTTCCCTTTAATAAGTCCAACCACAGTGCTCATCTCTTAAGTGAGGCTTTGACGTGAGCCAACTTGCTTGACATTCTAGTGGTGATTATAGGACCCACTACCGCATATATGTGGGCAAGTCTTTAATCATTTCGGGATATTAGCAAAGGATTCATGGCCTTAATATGAAGGGTTGGGTCAAATATTTGTGAACCTGAAAGCAAGATGGCTATGCTAGGGTTTTATATATTATATTATATTATATTTTATATAAAAATTATATGTTATAATTTATGTTAATATAAAAATATAAAATATAATTTTTTATTTTATTAAATTTATTTATAAATTTTATTAAATTTTAAATTATATTATTTTTATATTTTTTATTTATATTATTTTCATATCGTTATATACTATTTCAAATTAGCGAAATTAGATGAAACACTTATGGGTGACGGTTTGCAACAATGGCCATGGTAAGTGGCATGCAAAGTACACATTTGTCATCTACTTCGTACGAAGAGAGAAAAATAATATATAAACAAAACTAAACAATTCATTAAGGGTGAAAAATTTTTAAACAAAAAATAAAAATTAATTTAAAATTATAATATTTGATTTAATTTGAAACGATATTTTTATTCAATTATAATTAAATTTAGATATTAAATATGTATATTAAATTTGAATTAATTTTTGAATAAAAAATAAAAAACCAATATAATTACTTAATTTATTAATTTATATATTTTAAAATTTTTATAAAATAAAAATAATTTTATATTTAAATTTATTTAAATATATAAAAAATAAAATTAAAAAATCGATAAATCAAATTAAATTAAATTGATAAAATTTAGTTAGAATAAAATCGATTTATATAAAAATTTAATTTAGATTCAAATTAAATTTTAAAAATTTATAATTTTATACATTATTTAAAAATTCTAATAAAATTTAATTCGATTTAAATCATTATAACGTTAATTTTTATATAACTTGTTTTTGAATGATTCCAAGCTTCTTGTTACATTATTTTTTAAGAGCATCTCAACATCCATTAATTTATTGGCCCAAAGAACCCCATTAATTTAATAAGACTATAGGTACATTAATATTAATAGCAATAATGGACCATCGTGCTAATAATAGAGCATTGATAGAGAAAAGAAAATGGCTCAAGGGAATAGGATCCACACACCATACAAATATAATCTTAATTCGAAAAATATATGAAAATCTAGGTGTGTCATACGCAATCTCCTCCCATTTAACAACAATTATTAAATTAAGTATATATCATTATCAAAGTTATAAATATTAATTTGGGAAAATTAATTAATGTTGGATTTCTTATTTGGGGGAGAAATTTCTAGGAATTAAATTTTATTATCATCACAAATAATATTTGAGAAGCTTAAAAATAATTAATAATTAATCCTCAAAAAATTAATAACAATTAATATTAAGAATAATAAAAAGTCCACGGCACCGACATGATTTGACACATGGCAAAAGAAAAGTTTTACGATGGCTTGGCCTTTTGCCCATTCAAAACGCTTACAAGTCCAAGAGGCCAAAATTTTGCCTAACCCATCAAGGTAAACATTATTTACGTAACACCCTGAATCCACAAATGGAACCTTCTAATTAATGTAATACTATTATTGTTATCTCTAATTTTTTTACTAAATCAAGTCATTATTGAAGTAATTTTCACTCAACCCATTTTCATTTTTATACTATTTTTTCTAGTTCTTTTCGTCACCATTTCTTTTTTTTACTGATTCTCACAAATTATTTTGTATTTTAATAGAGGAAGTGCCTGGTTCAGTTATGCTAAATAAAGCCCATTTTGCTATGATCTTTCTCATTTAGTATTTCTTTAGCTTTGACTCGTGAAGGTGAACAATTTTTTTTTTTTTGTCAAAATTTTGTTTGTTTCTTTATTTGGCTTGGAGTTGAAGTGATCGAATGGAGTGGGTAAGGATCTGATTCTGGGTGGAAGTTAACTAAGGTTCGGTTTTTATTGCTTTGGGGGAGTTATTAGCTCTTGATTATTGTTATTAGTGTTGTTTTTTTTTTTTTTGTGATTATGGATTTGTGGATTTTATTTTTGGGGTGTAGGGGCATGAAAAGTGATTGATTTCAGGATTTGGGTTCATCATATTGTTTATGGTCTATGAGTTTGGTTTTAAAATGGAGAAAATGTTAGCTCTTTTCCATTATATGAGGCGTGTTTTCTTTTTCTAAGTTTGCTGAGATTAATGGATCGAGAGGAAATGGGTGATAGGATAGAAGCTAGTAAGAATTTGAGTCGAGTTGGTGAAGGAGTCAGTGGATGTTCAAAGAATCCGATTAATGGGGTTGTGTCTGAGACTGTTATTGTGAAAAAGTCTGAAGAAAATGTATGTTTTAGTGGAGAAAGTGCGGATTTGAGATTGCGAAATGATGGCTTTGGATCATGTAAGCATCAGGAGATGGATTATGGGAGAGGCATCGGTCATCCATTGAGTCAGAATTATCTGGGAAGTACTGGGAATTCGAGTACTTTAGTTGATGGAAATGTGCTTGAGAATAACGAAAGGGATATGGGAGTGAAAAACAATGGGGCGGTATCAAGTGAGGGGTTGGTTGAAGCAAGCGATGAATTGATTATTGAGGAGACAAACAAGATGAGAGGAGTTGGTGAAACACTGGGTCATGTTGATCAAGGAAGTAGTGGGAGTTTGGGCAATTCAGTTGACGGAGTTGTGCTTGAGACCATTATTGTGACTAACACCCAAGAGGCAGCATGTGTGGATGGAAGTAATGAGGTATTAGAAGTGAAAGACAATGAACTGGGTTCAAGTAGAGTATTGGCAGAAAGGCCAAAGACAAAGGTTGCTGACGCAGAGGACTCATGTGTGATTGATATAAAGGGAAGTGGTGGTGGTGGTGGCAGAAGACAGTTTAAGGAGACTTGGGATGGGGAAAGAGTTTGTAGAATTTGCCATTTGAATTCAGAGCAATCACTTGAATCTACTGATAGTGTGTCAACTACTGCAGCCTCTATGGATCTAATTCAACTTGGTTGTGGGTGCAAAGATGAGCTAGGAATTGCGCATAGTCATTGTGCAGAGGCATGGTTTAAGGTGAAAGGAAACAGGTAATGTTCTTTCTCTAGATAATGAAGTTGTAGGATCTGACTCAGGTCTCTTAGGGGAACTTTGTGTTGTTGCTTTATTAAGTTTTTTCATTAGTACCATGTCATTTTGTGTTAGGTATTCGTGATATCTGTTGGGTTTGGCTACTTAACTCTTGACTTTTAATTTTTCTTTGTTGGAGTTGTTTTTGGAATTAGTTTTAGAACCAACTAGAATTTTCTTAGTTCTCACTGAAACTATTTTCTTTGATGGTTGCCAAATTCACTCGTAACCTTTAACAAGGAGGAGCAAAATTATTTTCAATAATTAGAACAAGGTAGTTAATAATTTGAAATATCTCTGTGTTCATTGAAACATGTCATTTTTCTCCAATCTCTTTGGTTTTTTACAATGATATATCTATTTGGACTCTGAAAACATACATAAGTGAGAAATGTACACTTTGATCAATATTGTATATGAAGTTCTAGTTTTCCTTGTCTTTTTGTATATTCTTGTTTTTCAACATGTTTTAGCAAAGTGAATTGTTATCATATATGTGATAGAATTGGTATAAGAGTTCACTTAGAGTTGCAATCTTAAATTGGCTCCGCAAGTGGCATTCCAATCAGCAACAATTGATTCTTTAGTTCACAATTAATTAGGTGCTCATAGCCTAGTTTAGGATGGAATTTTATGATGGATGTAAAAAGCTTGTAGTTTTTGGCGTGAAATTTTTTTGCTCTTTAAGTGTGAAGCAACCCTTCTTATTTTGGTCTGATATATATAATGTGTGAATCAACCCTTTTGTTGTATTGCGAATTGCATGCATCTCAAATGACATTTGATACTTATGGAATAACTTGGAAGCAGAACATGTCTGAATTTCGCCTTTAGAAAACTTCTTATGTTTAATTTACCCTGCAGAATGTGCGAAATTTGTGGTCAAACTGCAAAAAATATCACTGGCGTTAGACATAATGGATTTATTGAAAATTGGCATAACCAAGGATCTACCAGTGGTGGTGTTAGGTCATCAGATCGAGGTGCGAGATGTTGGCGTGGACAGCCATTCTGTAACTTCCTGATGGCATGCCTGGTAATAGCCTTTATACTGCCATGGTTCTTTCGTGTAAATTTGTTCTAGCAAGTTCACACCTGAGGTTCTTCCTTTGCGTGACCGCTTTGCCCTGCTTCTCTGGCGGCCTTTCCTGTGGAATTTGGTTGGATATGAAATAACTTGTCACTGGAGCTATTTTATGGGTTGTTTCTGGTTTTCAATGCCCATATAGACATACTTAGACCTAAAGGCTTGAGGCTTCAACTTCTGGAAGTTGTCATTGTGAAAAAAAAATAAAAATTGCATGCCTCAATTCTTTTACAGAGCCACAATGTCATTTCTGGAATTGAGTTGTCGTTGGCATAAAGATCTAGATTTGGCATAGATGCCATTATCATTTTGGGAATTCCCATTGTATACATGAATGTAATCACAAATTTGGTCAACACAGATTTTATCTTATAATAATGGAAACGTGGTTTTGAAATCGTATAATTTTTTGGTTCTGAACTTTGGATTGCATGGCTACCGAGGCATGATCATTTTAGGAAGCCAAATTATCAGGCGAATATGTATGTGATATCACTTCCTTTTGGCTACTTCAAGGATGGATCTTTGGGTGTATCTTATTTTATCAACATATTCGATCCCATAATAATCATTGAAAGAATGAAGGGTACTGGATTGCCTCTGCAACCTCTACTCTATATTTATTGCCAACTGCCAAATGAGCTTAACTTGTTTGTTCTTCAACTTGATGAATGCTGATATCAAAATTTGGTTCAAAATGTAAGAGGACTTGTTCATTGTGATTTCGGTTATGCTAGGTTTTCGAAGGAAGTGGACCTGAGCTGGTTCAACATTCAAGTAACGGGCTTTATTGTATGGCCTTGGCATAGCCTTGGGTCTTTAAAACTTTTAAATCTAAAGTCTATCCAAGAGTTATAGGACCGTACAATATGATTTTGGGTTGGATCAATCCATTCTTTTTGTTCTTCATTTTCCCCTCTTTTGTTTTCTTTCTTCTTTTTTGTTTTATTCCGAAACCCCGTCCCAACAAGAAAGTCAATTGAACAGTTGACGCACATGTACCTGACCCTTTAAAACCCTAGACTGTGGAGTCGATATATTTGTTAGATCTATCACGCAGCTGCCCACTACGCCGCAGCTCTCGACCTCCTTCACTTCGCCATGGTAGCTCTCTCTCTTTCTCTCAATCTTAATCGTTTGACTCAGATATCTTTGCTCTTATGCTAACGCATGTCTCATTAACAATTTTTTTTTTACTATGAAAGGCATCAGAGAAGAAGCTGTCGAACCCAATGAGGGAGATTAAAGTTCAGAAACTTGTCCTAAACATCTCCGTCGGTGAAAGCGGTGATCGTCTCACACGTGCAGCCAAGGTAACCAGCAGACACAAAAAAAAAAAAAAAAACCCATTCATTTTCTCTCCCCAAGGTCTTTTACTTGAATATTAGTTAATCCTGTTTTGCTTTTTTCTTTTCTCCCCATTGTGCTCTTATTTAGGTCTTGGAACAACTCAGTAGTCAAAGCCCTGTCTTCTCAAAGGGTAAAATTCTGAAACCAATGCTGTCTTTTAGTTTTTTTTTTTTGTTGTTAATGAAAATAAAAATGTGGGGTTGATATGATCAGCTAGGTACACTGTGAGATCTTTCGGAATCAGGCGTAATGAGAAGATTGCTTGCTACGTGACGGTGAGGGGAGAGAAGGCTATGCAGCTTCTTGAGAGCGGTTTGAAGGTTAAGGAGTACGAGCTTTTGAGAAGGAACTTCAGTGATACTGGCTGCTTTGGATTCGGTATCCAGGAGCACATTGATCTTGGCATCAAGTAAGGTTTTTTTTTTTTTTTTTTTGGGTGCCGCTATATCAAATTTAGATGTATTTTAGTTGATGTTTTTATGTATGCATTCTGGATACCTGTTTTGCTGTACAGTCTACGAGAATGAACATAATAGAGCTAATTTAGGAATCTTTGATAGGCTTAGGTCACTAATTTTCCTTGAAACTTTATGATTGCAATACTATAACTACTTGAATGGCAATGCACCCGGCTGTATCCTGCAATGCATTTTTATTTGGCGTTGGGTTTGGAATTGGTATTAGGATTTAAGAACGAAGCTGCATTGCCAATTAATCTTCCTTTATAATAATATTATGAGATAGCAATGCAACTTTTAACTGAGCTAAGTTACTCAAGGTTTGGCATTCTAGCTAAAGTTAGCGTCTGGCTTGAAAACTTGCTAACCTCGTTCAAAGTTAGCATTACGTTATGCAATAAATTAGTGGTTAACATTGGTTGTGGAACCAATAAGCGTGAGAGGAATCTTGTGGATATCTGTTCTTTTATCCCCATGGCTGAGTCAGTGCGAAGTAGTTATTGGCAGCTTCATTCTACTAGTAGTTACAGTCAATATTGATGTTATGAACTATAAAGGCATAAATTACAACTCTTGTTCTGTTTCTAGGTATGATCCTTCAACTGGTATCTATGGTATGGACTTCTATGTTGTTCTGGAACGAGCTGGGTACCGTGTGGGACGTCGTCGCAGGTGCAAGTCACGTGTTGGCATTCAGCACAGAGTTACTAAGGAGGATGCCATGAAGTGGTTCCAGGTCAAATATGAAGGTGTCATCCTTAACAAGTCTCAAAATATTTGAGCTTAGGTGTAGCAGTTACGAGCTCAGCTGGGATGTTTGGAGTTTTGGCTAGTTTCTGTGTTTCAGTTATCCATTTCCTGAAGAGATTTATAATTGGCTTTAAAATCCTAAGTATCCTTTCTGTTGGTTTAATTACTTTATTATTATAGCATTTGGAAAATGCTTTTCTCTATTCAAATATGTTAGAACAATTAGTGATGAAAGAAAGGCTTAGCATTTGCCTACCACAGGTGTAACTTCACCCAAGGCATGTAGTGTGAATGAAATGCCCGTATTCTATAATCCTCTGGATTTCGGTTAATGTTGTTTCAAAAGGTTAGCAATTCTTGCACTATACCATCTGAGAGGTTACCACTGACAACAAATCCTTAAGTGAAGATGTTAATTTACTTGTAAATGTTTCTTTAATTGAACACAATGGATCTGGTATTTGCTCTGTTATATAAATCAGCAACTCAATGGTTGCTGACATATTACTGCAAGAATCAGGATGCATGTAAATATGTGATGAAGTAAAATTTACCTTAACCAGAGAGGTCAGAACTGTAATATCACAAGGATGTTGCACATGGTTAATTAATTCAAACAATTAGACGAAAAGGCTTAAAAGCTAGTTATTGCGCTCCTGCTACTATGACCTCAATAAGTGAACAACCACACTCTTCTTGAATCTTGAGTAACCCTTGATTCCTCTGGCTTTTGCTAGTTCTTTCAACTCTGGAAGTTTCAATTTCTCTAAGCTTGTCGCCACAACTTTATTTTTCTGCTCCAGATTCTTCCCTCTGGGAGCTGTTGGGTACGGTATTGGCGACCCCTTTACAAATTTTGACGGTGGCCTTGATTAACTTGAAATCCCGTGTTGCTGCAGCAACCTTTTTCCCCATCCATTGCCTTTTCTCAGGGACGCCACTTTCCTATCTCAATGCCTTCCCTCCCTTTTTTGGGCGAGTGTCCACTGCCGATATAGTAAAATTCTTAAGTTTTGAGAGTAAACATTTTGAAATGTCATACGCATTCTTTTTTTATTGTCTATCTGTGCATGTTTGGTGGTAGCAATTATGTCTGAGGAAGAAGGAATGCTTCAAAACTGTATGGAATGTGAAGCCAAACTGTGTTACCTTGTGCATTTTTTCTTGATTCGCGAAGAACATCCAAAACTGATTCAACTGTGGACTTATCCTTGGATGAACTGAAACTTTTAGTCTTGGCGCTTCCAGTCTCCCATTGGAGATAGAAGACTGTATCCTTCTAAACAAAGCAATTATCTCTTCCTGACTCGATGAGTTGGATGCTTTAAAGCCATTAGATGATATGTTACTTTCATCTCCCTTCTTTCTTCCTGAGGCACAACATTTCCTAGGACGGCTTCCTCTTCTGTTCCCATCAGATGTTATGCTTGATACAATTAGCTGAAGGGAGCTAAAGGGCGTAGACTTATCTGCAATCTCTGTCAAATTTAATAAGCTGCATCAAAAAATGATCTCTCAGTTTCTAGTTTAGAAAATTTCAGACCAACGACAACACATATTCATGTGCTCATAATCATACTCCGAGGCAAAAGCCATTGACTTACTAATGTCGTGTATATATCATTAGATAAACTAACAAGATACATTGCAAATTTGAAGATACAGAGAACAAAACAGTGAAGCATTTTCACACAGGTAAACCAAGCCAAGAGTGAGACTTGGAGAAACTTCTATCCAGATACAATGTGAGGATACAAGCAGAAGATCATCATTATTCAAAGAGAAAAGAACAAAAACTTTTGACACAAAATATCGATCTCTCTTCAATTACTAACTTCAATGTAAAGTGTAATTAGCAGATCTCTCAAACACAGAACAGCAAAAAAAACTGAAACAAAGAGATGGGATTTATGAGAGAAATGAAAAGTTAAAAACCGTGGCAAAACTTATTACCTGTGACAGATAAAAGAGGCTTTCTCACCTTGAGTTGCTTGTCGAAAGGGAAAGAAGAAGCGAAATGAGAAATGGATTGAAAGGAGAGAACAGCAGCAGCCATATTTTGCTTGCAAAGCCTCAAGATTCGTAATGCAATTGGATCCGCTAGCTATATCCAAGCTCAAACCATTTTCTTTTTTCCTAAAATTGCTAGTTTACACCATTTTTGGGAGCGTGCAACCACGCGCCGAATTCAAGGAAATAAAAGAGTTGAAAAAAGCAGTTGTTTTATAAACGGTCCCAGACTCTTCGTTAGTCGGCAAAGAAAAACGAATCAACAAACTGTTAGCTTTTTTGGTTGAAACTTTCTTTCCCGCGTTTCAAAAACAGAGATCCCCTGTTTATCTATGGCTAAAACGGCACCAAACTTGTGTTTCTCTCCTTTAAATCAAAACCAAAAACGTAAAGATAACTTTTTCAATTCTCAAAATGGTTACTTTATCCATAAACCTTCTTCAAAATCCACTCTTTTGTCTCCAATTTTCAGCTCTTGCACCCCTATCCAAATCTCAGTTCCACCAACAAAAGCCATTGATTGCCAAGTTATGGATTATAATGCCAAAATCTTTCAGTTCTGTCAATTGGGTAGTCTTCAAAATGCCATGGAATTGCTTTGCATGTATCAAAAATCTGAACTTGAATCGAAAACGTACTGCTCAATTTTACAGCTTTGTGCTGATTTTAAATCATTGAAGGATGGAAAAAAGGTTCATGCAGTCATTAATTCTAATGATGTTGTAGTCGATGAAGTCTTGGGCTCAAAGCTCGTATCCTTTTATGCAACTTGTGGGGATTTAAAGGAAGGGAGGAGGGTTTTTGATAGAATGGCAAAAAAGAAGGTTTTTTTGTGGAATTTTATGGTGAGTGAGTATGCGAAAATTGGTGATTTTAAAGAGAGTATTTGTTTATTCAAGATGATGGTGGAAAAGGGAATTGAAGTGAACTCTTATACTTTTACTTGTGTTTTGAAATGTTCAGCATCTCTAGGATGTCTAAACGAAGGTGAATGTATTCATGGGTATTTGTTAAAATTGGGTTTTGGTAGTTGTAATAGTGTTGTGAACTCTCTTATCGCTTTTTACTTCAAGGGCAAAAGAGTTGAAAGTGCCTTTGAACTGTTTGATAAATTGAATGACCGAGATGTTATATCATGGAATTCCATGATAAGTGGTTACGTATCAAATGGTTTTGCAGAGAAAGGGCTGGAGATCTTTAAAGAGATGCTGTATTTAGGTGTTGATGTGGATTTGGCGACTGTTGTCAGTGTTCTTGTCGGTTGTGCAAATTCCTGTACTCTTTCTTGGGGGAAGGCTGTTCATGCTTTGGCAACAAAATCTTGTTTTGAGAGGAAAATCAACTTTAGTAATACTTTACTGGATATGTATTCAAAATGTGGTGATCTGGATAGTGCCCTTAGAGTTTTTGAGAAGATGGGTGAAAGAAGTGTTGTGTCATGGACTTCCATGATAGCAGGTTATACCCGGGATGGTCAGTCTGATGGAGCTATCAGATTGCTCCAACAAATGGAGCGGGAAGGTATTAAATTAGATGTAGTTGCTATCACAAGCATTCTTCATGCATGTGCTAAAAGTCGCTCATTGGACAATGGCAAGGATGTACATTATTACGTAAAGGCAAATAACATGGAATCAAATTTATTTGTATGTAATGCCCTCATGGATATGTATGCTAAATGTGGAAGCATGGAAGATGCAAATTCTGTTTTTTCTCAGATGGCTGTGAAGGACATTATTTCTTGGAATACCATGATTGGAGGTTACTCAAAGAATTGTCTTCCTAATGAAGCTCTTAAAATTTTTGCTGCAATGCTCAAAGAACTGAAACCTGACAGCAGAACTATGGCAAGTATTCTTCCTGCTTGTGCCAGCCTAGCTGCTCTGGAAAGAGGCAAAGAGATTCACGGTCACATACTGAGAAATGGATATTCTTCAGATCGACAGGTTGCGAATGCACTTGTTGACCTGTATGCCAAGTGTGGAGTTCTAGGTCTTGCACGTTTACTTTTTAATATGATTTCTTCCAAAGATCTAGTCTCATGGACAGTGATGATTGCTGGATATGGCATGAATGGGTTTGGGAATGAAGCTATTACGACCTTCAAGAAGATGAGAAATGCGGGAATCAAGCCTGATGAAGTCTCATTCGTTTCTATTCTGTACGCTTGCAGCCATGCTGGACTACTTGAGGAAGGTTGGAGATTCTTCTACATAATGAGCAATGATTACAAAATTGAGCCTAAATTGGAACACTATGCCTGTATGGTAGATCTTCTTTCTCGGACTGGTAATCTTTCAAAGGCATATGAATTCATTCAAAGAATGCCTATTGCACCAGATGCCACAATTTGGGGAGCTCTTCTTTGTGGTTGCAGGATCTACCATGATGTTAAATTAGCTGAGAAAGTTGCAGAACGTGTTTTTGAGCTAGAGCCAGAAAATACTGGATACTATGTACTTTTAGCTAATATCTATGCAGAGGCAGAAAAGTGGGAGGAAGATAAAAAAATGAGAGAGAAGATTGGCAGGAAGGGCTTAAGAAAGAACCCAGGCTGCAGTTGGATAGAGATAAAGGGCAAGGTCAATTGCTTTGTTGCTGGAAATAATTCACACCCACAATCCAAAAAGATAGAATCTCTATTGAAGAAGTTAAGAAGGAAGATGAAGGAACAAGGTTATTTTCCTAAAACGAAGTATGCGTTGATTAATGGGGATGAAATGCAAAAAGAAATGGCTCTCTGTGGGCATAGTGAGAAACTAGCCATGGCTTTCGGATTATTAACCTTGCCACCTAGCAAAACAATAAGAGTAACCAAGAATCTCAGAATATGTGGTGATTGTCATGAAATGGCCAAGTTCATGTCCAAGGAAACTGGGAGAGAAATTGTCCTGAGAGATTCAAATCGATTTCACCATTTTAAGGATGGATATTGTTCTTGCAGAGGGTTCTGGTGACAAGGAGTTTAATAACTCACAGAAAACCTTCTTTGCTTCACGCCACTGGGTTCTAACAAGACTGTCGATTAACATTGAATTGGTACATGAGATTTTTATTTGTAATTGACAGCCTGTTGTATCATTTAATTCACAAAAGGATTAGAATATTCCATTTCTTGGTAGAAACTAGGAAGTGTGGAAATCCCGAAAATGGCATTTTATTTTATCAGGAATAAGACAACCAGAGCTTTGACACTTGGGTTAAAACCTTAAAAAACAATTCAAAAATGTTACTGTCTGAACTTTTAGAAAAAATAATTACTTAAATTTTTTGGCCACAGAATTACTCAAAACTTCAACCATGGAATTCAAAGAGTAAAGGGCTCATAGATTCATATGAACAAGGCTGCAGGTGCAGGGTCACTTTATGGTATGGGCTTCACATCCTGCATGGATGATTATGATCTCATCCAAAAAAATAAAAGTAATATTATGCTTTAATTTCTTCTTTTTTTTCATTTGCCAAAACCTTTAGGATGACGATGGCAGCGAAAGTATTGTTTACCTTGGTCTATTTCTGATCGAGAATGAATAAATATTGAACAATGGAAATGAAGATAGATGTCTAAATCGAAATGATTCTCATTTAAAAAAAAATGAAGAAGCCTTAATTCAAATGATTAGATCGTTGAAGAGAAGACGGACGGAGGCCATGATCTGAGCATCTAATTTCTTAAGATTTATTTGGCAACGCGATGAAAGGAACTCTTACCATGTCCTAATTTCGTTTTAGGACTGGAATCTTTTCACGATTTGGAACATCACAACGCACAGCATGATAGAGGGGACTCTAAACATGCTATCAAATTAACCTTTAAAGAATAATAATGATTGTGAATCCAATACATACATATGTATCACGCCTTCTTTCAGAATCAAGAGTCATGAGCTTTATTGATTTGTATTTTTCCAAAACCACAAGAAAGAGGACACATAAAAAAAAGCTTGGAAGGGAAAGCTGCATACTTTATTTCCTATCTCAGATCAGAAACTTTAATTAGAAGTACAATAGGGGCAATGCTACGGCAAAGTACAATTTTAAACTTACGATTGAAGGGATCTTGGCAACCTGGCTATGATTGATGGCTCTGCCCATCCATCCACATGGTGTGGTCCATTTTGAGTGTGAAAGCACCATGGAACCTCAAATTTTAGTACCTCATCAAGCCAGAACACATGTAAACAGCAACTGGGATCCAACCATCAAACTATTACAGGGACCATACAGTTGAATCTGTCATAATGTATCATCATTTTATCCCAATAATTTAACATCTACAAATCCATCCACCACCAACAACTTGGATGTAGTCATTATCTCCGAGTTCATTATAACAGAGAAGATTGTCTAGAAGGGATGCCCACATACTAAAGAGCAACGACAGTACCCTTCCCATCAGAGCACCGTATGAAGGAAACAACAGTTTTGTGAACTCTGACTGAGCTTGCAATGCATATATATATAGAAACTGGAAGTTTTGAGCCTAAATTCTTGCCTCTTGTGTCAAAAGAACATGCAAAAGATCAACAGCTATATATGTTAACCGACATTTTCAAGAATTGAAGACAGCTTCAGGATTCGGTATAAGTGAGAGACAACATCTAGATCAGTAGTAAAATTTTGGATTACAGTTAAAATAGCACAGTTAGGTAACCAAAGTAATACACAACGAATAACCAGAAAGGCTAAAAGTAGAAAAATTGTGTCACAAAGCAAATGCTTGAAGATTAGGAACAATACATTTGTTTGAGGAAAAACATTGACACATTAATCACCTTTTTCCTCCAAAGCATTAGCAACTCCTAGTACATCTCATATTGCCCACTCGTCATACAAAAAAATTATGGAAAGCCCTGCTCTTTTAACCATTCAATGACCAAAAAAGCAGCAAAAAATAACATCAGTTCAATGATTCCTTTGTCTGCTTTTTTTTTCTTTTTCATCAAAATTCCACCTATAGCTACCCGCTTTTTCATAAATCAAGGGTATCAGATATCAATAATAAATAAATGGAAACTCTAATTACCAATTTCCCCTACTCAAAAAATCTAACCAATAATCAAAAGTACTTTTTTTCTTCAACCACACCATTTTGAGAGAAGAACCAAAAAAACAGTAAGGAAAACTACCGAAGAAAGCCCAATTGCAACACCAAGAACAACCTTACTTGGCCCGTGATGATGCTTCTTCTTTTCACTTGTATCATCTGCACCATCCTCATAATCTGAAGAGTCGCTCTCACTATCTCCAGAAGACTCCTTTGAAGGCGGCGGTGACATCGGCAACCCATGCTTATCACAAGGAGCAATCCCAAGTTTCATTTTTGATGACAAAACAGAATGGTTGTAACACAAATTGCCATTCCCACCAACCTTGAAAACAGCCAATCTCTTTATAAAACTAGCATTGAAAGGTAAAGCCCCATGAAGCTCATTGTTCTCAAGATTCAAGACTTTCAACCCTTTCAACTCTGAGAAAAACCTTGGGACAGTCCCATTTAACTGGTTATTACTCAGATCAACATGAACCAAGCCTGGAATAGCTGACATCGAATCCGGGATTGACCCAGAAAACGAATTGGAAGCCAAAGATACATTTTTTAACGATATCAAGTCACCAAACTCTGTGGGAATCTCCCCATTTAGCCCATTCGAAGAAAGATTCAAGAATTCAAGATCTTCCAGAAGAGTAAGGGAAGTAGGTATTTTTCCTTTGAGCTTGTTATCAGATAAATCAATATGGGTGAGATTCAGATGCACGTGCCTTGGAAGAGAACCGGTAAGATTAGCATGGGAAATGGTGGCTGTCTTCAGCTTATGCATGTTTCCAAGAATTACGTAGAGGCCGCTGGTGTTAACTGGAGTGTAGGAAACTGTAAGATCAGTAAGGTTAACCAAACGTGACAGCCAGACCCCAGAAAGGCGGCGGAGAGAGCGAATACAGGAGAAGGAAGTAAGGGAAAGAGAGAGATCAGAAGGGAAGTGAATGGGAGACGCGTGGCAGTTGGTGAAAGAGAGAGAATGGAGGGAAGAGAGGGACTTGAGAGCTGTGAAGGAGAGGGAAAGGTCGGAGGAGCAGTTGGAGAGGTGGAGCGAAATGAGGTGGCGAAAGGGCTTGGAGGTGTCACAGATGGTGGCGTTGTGAGGGGAAGGTTGGATGCAAGGGTCTCTTGTGGTGGGAATGTTGAGGGATTGGAGTGCTTCTATTTGTTTGGGGTCTAGAGTAGACGGGGAAGAAGAGGGAGCTTCGGAGGTGGGTGGGGTTGGGGAGGATGTGGGCGAAGGAGTAGGGGAGAGTGAGGGGGTGGCCGGTTTGGCGGCATTTGTGGTGCTAAAGGCGGAGGTCGAAGTGGAGAGAAGAAAGAGGAGGCAGAATAATAGTAGTGCTAGGGGTGGTTTCATGACAGAGAGACAGAGAGCGAGTGAGTAGTTTAGTAAGTTTGGAAGCGAAGTGAGAAGTGAAACGAAGAGACACAACACAGCAGACAACAATGAGCACTGAAAGGCTATAATTATATGGAGTCCATGGTGCCCACACATGGGCAAAGGTAACAATCTGAGATTTTTCTGTCATTTACGGGTACAAATATAATACAAGGGTCAAGTTGAATCTCCAACTTTATGCAGGTTATTACAAAGTAACTAAAAAAATACTATTTTTTAACCAAAATTCAAAAGCAGTTATCCGTTGAAGGTGTAAAGAAAACTCCCAATAGATATTCTTTTCAGCTGGATTTGCGTGGCTTCCTGCTACTTTCCGCCCTTTTTGATTAGTGCCAGTACTTTTGGGTCCAACCTTTTTCTCATTACAGGGAAGAGAGGAAAATATAAGAATTTTCTTTTGCTATTTTAGAAATTTGATTCTTTTCTTCATATTTACACTAGAATTTGATGTAACTTCTTGGAGAGGCACAGTAGTCGTTGGGCAAAATACATATCTTTACATTGATATATATCTCACAGCATTGCTTAGAGAACTTATACACTGAAGAGAAATGAACTGTTCAAAACTTGGGCAATGGACATCTTGCAGTCCAGTTTCTGAGATTCCATTTTGACTAGAGGTAATATTATCATAATAACATCACAGTAGTCCGGAATTCAAAAAAAATTTACTGCATTAGTAGTACTCTTGCTTAGCAATCAATGGAAATGCGGGTCTGGGCCACGGTTGTGCTATCGGCGGTGTTTACAAATGGGTTGATCCGGACCCAAACAAGAGAGAAGACAGAAACCAACAGCACGGACCATAGAACAACAATGGTTGGGGTTCTGTTTTGGCGACCCATGAGACCTTTAAGGAATGGATAGAGATGGAGGATCACCCATAAGGAAAAGAATACTTTGCCAAATAGTTGCCCCCAAGCTTCATAGCCTTTGTTGAGTGCATCGGAGAATCCAGCAACAACACCAACCATGTTGACAATGAGAAGTGTTGTTAGAGGGATCAGAAGTGTTGTCCATTTGACAATGTAGAGCTCACCAAACTCTGCATCATCAGCTGCTTTGGCAGTGACAGTGAAGTTGGTGTCAATACCTGCCAGCATCTTCAAAAAAACCTTGGAAGACGGCAAAGATATGAGCTGAAACACCTCCAATGACCCAAAACTGCTCATTGCGCCACAAGTCCTCGATGTTGACACCACTCCATCGGAGTTCAAGCACGGCAGTCAAAATAATGGAAAGGAAAAGGCCAAGAAACAGAACGCTTGCTAGGTTTGAGAGCTAATCATCAAATTAGAAAATTTGAAGAAATGTAAGCCTTTATGATTTTGAAAACTAAATTAGGATACAGGAATTACCAGTTTGTTAAAATTTCTTATGATATTATAGTTATTGAATAAGACAATTACCGTTGGTATAATAAATTTTCCTGTGAGAAGACAGATTGCTGGCAATGAACAGTAAGCAATGAGAGGAAGGGATGTAAATGGATAGACAATGGTGTTGATATATGCCAGTCTTTGAAGCCATTTAAGACGACCGCCTCCAAATCCATACCATAGGGGGCAGTGCCTGCTCAGGAAAATTTCCACGGATCCAAGAGCCCATCGAAGAACCTGGTGCAACCGATCAGACAAATTGATGGGTGCAGATCCTTTGAATGCAGGCCTTTAAAATATCCTCAGTTACTGAACCGTATATCCATCCAATCTGAGAACAAAAATAGAAAGTTTTAACGTTGTCAGTACAAGAATGAAATAAATATGACTTGGACCAACTAGTATTTAGTACATGTCAGATATGAGACCAGAATAGGTCAAAGTAGTTCAAGGCCTCTATGCAGGAAAGAAAGAAGGGTCAACAGAGATATTAGGCTAGGGAGATTAAAGCTATTCCTACTGCACATGTTTGCTGAAAAGGTGATAAGAAGATGATAAACTTTTATATGAATTTTGGCAACAGAGTTGGCTCCATTTGAGATCTTGTAGGTAGGAAAAACCAAAACCTATTCATAGAAATTGGTTATTTTTACCTCCTAATACTTCAAAGTTAACAGCATTTTTAGTCTCATATGATAAGCAAGAATCAAGATTCGAACCTCTTTCCCCCATTTAGTCTTTTCTTCATAGCCACAACTAATGACATGAATTGCTTCCTTGATTAATGTGGAAGGGTTAGCAGATTCAGCCACTCCTCCATTCTCCATTAGTGTAGTTTCAATGAACACAGAAGATAGGCCAAAAGTTTTCTCAAAGCTCATCTGAGAGATCAGCACTGATCTTTCGTACTCATCATAATCTGCAAAAATAAGACCACAGATATGTCAATAATTCAAGAGTTCTCTAAGGTACTAGTCTAGCTTAATTTGCCTCAAAGATTTAGACTTACTGTCAATCTCCCTAAGGTTGAAGATGGCAGCATCAAGTTCTTCCCGTTTTGCATCCCTGTAAAGCTCTGATGGATCTTTAGGAGCCTTCTTCCCCGGGCAGCAACATGAGCAGCAGCCACACCATGTGCAGGATGAGGAAGAAGACTTGGGCAAGCTGGGCATTGAAGAAGGTCCATAGCCATAAAGTGCTTGACTATTGAAAACACAACCTGTTCCCACATAAACTGGTCCTTGAATTCCATCAAGACCTTTCATGTTAACCTGAAGTTGAAATTTGGAAGAATTGTCAGAACTCAAGAGTCTTCTAATATAAATGAATCGAAAGTGTCACAAGCACTTAAATCAAGTGGAAAATTGTTTGAGCCTTAATCTTACATAAAAGAAAACTGTGTTGCGATTGGCATATCGATCAATCCTATCAATGCCATCAAATCTTTGAGGAAACTGCACATAGCATACATCTCGACCAACTTGTGGGTCCATCAGGAAGCACATAGCCTCCCGAACTGCCTTGCTATTGTTAACGTAGTGGTCACAATCAAGATTGAGGATGAAGGGAGCATTTGTTAGAACTGCAGACACCCTAACCTGTAAGAAGCCATTCACTGTTAGTTGCAAGAGAATATTTAAGTGTCCTTATGAAAGCTGGTATTGTACTATGTGTTACCCACCAAAGCATTTTCAGCACCAGCCTTTTTGTGGTGTTGGTGGCCAGGTCTCTTCTCTCTATAGGCATAAACCAGTCGGGGAAGTTCATTTCCTTCAATGTCTAGGGCGCCACTATTTCCAAGGAAAACCTGAATCATGCCAGCGTGGTCACGCGTGTTATTTCCTGGCCAAGGAGTTCCATCTGGCATTGTCCATCCTTCCTCAGGTGTTTTCTGAGCTTTTGCAACTAAAGCATTAATTCGAATTTTGAACTCTTCATAATCTCTCTGACCAAATTGAAAGGAAATTATTAATTATATATGGGATAGCTCATAACTTCCAATATCAATTTAGTGATAGGAATATTCAAGATATATAGCTAAGGGAAGCTTGAGGCACTTACTTTCAGCGCTCTACGTTCTTTTACAAAAGAGGGCTGCTTCAAGTAATCAATCTTCTGTGAGAAATAAAATTCAGGTGCCCGTGGTTCAATGGAAAATTTTTTGCAGAATGGAACCCACTTTCTTGCAAAGTCAGCTTTTTCTAGTAGAGATTCAAATGTCAGCATCGCAGCACCATCATCAGATACATAGCAAGCGGCCGTGAATTGTAGTATAACGGTGAATAGCGGCAATAGCGGTTCGCTGACCGCTATTGCCGCTATTCCAATTTTCATTCAAAAATTTTAAAAAAAAAACCATTTGATTTTGGTTAAAAACTTAAAATAAAAACAACAAGAAAGAAAATAAACATCAATTACAAATTCAAAAAAAAAAAAAAAAAAAAAACCACAAAAACTTAAATTTCAAAAAAATCAATTCTCTCAAGTTCAACTTCAATCAAAATCAAGTATATGCAATTTAAAGTAAACAATTAATTCAACACTCAAATTATCTTTTTTTTTTAATTTCCAAATTTGCCATGATTTTGTGTGTTTGGGATTAGATTGGGCTATGTTACATTGATAGAAGGAGGCAAGAGTTGCTGCGACTTAAAATAAGAGATAAGAGATGAGAGTGAAACTTGAGATTTACAGAAGCAATCAGATAGCACACACCAAATAAAAAGAGAACTGAGAGATGGGGATGAGGATGAAGGTTTGGAGAAAAAAATTATTGAATGCAAGGTGAAGGGATAAGAAGTTGTGTGGGTCTGTGCAATTTAGTCAAGAGACAAGAGAAGTAGACTTGAGGTTATTATTGTTGAAAATCGACCATAACATGGAAGCTGTCAAGTTTGATTTACTGTAAGTTCATAAAAGGCAATTCTTTTGACTCATAAATAATAATGATCTTACTTAATTTATGAATATCTAGTCATTTATTATTTGATTTATACATAATATAGTTTGGTAATAATTTGATGAGTACAGTAATAGTAATTAAATAATTAAATATATTATTCGTTATGATTATTTATTTTTCATATATTTATTTATCTCTTTTTATTTTTTAATTATCATATAAATAAATTTTTAAATATGAATATTTTACTATAAATATTTTTTTTTAAAATAAATAAAACACATGATATGATATAAATTATTTTAAAATTCATAAAATAAGAAGTTTTATGATTAATAATTAAAATTATTATATTTTATAGCAAGTTGAGCAAAATTTAAAAAAATTCACGACCGCAATAGCCGTAATGTCCGCGAAAGTTTCCGTTATACCTTATCCACAGGGTAGTCCAGGGCAAGGATGGAAAGCACAGTATTGGCAGTGATCAATGGGGGTTCTTTCAATGGATCCACTGTACTCACGAAGAAGTCCACAGCAGCAAGTTCAGAAGGTTCACCTTCTCTTTCATATCTGCCATGCCATGGTATTGAAAAAGAAGTAAAAAAACCATCCATCAGATACATATTCACCCAGATCAAAACTTCCTTTGATATGATTTGTCCGAAGAGAGACTTAAAAACAGTATTTTACTAATTTATGTAAAACAGCATTTTTAGTGATATGTGTGAATGTTTTTATTCATGGATTTGTACCTTGCCGATAGCCTGTCAATGT